TGTGCAATGCAACAACAGAAGAGAGGGGAAGCAGGTGAGTGGTGTAACAAAGAGAGAGTGGTCTCACACAGTTCATATGGTAAGTTCAGTTCTTCGGCCAACATCAATACAATAATAGCCACTTCCCTGAATCTGGTGTATTTGTATTCACAGGAGAAAGAGGACATCCACGGAAGAGCACAAGAGAAATCGGGAGAGTCATCGACGAGAACCATCTGACGTTGATTACAGCTAGTGAGTGATGATGGCTGAGTGAGGTGACTGGAACTAGGTGAGCAAGCAGAGGGTGTGACAGCTAACAACATGCTAATTCATCCTTCAATCATGCTAACAACATGATAATTCAAGCTAGAATCATCCTAACGAGATGCTAATTCATGCTAACAACATGCTAATGCATGCTAGAAGCATGCTAACAGTATGCTAATTTGTGTTAGAAACATGCTTATTCATGTTGGAACCATGTTAACAACATGCTAAATCAAGCTAGAAACATGCAAGCAACATGCTAATTCATGGTAGAAATATGCTAACAACATGCTTAATCATGCTAGGTTAATTGTTTACTGCATGGATCTTAAACATTCTTTTAGTCAACTTGATACTTTTTCAAACTAAATAAAGTACTTTCAACAGGCTTTCTCAAGCCACCATAAAGTTTGTCCTTAACCTTTCAATCTACTTATTGATAATAATAGATCACAGGAAAAAAAGCGACTCTTTTCCCTGGTCTTATAACAGCCTCAATAACAAGTTTCAAACGATTTATGCCTTATTTGAGGATTTAACCGAACAGATCCATTACGAAAATACAATCTTACATGCAATTACAATTACATGGGGGGGTTTAAGGGAGATGGAGTGATCACAAACTGAAGAGCGGGAAGGATGATCACCCTGCGGGCCCGTTCGCTACGCCACTGATAATACACCCTATACATAAACATGTTACACTCCATACACACATATGCACACATGATACAGTAAACATACACACACTACACTCTATACATATGTTTATATGTATAGAGTGTAGTGTGTGTATATGTTTACTGTATCATGTGTGCATATGTATGGAGTCTATCATAAGTGTATATGTATGGAAAGTAACGTGTGCATATGTATTATGTGTGCATGATGCACTCTATACATATGCACACAGGATACACTCCATACATATACATGCATGTATGTATGTACATATACAAATGCGCACATTATACACTCTTTACATATACAAACATACACACATTATACACTCCTGTCAGGGTCTGGGATAGAACCCGGGTCTCTGGTGTGAGAGGAGAGTCATGTAACCAATGAGTTACTGGAAGTTGATTACCCAATACAATGACAATGAAAGGCAGCTTGCTTTTTTACACTCTATACATAACACACATGATGCACTCCATACATACATACACACACACACACACGATACATATGCACACAGGATACACTCCATACATATACACATATTATACATATGCACACACGAGACACTCTATACATACACACATAATACACTCCATAAATAAGCACACATGATACACTATACACACGATACACATACACTCTTTGCATATACACACATGATACATATACACATTACACTCTATATATACACACAAATACACTATACATAAACACTTCATAAATGATTACACACAATACATACTACACTCTATACATACATACATACTTGATACACCCCATACATATGCACAAATGATACATTTCATACATATACACACATGATACACTCCTTACACTCATCAGCTTCCAGTAGCTCAGTGGTTACGGGACTCTCCTTTCATGCTAGAGACCCGGATTCTATCCCCGACCCTGACAGGAGTGTATAATGTGTGTATATGTATAGTGTATCGTGTCCATATGGATGGAGTGCATCATGTGTGTAGATGTATAGAGTGTGTATGTGTATTGAGTGTATCATGTGTGCATACATATGAAGTGTATCATGTGAGATACAGTCTACATATGTATGCACACATGAAACACTCCATACATACAGTATACACACACAATATTCTCCAACCATATACACACACACACCATACATGATACCTTTTTAATACTTAGACATACTACACTCTATACATATACACATGATACATGCAAGATACACTCTCTACATGCACACATGATACACTCTATACATATACACTTTATACATATGCACACATGATACACTACATAGATATACACACATACTCTTTATACACATACACAATATATTGTATACATATACACACTCCATACATATACACACACTACACTCTATGCATATACACACATGATACACTCTAAACTTAGACACACGTTACACTATACATATATGTAGATACACTCCATACATATGCACACGATAAATTCTAAATTAGCAGACATGATACATTCCATACACACACACACATACATATACAAATACATTTGCACACACGATACACTATACATATGCACTCTATACATATGCACACATGATACTTATACACACGATACACATGCACAAATGATATACTCTATACATATATACACACACATAATACACCATACATATGCATACATGATACATATACAAACGATACACGTGCACAAATGATACACTCTATACATATATACACACACATAATACACCATACATATGCATACATGATACATATACAAACGATACACGTGCACAAATGATACACTCTATACATATATACACACATAATACACCATACATATGCATACATGATACATATACAAATGATACACGTGCACAAATGATACACTCTATACATATATACACACACATAATACACCATACATATGCATACATGATACATATACAAACGATACACGTGCACAAATGATACCCTCTATACATATATACACACACATAATACACCATACATATGCATACATGATACATATACAAACGATACGCGTGCACAAATGGTACACTCTATACATATATACACACACATAATACACCATACATATGCATACATGATACATATACAAACGATACGCGTGCACAAATGGTACACTCTATACATATATACACACACATAATACACCATACATATGCATACATGATACATATACAAACGATACATGTGCACAAATGATACACTCTATACATATAGACGCACAGCACACTTTATACATATACACATTCTATACATATAGAAACATGATACACTTTTTTACATATACACTTTATACGCATACACTCTATACATATACACTTACATTACACTCTATACATATTCACACACGATATAATCTATACATATACACACATTACACTCTATACATATTCACACATGATATACTCTATACATATAAACACACATTACACTCTATACATATTTACACATGATATACTCTATACATATACACACATTACACTCTATACATGTTCCCACATGATATACTCTATACATATACACACACATTACACTCTATACATATTCACACATGATATACTTTATAAATATACACACACATTACACTCTATACATATTCACACTTGATATACTCTATACATATATACATATACACACATTACACTCTATACATATTCACTCACTATATACTCTACATATACACACACATTACACTCTATACATATTCACACATGATATACTCAATACATATACACACATTACACTCTATACATATTCACACATGATACACTCTATACATGATACACTGTACATGTAAATGAAAAGGCCCGACCTCCTTTAGTAGACTGCTATACTTCCAGACAAACTACCAGACTAATAAGACAAACCTATACACTCTATACATATTCACACATGATACACTCTATACATGATACACTGTACATGTAAATGAAAAGGCCCGACCTCCTTTAGTAGACTGCTATACTTCCAGACAAACTACCAGACTAATAAGACAAACCTATACACTCTATACATATACACACATTATACATTCCATACATGTTATTATGTCGTGTAATCAAGATATTAAAATAAACGAAAACAACTCGCCTTTCAAAGACCGCCAGTCACTTCACTGAGCAACAGTCACAGCATAATAACACACCCATATGTCAGCAGTGTCCATCTTGTTTTTGGGTCTCCTTGCAACATTTTCACTGTGTTACATGGATGTTTGCAGGTGTTGTGTCCAATTTGCAGCGCGTTTGTTTAGTTGTTTGTGTTGTGACCAATTTGCAGCGTGTTTCTTTAGTTATTTGTGTTGTGACCAATTTGCAGCGTGTTTCTTTAGTTATTTGTGTTGTGACCAATTTGCAACATGTGTGCTGTCCAAGGTGCTGTCAAGTTAATGAAGATCGTTTAAGAGTAGGCTGTTTCTCAATATGCATTCATCAGCAATCTTGTGTTCTCTTATGACTGCCAACGTTCAGTTCTAAAAGTATTATATATATATATATATATATATATATATATATATATATATATATATATATATATATATATACAGGTATGATTTGGAGCTAAAATCTGCAGAGCTGTGGCCCTCCAGGAATTGAGTTTGAGACCATTGGACAAAATAGACTACATTAAAATGCATATTTTTGGCTTCTCAAACACAGAGGGAGTTTTTAAAAGTATAAACACATTAGTCTAAGTTAATTTGTGTGTTTGTATAATGCTTTTTATAAGGATTTACCATAAAATGGTCTGCTCTTTCTGTCGTTTGCATTGGTTTACATTGTGTACGTTACTCCTGAGCATTTCTGAAAACAAGGCAGATTACCACTCCATTCCCGTTGACTAATTTGTGAAACGGAAAAAAGAAACAAAACTAAAACAGGTTTGAAAACACTTGAGGGAGAGTAAATGATGAGTTAATTTTTCTTTTGGGGTCAACTTTTAACATCTTTGCGGTCTTTGCTTTTTGAGGGGGCTTTTATTTTGAAGCTGGTTTTCCGGTTGGTCTGCTCCGCTGGGCGTGGGAGTTTCCGTCATTTCTGTCTTCACAGCCCTGCTGGAGTCTGTCAACAGGGAAGTGTCAAGATGGCCCCGAGTGGACTAAAAGCGATCGCGAACGAAAGTAGGTTCATGTTAGTCTCTCAGTACGGCCTGTAAACTGTCTAGTGCCTATGTGTCGAATGATTTAGAGTTGCTATATTGATATGTCGGTGTGTCATGACATAATCAGAGCAACAGGTGTACAGTGAGTGCTCGACACGTCAATATGGACCAAACTTCCGTATGAAGATGCTGAAGTTTACACCGAAACTTATTAAAGGTTTATCGACTTTGCCTGACACATTTAGGTTAACGTTACTCACTCCGAAGTGTGAACGGGGGTATTTGCACTGCATGATTTAACAGTTATTGTGTCAGTCTTGTGATCAACCTTCCGCCGGACACAATAAAACACACAGGAAATGGCAATTTTTTTCCCCTAAAGTCTTGAGCCTAACGTTACTATCTGTAATAGAAGTAAAGTTGGTTTTATATTCGCACATTCGTTCATTTAGAAGTCTCTATATTGTTTACCATGTTACTTTGAATATTCGATTGGAATTAGCATGCAAGTGTGGCTTGAAAACAACATTAACACTGATTATTTGACTGTGAGCAATGTTGTACTTTGATAGTCATTGAGTGCTAATATGATTTCGCTATTTAGAGTTTGAAAATAATACTTTAATGAAATTATATTATTAAGGGGAAAGTCTGAATGTGTGAATATGAAAACCAACTTTACCTCTATCTATCTGTACGTTGTTAATATAGTGTTGTTACATTTCACCTGTCATATCCTACATAACGTGTTGCTTTTACAAAGTCTTACAATGTAGTGTATTATTGTTTTTTAGATTAGAAATTCATATGATGTCATTTGTTATTAATTAGGAATTAAAGTGGTATTAATACATTTGCACTTTTACATATACTTGCATAAATGAAAAGCACCTAAAGGTATTTAATTACACTTTTTTTCTAGTCAGGCATGCAGTTTAGTACCAAACTTGTAATTTGTTTTCAATTAAATCCTCGTTTTTGTATTTACATAAGAAATGCTTGCAGTTTAATTAACTGTTGAATTTATTCATTTATTTAATTAAAGTTTAAATGTTTTTAAATTATTTTTTATGTTTTTTAATGTAATTAAGTGTATATTACTAATATTTATACACACACACACACACACACACACACACACACACACACAAAGGATTATAAACAAACTGACTACTTCAAAAGTTATTAATAATGGTGTGTGTGTGTGTGTATATATATATATATATATATATATATATATATATATATAAACGTTATATATATATATATATATATATACACACACACACACACACACACACACACACACACACACACAAAAAAGAAGATGAAAAAGTGGGGTCGTACAAAAAATAAAAAATTAAGTATGTATATATATATATATATATATATATATATATATATATATATATATATATATATATATATATAATTTTTTCTTTTTTGTACTTTTTCATCTTCTTTTTTCATTTAATCTATTTTAATTAAAATTTTCAACTGAACCACAGTGGTATCTCATTACAAATACAGCAGTTTTTGTTAGACGTTCAATGCGCACAAATGCTAGAAAGCAAAGACAAATAAAAGAAAATATTTTTTCTACATTTGTCATTAATAGGTACACATTTTGAGTAAAATGTTCACTTGTGTTTTTTTTATGTTATTTTTTAAATATTATTATTTTTTTTTCATCTACAGACTGTGTTTTTTAACCATCAGTATTGAAGGCTTGGAAACATGAAAAATGTTTTCCTGACGTATTCTCATTTACTGCAAATAAATGGTTATGTTGTAATATATCATTTTAATAGTGTTATTATCATTAGTTTATAAAAAAAATCAATAAATTTGACTTAAAATATGTTTGTTACCCCTTTATGGCCATGAAAATAAAACTGCAACAAATAAACAAACAAGGGCAGCATGGTGGCGCAGTAGGTAGTGCTGTCACCTGACAGCAAGAAGGTTTCTGGTTTGAGTCTCAGCTGGGTCAGTTCATTTGGCATTTCTGTTTGGAGTTTGTATGTTTTCCCTGTGTTCGTGTGGGTTTCCCCTGGGTACTTCTGTTTCCTCCACAAGTCCAAAGACAGTGAATTGGGTTAGCTAAATTGTCCGTAGTGTATGTGTGTAAATGAGTGTATGGGTGTTTCCCAGTAATGGGTTGCAGGTGGAAGGGCATCCGCTGTGTAAAACATATACTGGATAAGTCGGTGGTTCATTCCACTGTGGCGACCCCATTTTAATAAAGGAACTAAGCTAAAACAATGAATGAATGAATGAATAAACAAAAAAAAAATTCTGAAAAACACTTAAGACGTTGGTTTTCCTCCAAATTATTCATAAAATATTTTTATTTGCACTTAAAAGTTCTTCACAAGTTTTACATTTATGAAAAAAAACCTTTAACTTTAATAAGTTTATTTTGTTTTAAAGCATGTCCTCTAAAATTACATTAAAGCTTCGTTATCATGTGGTCATGTGACTGATCATCATCATACATGCCTCAAATATCCCAGTTGTCTATATTCATTCATTCATTTATTCAATCAATCAGTCAATCAATCATCTTTCTTTGGCTTAGTCTCTTATTTATCAGGGGCTACCAAAGCGGAATGAACCATCAACTATTCTGGAAAATGTTTTATGCAGCAAATGCCCTTCCAGACACAACCCAGTACTGGGAAACACCCATACACTCTCACATTCGCACACACGCTCATCCACAGCGTCTGCTTAGTTTATTCAATTCAACCAATGCTCATGTCTTTGGACTGTGAGGGAAACTGGAGCACCCGGAGGAAACTCATGCGGACACGGGGAGAACATGCAAACTCAACACAGAAATGCCAAAAAGTCGGAAGTCGAACGAGCAACTTTCTTGCTGTGTGGCGACAGTGCTAACCACTGAGCTCCCGTGCCACCCTCAGTTGTCCATATATGACTCACAATAGCTCATTGTTGGTGCCTTTTGTTTGTAGAAATCCTCAGTGGAGTCATCAAGAGTGTGAAGAAAGATGGGGACTGGAAGGTAATATTACTACAGTATATTGAAGCTTTTGTCGTTAATCTATTTTCGGATGACTTTTGTGTTCCGATTAATTAACTGTTGTGTTTGTTTTATATTCAGGTGCTCATCGTTGATCATATCAGTATGCGGATTCTGTCCTCGTGCTGTAAAATGTCTGACATCATGGCAGAGGGTGTTACAAGTGAGCATTTGAATATGTTTTCTGTCACGGAACTCTAAAGGTTTCACTTTTCATTGTGAAGACACAGTGTCTGCAGTGCATTTTGCTGCAAAATATGTTCATGTTATGATTTAAAAATATGTCTGGTTTGTTCTGTTAAAAAGTATTGACTCAAGATGACGAGATGTGAACTGTGCTGTTTTTCTTTACAGTTGTGGAGGACATCAGCAAACGAAGGGAGCCGATCCCCAGTCTGGAAGCCATTTACCTCATCTCACCTGTGCCAAAGGTCAGCCAGCTACATCAACATACAGTTGAAGAAAACAATTTTAGCTTTCCTGTAAAATTTGAATTGATTTTCAAATATTTCCCAAGTGATGTTTCATAGAGAAAGGAAACTTTTCAGTTTTTCCTATTATATGTATCTTTTTTTTGAATACTTATATTAGGTCACAATGCACTGTATTAAAAAAGCCATTCACTAACACTACTAGCTAAATAAACTACTATTTAGCTGTTTATTAATAGTTCATAAGGTAGAAGTTAGGCTAAGATTTTGATTTGGGATGCAGGTTAAGTTTTATAGCTACTAACAACAGTTATATCTTAATAATAGGCAGGTAATAATCCAATAGTTTATTGTGTGAAAGGGCTATATGTACAGCGTGTGTTTCAGCAAATGATGAACTTCCAGTGAAAGCTTTTTTGACTATTTTCTATTTCATCAGGTTCCTTTTACAGCATTGATAAATATAATTAGTTAGATAGACTTGAGCATCCATTTGGTTGTTAAAGCATAAAAAGAGACGAAAGACTGTTTAAACGTGGGCACCGTCATTTGCTGCTGAAGTTAAATTGAGAATAGTGGGGTATAATTCATTTCCATATTTTATAGACAGGGGCGAAGCAGTGGCGCAGTAGGTAAGTGCTGTTGCCTCACAGCAAATAGGTCACTGGGTCGCTGCTTTGAGCCTCGGCTCAGTTGGCATTTCTGTGTGGAGTTTGCATGTTCTCCCTGCGTTACCGTGGGTTTCCTTTGGGTGCTCCGGTTTCCCCCACAGTCCAAAGACATGTGGTACAGGTGAATTAGGTAGACTAAATTGTCCGTAGTGTGTGATTGTGTGTGTGGATGTTTCCCAGAGATGGGTTGCGGCTGGAAGGGCATCCGCTGCATAAAAACTTGCTGGATAAGTTGGCGGTTTGTTCCGCTGTGGCGACCCCGGATTAATAAAGGGACTGAGCCGACAAGAAAATGAAATGAATATATATATATATATATATATATATATATATATATATAAAACCATTATTTTTTTCTTCTGGCTCAGTGCTAGTCATTGCAGAACAGCAGATTTAAATTTAGCAGCTTATTCAAATAGTTGAAAAAAAAAAGTCAAATAGTTGAAACTGACATTGATTCTAACACCCAAAAGCTTTCATTTTGATTTCAGGGGACTTTAAAAAAGGTTTTGTAAACATTTATGTTTGTTATATTTTTATTTCCAGTCAGTTCATGCTCTGATTGCGGATTTCAGAGAGACAGCCTTCACTTACAAAGCAGCACACGTCTTCTTTACCGACAGTAAGAGAGATTGTTTTTCTGATTGCTTTGGTTGTTTTCCTTGATGGTTGTCTACAGTGGGTGTATTTATTATATTGTATATCTGTCTATCCTGCTTTCAGCTTGTCCTGATGGGCTTTTTGCTGAGATTGGCAGGTCGAGGGTTGCAAAGGTCATCAAAACTCTCAAGGAGATCAATGTGGCTTTCATACCGTATGAGTCTCAGGTGTGTGTCATTTCTATAGTCCATTTTTCCTCTTCAATTCATTCCTGATATTGTCTCTGTTTTGATCAATTTAATACACCCCTGCTTAATAATAATATAAAATCTGTTCTTAATATACACTTCCTGACAAAAGTCTTGTCACTTATCTAAGTTTTAGGAACAACAAATAATAACTTGACTTCTAGTTGATCATTTGGTATCAGAAGTGGCTTATATGAAAGGCAAAGGCCTCTAGATTACGCTTATTTTACCAAAATAAAATATGATCATGCCTTGATTTTTAATTATTTCATTAGGACAGTAAGGTCTGACAAAAGTCTTGTCACTTAACAGAAATAATATACAGTATAGAATATAAAGTCATGGTGCAGTGGAAAAAGAATTAATATTGTGTATGACTCCATGACCTTGCAGCATTGCATCTGTACATCTATGCAATGACTCAAAAAATTACTAATAAAGTCATCTGGAATGGCAAAGAAAGAGTTCTTGCTCCCAGAGTTCATCAAGATTTATCTTCAATGACTCCTCCTTCATCTTACCCCAGTCATGCTTAATAATGTTTATGTCTGGTAACTGGGCTGGCCGATTCTGGAGCACCTTGACCTTTTTTGCTTTCAGGAACCTGTTGGAACTTAAACTCGATGTTGCCATCCACTCTGCAGATCTCTCACATCCCCTCATACTGATTGTTACCCCAAACTATGATTTATTTCTTCACCAAACTTGACTGATTTCTGTGAGAATCTTGGGTCTATGTGGCTTCCAATAGGTCTTCTGGAGTATATTCTGCCGTTCAACATTCATGAGAAAAATTTACCTTCTGCGACTTTTCCAAATGATCAACTATAAGTCAAGTTATCACTTGTTGCCTCTTACAATTGGGATTGAAGACAAGACTTTTGTCAGGCCTTTAACAATAATCAATATATTGACTTATATTGCAGTACCTAGAGATGACCTCAATAATTGTTGCCGATGCAGTATATATTTACAGATTCACAAATAACGTCAAAGGCCTTTTACAATGACACCTCACTGGTGTTCAGTTTATAATTTGCTATTTACCTATTAGGACATTTAATTGTACTGTGCATATATAATGAGACTTATCTTTTTAATATCAAATTTTAGAATCTAAATAACTTTAAGAATAAGTATTTTAAAGTGTTTATGGCTGTTTGCAATATTATGCTGTTATATAATCATTATATAATCAGTGGCAAAAAATGATCTCAAAAGGAAAATAATATCGCTTATCACAACAATTTCTGTGACCATATATCGCACAACAAAAATTCCCTATCTTAATGACTTAATGCTGGGGCTGTGTGATATTTTTTGTTTTCATTAAATAATATTTATTTATTCTTCATAAAACAAACAAAAACATCAGATTTTTGCTTTTTAATGTATAGGATAGTTTAATACAGAATCAGTTACATTTTTAAAAACATATTAATAAGTAAAAATGATCCTTAAAAGACCCAGTGGAAAACATTTGTGAATTGTAGAGCAACACTGTGTTGTTGTTTTAAACTGTTTTTTTTCTGTTTTTTTTTAACACAATAACTTGATGCGTAATTTCCAGAAATGCATTTAAAAGTACAGAATAAGAGAGAGATTCCTATTTTGTAATAGAACACAGTGAGTGAACTTAAAATGGCTGCGATCACAGATATCCTATTGATATCTAATGATTTAACTAAAAAGCTTTTAAATGAGTAACAATAAAACACAAATTCAGTTTTTAGTACAGTAAAGGGATGGCTTTATACCATAATTTTGGATTCGGTACAATACCAGAATATAATATCTTGCTATCGATACAAAATCTTTACCATAGGTGACAAATTACCAGCCTCAAAAGATTTTTATATATATATATATATATATATAAATTAAACTGTAACAGAACATTTAAATAAAATACAATAATATATTCAAATCAGCAGATGTCATGTATTTATGATCATCATCCATCGCATCATTCTGGTGATGTTTACTGGTTTCAGCAGCAGATTGCAGCAGCAGCACTTTCATCTACTGGCGAACTTCGGACATGCAGTGTGTCAAATACCAAATTAAGCCAAATTATGTTATAAAACCGTTTAAAATATAAGTACTAGTGTTTTTTCACTACCAGTATTCCCCACATCCCAAGTACAATATGTTTAACAGTTAATACTGTTAATATTAATCCCCCAAAACACAAAAGAAAATCTTTTAAAAAGATGTTGGAAATCTGGAGCTACTGGTTTTTAGCTTTCTTTAAAATATCTTGTTGCTTTCAAGAGGGTAACTTAACTCCCAAAGCATTGGAACCACTTGCAGCTGAGTAAATGGCGAGTAAATAAAAAAATGTAGGGGAACTGTCCCTTTCTAGGCCGCAGCTTTGCACAGTTTTGCTCCAACCCTATTTAAGCACAACTGATCCAAATAATTGAGGTGTTCAAAAGAGTCATGAACACCTTCATTAGTTGCACCAGCTGTGTTTGATCGGGGTTGGAGCTAAGCTATGCAGAACTGTGGCCCTCCAGGAATTGAGTTTGAGACCTCCGTTTTAAGATATTATGTTTTTTTCAGTATTGCACACCTTTTCAGTGGGACTTGTTGCCAATTGTTTCATCGTTCAAGATTTAACTGTTTTTACTCCAGGTCTTCACTCTGGACAACCCCAGTTCCTTCCACGCTTTCTACAGCCCAACTCAGACTAATCTAGATGACAAGAGCAGAATGATGGAGGCCATGGCTGAGCAGATCGCCACTCTCTGTGACACGCTGACGGAGTATCCAGCCATCCGATACCGCCTGTACTGAGCCACATTCACTCAGCACTTTGTGTTTGTTTTTTACTGATGTAAAATGATGTGTAAACCCGCTCTCTTTCTCTAAGGGGGCCAAAGGAGAATTTCAGCCTGGCTGAGATGGTGATGGATCGTCTGAATGCACACAAAGCAGACAATCCCAGAATGGGAGAGGTGAGATGATGGGAGGTTTAGGAAGCGCTGATCATTTTGTTAGCTGTGTCTCATTTCAGAAGCTGCATCCTCTGAATGATGCAGACTTCGTAGGCGAGTCTTTCAAAGTACACACAAGCCGAAACAGCATTTTTAAATGAAACTATCTATCCTACAGAGGACAGATATCACTTATGTCACCTTGCAACTGTAACAGCAGCCGTTAATAAACGGTAATAAAATTTTATAATGACTTTTTTTATAAAGTGATTTTTAAAACTTATTTTAAGGGATCTAAAGGCAAAGCAAGGTGTACAAAAGCTGGGAATATAATTTAGGGTTCACACGGTCATGGAAAAGCTGGAAAAGTCATGGAATTTTGACATGCCATTTTCCAGGCCTGGAAAACCTTTGGAAAAACAGAAAAACCCACAAGGTTTTGGAAAAGTCGTGGAAATTACATTCACATTTAGTCTTTTAGCAGACATTTTTATCCAAAGCGACTTAAACTGCGGTCACACTTGAGCTTGTGCTTGCAAAATTCTGTTGTACGGCCCTTCGAAAATCGGTTGTATTAAACAATATGATTAGACATAAATAAAAGTGAGCGACTGCTCCATATTTAAAATTTCTCATTGTAAATTATCTTCTTTTGGTCTCACGCAATCACCTCATGTGATTTCGCAGGTAAGAATTCACCAAGCTTAAACTTTCGAATGCAGTAAAGTGCTAAATTTCCCGCACGTGCTCACGTTTCTGGTCTGCCGCATTGGCATGCCTATAAATGGAAGTCTTTGTAGCGAAAATTGCAGTGTGATCGAGGCTTTATAATAGAAGGAGTTTTCCCTAAGATTTTGTAAAAGTAGTTCGACAAATGTCTGTATATTAGAATGGAGGTTAGTTGTTTTTACTTTTATTTTCTTGGCCAAAAACATGCTCTCACATTATTAGTGCTGTGTAAACGTCATCTGTTTTACATAGATATAAAAACAAATTTAAACGATTGCATGTTTAATGATATGCTGTAATAAATTTAAACGTTTTTTATTATTTACCACGTATATGCAGACATTACATGAAACATTATGTCACGAAACTTGATTTCAAAGTCATGGAAGTTTGGTAGTAAATATGTGTATGAACCCTGATGATTGCTTACATACATGTACACATTAAATGTAAACTGTCCATAAAATCATTCTTTAGTAAATCATACTCTTTTTGTTTTTTTTTAGCATGTGTTTAGATATCCAAGTAAAATAAACCTAATTCATACATTTAATCTGGAGTTTTCTTTTAAAAACATTGTGATGTTCGTGGCTGCAAAGGATCCACCGGTTGTGTCCTTCATTACCTAGGAAACGAAGGACCCATTTTAAGGCTGCATTTGAAGGAGCCTTCAAATGTTCTTGAAATAAGACAGCGTTCATCATGCCTCTGACGCACCACCCTTTGAATGCATCCTTCGCAAGATGCAGCCTCTGAAATGAGACACAGCTATTAGTTTATTATTATAAACACCTTTCAAATATCTTGTCACATCCATTTCAGTTTCTTCATTTGAAATACTACTTCTATGCTTGCATATCATTTCTTACTGTTATCTGGACTATTTTCTCTCTCTGTTTTTTTCCTGTTCTTGTCTATCAGCTGATATTTTCCTGAGCTTCAGGTGGGTGTCAATGCAAATCTTGTTTTTTTTATTTTCTTGTGCTTTCCTGCATCTTTGTTACTCACTGAAGCTTTTTTTTGCTTCTAACCTCTCATCTATTGCTAGTCAGATCCCTCAAATTAAATATTTAAACTGTAATCACTAAAATAATAAAAAAATAGAGGAAAAAGCAAAACATAAATGATTAAAATAGTCCAATAAAACCCTCTAGTGGACAAGCCAGTTATGAATTCACTACCCAGAAAGACTGTTTACTTGGCTTTCATTTGCTCCATTTGTTTCTTTGTTCTGTTTGAACACAGTATTCGTTTAGAAAAATGGTGGAATTTAACATTTGATGGGAACCTTTGAACGCCTTACAGTTATCCCCCCTACTATTGAAGTCTGTGGTTACTAATATCTGTCTGGTTAACAACATTTAAAAAAATAATTTACATTTTTTTTTTTTGCTCATCAGAGAATTAAATTGTATTTAAAAATTAAGCAAATTGAAGATGTACTGTAAAAGAACACCTGTAAATTAGCAGTTTTACGTATTTTATTATTCATGTTTTTATTTCCCCCTGTTTATTTATGCTTTTAAATTGCATTATGGGAACTTGATCTTGTCTCCAACTACTTTTAACCTGGAAAAGTTTTAAAAAACTGACTCTTGTAAACATTTTAATAGTTTAAAGTGATATATTGTCTGGGTTGGTGTTGTATATTATGCTATAAAAACCTTGTAACAAGTCTTGCCAAATTAGGGAATTTTTAGGGCCCCTAGCGACAAATTTTTTTAAAAGCGACTACCGAAAAATTTTGCAACTTTTTTTTTTGGTGTTACTGGGGATTTTCTAGACTCTCATGTGTCCATACTGTACCATTCCTACTTGTCTCAACAAGCTGCGTAGACCCCCTCCCCTACCTCAGAGCACTCACAGGTGGCTCAGTACCACATAGCCGTCTCTTTCACCTGCAGCCCGAGAGCAGATCACTGCGTACACCTCTGTATACCAACAGCAAACGAGTGTGAGGTATTTCCCTTGTACAGTCAAACCGATCTGCTTCTCCTGTTCTAAATTTAACAATTTAATTTGGCCGTTTAATCTTTTCCTGTTCAGAATCTCAGAGATTTTAGTGATGGTTTCTGAGCTCAAATTACTGCAAATTCACTACACATCTGTACTGATGTACTGTATTCAAACAACAATACATTAAATTGACATGCATATGTAAAGCGTAGTGCAAATGTAAATTCCTCTTTGTTAACCATAGGCTGTTAAACAAACAGAAACTGTTGGACCTGATAACGTCAGTAATATGCAGATTGACGTATGATGTAATCTAGCGACATTTCGAGCAGAGATTAGCACCTTTTTATTAAAATAGTTGGCAACACTGCTTGTAATAAGCTGCCAGCACATTTTCTGTCATTTACAGACTTATTTCTCTATATATTATTTCTTATCGTTTATATTATTTCAAACTACTAAAATGTCAAGAAACATCACTGTTAAACTGTAGAGTTGAATTTACAACATCAAATGTCAACAGAGCAGAGATTAACATCCCATAATGCAATTCACAACTGTAAATAAACGGAAAACACTTGAGAATCACAACATACGGAAGCTGTTAATTAACACATTTGTTTACAGTGTGAGCAAATAATGTTCATTTTTGAATGAACTGTTGCTTTAAGTAGAAGAAGAAGGAAACAAGACTCTGCCAGCTGATACCAGAGATTGTACAGTGCATCTGCCATGTACTCACTGTGCTTTTGATTTTTTTTCTCGCTTTTTCATTTAATACATTTGCTAAGATTTTAAACATGCTTTAAATCAGGCATTTTTTATAGAATTTTTATAGGAGTAAATGTAATCTAATTTGGACTAATGATTTAACACAACATAACAGCGTAACGTGGAAAAGGTGAAGCTCTGTGAATACTTTCCACATGCACAGTGCATTGACCTACAAAATCTAATTTGGTCGTATACAGTGTTAGGGGAATTGCATTACAAGTAATGCGAGTTACTTAATAATAATACTTTTCTAAGTAATGAGTAAAGTAATACATTACTTAAAAAAATTAAGTAATAATATTTGTAATTAAGGAATAAATTTATAAAGTTAGGTAATTTGCAAGTTTAATTGATGAGCTATTAAAATTAAATTGCTAAATGAAAATTAAATTAGTCAGGTTAAATCACACTCGATGAGAGAATTTGTTCATTATTTTGAACGCATTGACAAAAAGAAAAAGGGAATTGTCTTAATGGACAGTGATTTTACTCAACCAATAAGACAAAAAGTACAAAAGTAGCAAACGCATTGCTTTAAATTGCAGGTGAAGGTGTAGTTTATTAAGTGTGTTATTAAATGCAGAGCTCTGCTATTAAAAAAGTATATTAAAAAAAACTGCAGGTTCTTAGCAAAGCCAAGAAAAACTAATGCAAAAGTAATTCAAAATTAACATATCATATTACTTACCATAAAAAGTAACACAACTAGTTACCTTTTTGAGGAGTAAATATATATACATTTACCCCAATTTTTCTTTTTTTAAATATTTCCCAATATACATTTTCCAAATTTAACAGAGCAAGGAAATCTTCACAGTATGTTTGATAATATTTTTTCTTCTGGAGAAAGTCTTATTAGTTTTATGTATATGTATATGTATATATATGTATATGTATATATATATATATATGTATATATATATATATATATATATATGTGTGTATATATATATATATATATATATATATATATATATATATATATATATATATATATATATATATGGAAAGGGGAAAATAACTCAGGAAGGCTAATAATTCTGACTTCAACTGTATAATTGTGTGTGTGTGTGTGTGTGTGTGTGTGTGTGTGTGTATATATATATATATATATGCAATTTAAAAATGTGTTATGGGTTTTTTTGACAACATTTATTGCCCAGTTTTTAAGGTTGTAACATTTTTAGGTTGTGAATTTAAATGTTTAATGTTGTTAGTGCTAGTAAATTGTGTGCTCTTTATAACAAATATGTCTGAAAAGTTACGTTTGCACCCTGACTATACATTACAGCTCGAAAGCTTGATTTCATTAAGATTTTTTTACAGTCACATTTGAAATATCAAAAATAAAAACATCATGAAAACATGTTATAATGCTATTTAAGATGTTTTTTCAAGCAATTAAAACTTTGGTACTGCTGAAATAATAAAAGACAATAAGACAAATATATGATGCTGTGCTTGAAACATTAAGCAGCAGGTTTTTTAGTACTGATCATCAGAAATGTTTCTTGAGCACATCACCTCCATTTGAAAATGTAAGTTCATCATCATAGGAATAAGTTGTGTTTTACTATATGTCCATTAATATTCAATATAATATTACAGATTTGATAGTCTTGTATTAATAATTTTACATAATGTGTCTTTTGTGAGTTCAAAATACATCATATTTTTTGTAATCTAGAAATATTTGTGGAAGCTGTTGGCTCTATTAAAACTGATAAACAAATGTATTAAGCAGATGTCTAGTTTTGTTTTAAGCATAAAAGCACAGTAGAATCTTTGTTTTTATAAATTCTGTAATTACAGTTGTGTGTTTGACCAACAGGGCACAGATAAAGCTCGCTCTCAGCTGCTAATAGTGGACCGTGGGTATGATCCCGTCTCTCCAATTCTTCACGAGCTCACCTTCCAGGCGATGGCCTACGACCTGCTAGACATTGAACAAGACATTTACAGGTGTGTCAGATTCTTTGCCTTTTAGAAATGCCTTCATTATAGTTAAAGAAGTAGTTATTAACTTAGAATAGAGCCATATGAAACCTGCAAATGATTTGTGTATATATACAAAAATGGTAAATGGAATGGGACAATTATACAAATGATACCAAAGAATATATGAAATACTTGGCACATTTTTATATTGTCTGCACTGCAAAAAAATGCCTTTCTTGTTTCTCTTTGTTTCTAGTCCAAATATCAAAAAAATCTGGGAACACTTTATTTTGATGGTCAATTTGAGTAGCAGATTATTAGTATTAACAGTATCAGCAGATATTTGCTTAATATCTGCTTATACTGCTCCTTCAACAGACATTTATCTTAATATAAGAAGTTTTGCAAGTACATTTCAACTTACACTAGCCATAACCCCATGGTAAATTTAACAATATATATTTTTTAATAGAACTATTGTCGTGTTCTTTAGAAATAAGAAGTCAAATATAAGTGAGGTTTTTTTTTCTGAGAACAAAGTGAAATTTCTTATTTAAAAAATACTTTTCAAAGCAAAATTTGGCATACCCCATTGACACATTATTTGGTTTCAAGGAAACACTAACTTTCATTGTGATACTTTATTTTTGAAAACAAGACTGAACTGATTCGTGCGAATAGTGTGCTGTGAAAGCCCCTTTACTCTGCAACATACTACTATGATAATAGGCTTTGAATACTGTAGCTCATCCATGAAAATGATTTCTGAGTCGTGAAGGATGTAATTAAGTCCAAAACGCCCATGAGTCAACACTCATCAAAATATGCCTTTGTTTATTGTGAATACCCTCTAGTGGTGGAAAATGACTTTTTATATATAAGGAAAAACTAACTTTCATTTTGATACATTATTTCTTAAAACAAGGCAATGGTTTTTGCTTGTCTAGAAAATGCTTCTTGTCTGAAGAATTTTTAGATATTTAAAGTAAAAAGTACCAAGTAAGAAAAGCATTTATTTGCAGTGTGTGTGTGTTTGTGTTTGTGTGTTTGTATATATTATATTATATTATATCATTACATTATATCATATTATATTATTGTAAATACAGTTAAAGTCAGAATTATTAGCCGCCCTATTTAATTTTTTCCCAATTTTTGTTTACCGATGAGACTTTTTCAGCACATTTCTAAACATAATAGTGTCAATAATTCATTTCTAATAACAGATTTATTTTATCTTTGCCATGATGACAGTTAATAATATTTTAATAGATATTTTTCAAGACACTTCTACACAGCTTAAAGTGACATTTAAAGGCTTAACTAGGTTAATTAGGTTAACTAGGGAGGTTCTTGTATAATGATGGTTTCTTCTGTAGATTATCGGAAAAATATATATAGCTTAAAGGGACTAATAATTTTGACCTTAAAATGTTTTTTAAAAAATTAATAACTGCTTTTATTCTTGTAGAAATAAAATGTATAAGACTTTCTCCAGAAGAAAAAATATTTTCAGACATACTGTTAAAGTTTCCTTGTTCTGTTAAACATCATTTGGGAAATATTTAAAAAAGAAAAAAAAATTAAAAGGGGGGCTAATAATTCTGACTTCAACTGTATACTATTCTACAAGATGCCAAATTGGTCAAGATGCCGAGTTGTTATGATGTAATATGTTTTTGATCTATATCAACTTTGCCATAAAATAGCCATTGTTGCTAATCTGGAAATAAATAAACTTAAGAGCTTAATAAACTTAATAAATTTATAGAGCATAAAAATATTTTCTGTAATCAGTATAAATTGTCAATTACTGTCATCAGGTATCAGACAGCAGGGATCGGTGAGGCTCGAGATAAAGAGGTGTTGCTGGATGAGGATGATGAGCTGTGGGTTCAGCTGCGACACATGCACATAGCAGACGTCACCAAGTAAGAGCGGAGAAAGCATCAAATCTCCAGTCTGTCTGTTCTAAGTGTTTAAGGGCTCACATCCTATGCTCTTCTGTTTCAGGAAGGTGACAGAGCTGCTGCGGGTCTTTTGTGACAGCAAGAGGATGAACACAGACAAGGTACACACTGGTGAAGACATCACACCAGTCTTGTGAAAAACACCCTATTTAATACAGATTTCCTCATATTGGGACATAGAAAATGATCTGATCTTTAGAAAAGTTTTGGAAATAACTGTTTAGAAGAACAAAAACATGTAGCGTTAACAAAAATAAGTAAAAGGAATGAGATGAATGCAAAAACAATAGACTATATGGAGTGAATCTACTTATAAATGAAAGAAATAATTACAGTTTGATCAGGTTGTACATACGAGAATTATGTACATATGTATGTATGTATGTGTGTGTGTGTGTATATATATATATATATATATATATATATATATATATATATATATATATATATATATATATATATATATATATATATATATATATATATATATATTAGTGCTGTCAATCGATTAAAAAAAATTTACTAATTAATCGCACCTTTTTCAAAAAAATTAATCACGATTAAGCGCATTTAAAATACTGAAACTTGTAATGCTGGCTATTCAAATGTAAAATTTATGTAAACGCAAGACAAAAACTATTTAAATTAAAAATATTTAACTTGTAACACAGATTTCTTCATGTAAACAACATACCCACAATAAACCATCAAGATCCTGGCCTGACAGCCATATTTATTAAAGAAATTAAAACACAGGCATGTTAATGACATTTAAATTTAAAAAAAATCAATGCCAATAGAGAAAACATTGATTTCCATGTTGGATTCTAAGTGGACTGCAAAAAAATGCCAAAATACAGGATTTTAGTTTAAACTTTATTGTCCATTCTGCTTGACACAGAAAGGAAATTTGTCTTCAACACTGGATTTAGGACAACAATTACAAACATACAACAATGACACAATAACAACACTTATTAAGACAACAACATAAGTTAAAAGTTTAAAAACCAAATTAGCCCCATGCACAATACTGCAAATCATTCAAATGGTAACCACCTCATTCACTACAAACATTGATCCGATTTAGAACAACAACTGCCATTGGGATAAATGACTTTTTATAAGCATTTCTTCGTGCTTTAGGAATTCTAAACCCGTGTCCTGATGGTAGCAAATCAAATGCTGAGTGAAGGGGATGTGTATTATCTTTAAAAATCACAACTGCTCTTTTTTCCATAAAGGAGTCAAATAAAATCTGCAATGAATGTTGTTTGTGACCAGTTATCTTATTTGCCTGATTGATAATTGAAGTGTTGTGTTTCCAAACCATGAAACAATATTATATGTGAGAACACTCTCTATCAGGGATCTATATGCCAAGTTTAAAGTCTGTGTACTAACATTAAAACTTCTCAATTTGCGGAGGAGATAGAGGCGCTGACTTGCTTTCTTATAAACCGCCTCTACATTACTATTAAAATTCAGTTTATTGTCAATAATTGTGCCTAAATACTTAAAATTTGAAACCTGGTTTACTATTATTACTCTTCTTGTTTGACTCCCCAGACATTACTCTTTTGTTTTCCCAATATTTAGGTGTAATGAACTTTTGCCAAACCAATCTATAATGCTATCAATATATCTAAAATATAAGGAGCTATTTATTTCTTCCTGACAGGAAACCAATGCCGGGTCATCAGCATATTTTATGAGTGTGAGATTGTCATCAATATTGCACTGCAGTTCATTAATATATATATAGAAAATAAAATAGGTGATAATACACATCCCTGAGGTACCCCTATATTTAAAACAGAGCAGTCAGACATAGCATGATTAACTCTCTGATCCATTCAAACAACCAGTTACTTACTCCTAAATTATGAAGACGTTCTAAAAGAAGATTAGGTTGAACAGTATTAAAAGCGGCTGAAAAATCCATAAAAAGTATTCTAACATGCGTATTTGGCCTATCTAGATGATGTTGAACTTTGTTCAAGAGAGTAAGGCCCCGTTTACACTAGTGCGTTTTAGTTTAAAAACGCAAAAGTTTTGCTACGGTTACGCCATCCGTCCACACTACGCCGGAGTTCTCGAGCGCTGAAAACGGAGCGTTTCGAAAACGCTGGAGAGGCCGTTTTCATTCTGAAATGCTGCTGCTCCGTCTCAGTGTGGATGGGGAAAGACGGAGACATCTGAAAACGGAGGCGGGGCTGCAAACGTTCGCCTATCTGATTGGGGCTTTTCCTCAATATTAAGTAGCCTAACACACAGTTCAGTCTCGCATCCTCTTCTTGTAAGTTAAGACATCGCAAGTTTGATCAAGGCTGCAGTCTCCCCCTTCTCAGTTTGATATGGAAAACATACCGAGGACACGCGTAAATCTTCAAAGGGAACAGTGTACTTTATAACTTCATTCACACCCTGACCTCGTTGTTTCACTTTCTCAACAATAAAATGTAAACATGATTTAAGGAACTGCCTATTTTCTTTTTAATATTAGCAACTTAACAGACAGCAGAAATGTTGAGGCGCCGTGCTGCATTTATGAGCGTCATCTTCACTGTGTGGATATTTATAACAAAACGGAGCCGATAACAACTGCCTCCTTTCAATTTCAGTGAAAATACGAAACGCACCCTCTCTTTTGCTGAATATCAGTTTTAATAATCGATAATTATAAAAGTATAACATACAATAAGTTTATACATTGTAGGAAATAAAGGCAAGCGATCAGTCAATGTACCTGGATTAATCATTAACTTATCTTCGCGCTTAACCAAAACATGTTACCCGTGAACAAGTAACTTAATAGATTCCAATGACCAAAGTCCGGGAATTGGCCTATGTCGTTAGATAAAGACAACAACATGAATGAAATATCACGTTTAGCAAATATAGTGAGATTAGATCCAGCGGGAGATGATTGATGAGCAGTCCGACAAGCAGAGCTCTCATCTGGGTAGAAATGCTTTAGCGCTTGCCCGAGAGTGTCTGTGTGGTCACGTGATGTGCGTTTTCAGCGTTTTGGTGTGGACGGAGAGCTGTTCAGAAACGCTGGGTAAAACGCGAGTGTGGACGCGGATCGTTTTCATTCTACAACGCCGTTTTAAAACTAAAACGCACTAGTGTAAACGGGGCCTAAGAGAGGCATCCACAGTGCTCCTGTTGGCCCTATAAGCAAACTGCAGGGGCTCCATTGTCTTCTCAACTTGAGAGGACAATTCCTTACACAATATTCGTTCCATACATTTACAAAGAACAGACGTAAGCGTGATTGGACGGAAATCATTTAAGAACTTTGCATGAGGTATTTTAGGTACTGGAATAACTTTTGAATTTTTCCAGGCTAATGGTACAAAACCATTGTCTAGAAATACTTGAAACAGTCTGGTGCACACATAACCCAATTGCTCCACACACTCTTTTAAAACTTTCCCCTTCAGGCCATCTGGGCCAGATGCCTTGTGTGATTTAACGTTATGGAGCGCTGCTATAACCTCTCTTTCCTGTATGATCATGGTCTGTGACTGAGTCTTAGTTCCTACTATATCTAAATTGTTAACACTGGACCCATTTGAATGATCAATTCTTGAAAAGTACGAGTTAAGATTGTTTGCAGGACTGTAAGGATTCTCATATTGCTGAACTTTTTCCTTTTGTCTACCTGTTAATATATCTAGTCCCTTCCATGCCTCTCTTACATCTCCTGTTTGTAATTTCTGCTCCACCTTTTCTTTATATTCATTCTGTGCACTTTTTATCTTACTTTTAACTACTCTGTTTAACTCCTTTACCTTCTGCTGATCATTCTGCAAAAAAACAATTTTTTTCAAATGTAAAAAATATTTTAAACCTTTAGTTATCCATAGCTTGTTATTTAGATAGATTTTGACGCACTTAGATTTAACAGAGTTTACACAGAAGTTAACATAACCAGTTATTGTGTCATTCAACATTTCATAATTATTACTACAATCATAGTCATTAAAAAATAAGTCCCACAGATATGGAAAATGAAAAATTGTAATAATAAACTATAGAATACAAACTGTTGCACTCATTGTAAAGTTTTATAGCTGTGAGTTAAGAACATTAATTATAGAGTAGAAACAATTTTGCTTAATCCTCCTTTACATTCATCCAGTTGCTAAGACTAGGAGTATCCCGCAAGTGCACAGAGACTCCCAAATGCCCGCAAATGAATGATAATTTCTCGCAAACCGGTCGTTAAATACATTGCACACCGCTCTCCCCCGCATCCCTCCTAGCTCTTCAGGTAGCCTATGTCGTGCGCAACTCACCCCCACCGTCCTTCAGGTACATCTCGCACGCACACGCCCCTACTCAGATACGTCGCTCACTCCACCCCTGACACCCCTCAACGGGCCTGACACACACACACACAAACACACACACAACGCGCTACAGACGTTTTGGCCCCAACGGCCTTCCATACTGGAGCGACTCCCCTCAGATTCAACACGCATGATCACGTTCATCAAATTTACTTAAACTAAGCGCCCTAAAGTATTACTGTATTTCACAAGGATTCTGACACAACAACGCGAAGCATACACTTTCATTGCGTTTAATGAGGAAACACGTTAAACTTGGAGTCATGCTGAAATCAGAGTAATGCCCTGTCTTTGACAGCTCGTGACTTCACCAGAGACTTTCTGAGTACATTCACATAAGACACCAATACTCCGATTTTAATATGATTAAGATTATACTCTTATTAAAATTCTACCGAGTAGCCTAAGCAGTGATTTTATTACCTTAAAGGAACACCGAGTCACGAAATGCGGAGGATTTTCTTTCTGTTTGCCATGCGGTATCAACTTACAACAGAAGTCGAAAGTTAAAAATGAAACACCCGAAATTGCATGAAACTTTGGATAACCTGGTGATGTGACTAATTGTTTTATACTGAAACTTGCCTTCAAAAAGTGCTTTCTTGGTCTTATCCACATTTCTTGCATGTTAAACACACGTCCACCACAACAGGAAGTAAAAAAAAACCTGCAACTGCGTTAATTTTTTTTAACGCGTTAATTATTTAAAATAAACACATGCGTTAGTGCACTAATTTTAAGAGCGCTAATATATATATATATATATATATATATATATATATATATATATATATATATATATATATACTCAAACATATTCAAACATGCTGTGAGTGTATATACGCATACACATGAGTGTATATTCATTTTGAAAATATTAAAAGTGCATTAAGACTTTACACAAAGCTCTGTTTTTTACCTAAAGTGTGATGAATACCTCTTTCCTCAGGCCAACATCAAAGATCTGTCTCAGATGCTGAAGAAGATGCCGCAGTACCAGAAAGAGCTGAGCCTGGTAAAAAAAAATATATGATTCAGCATTTACTCAACCACTATTGAACACAAAAGAAGATATTTTGAAGAATGTTGAAAACCAATAGCCATTGGCTTTCATAGTAGGAAAAACAAAAACAATGGAAAATGATGGCTACAGAAACATTTTTCAAAATATCTTCTTTTATGTTGACCAGAAGAAAGCAAGTCAAACAAACATATAAATGATGACATAATTTTCTGTATTCAGTCATATTTCTGAACATTTGTGCTTTCTACAGTACTCCACTCATCTGAACCTGGCTGATGCTTGCATGAAGAAGTTCAAGAACACGTTAGACAAGCTGTGTGAGGTGGAGCAGGTCAGTGCTGTCTGGTTTTCTCCTTATTTAATCACACAATTTAGCATTATTTTTTGCTTTTTTAATATGTAACATTTAGTGATGTATATTTATGGCTTGTTTTGTGAGTCTACATACAGCAATTTGGGTATATATGACTTTATTTTAGAGGGACTATCTTTCCTTACTTTTTCTAAGCTTCTTATTGTAAATGTATGCGGCAGATTGTGCGCTGAACTTTGACCTGTTTCTGTAAAATAATGCACAGGAAGCTATTGCGTAACCTTTGAAAGTAGCAAGAACGTTTGCTGGACATTGTACAGCCATCTCCCTGTGTCATTTATAGCAGATGGAGGGTTTTCGCTAAGTGCACGGCTCTCTCTGTGTGTGGAGGTATTATAACCAGCTGGTTAATGGCTGGAGCTGATGCACTTCTTTATGTGCTGCGTTTATAACTCTTGATTTGATCTGTTGATGGATAATCTCAACTACCTCCTATTTTGACGCACTTGCATGTTTATGGCAGTGTTATTTTATGTAATTGTTATATAAATATCTACCTTAACATCTGCCTGTAAACTGATGGCGAGTTCTGGATATATCATCTAAATTTGTGAAAAACAATAAAGGTCCAACCAGTTTTGAATCAGCATACTGTATTTGTTTTTGGAGGATCATGTGACACTGAAGATGAAAGTAACGATGAAAAAAATCACAGAAAGGAACTACATTTTAAAATAGTCAAACAGAAAGTGTTTATGAACTGGATGAATATTTCACATTATTGCATTATTTTTATTGCATTTTTCATGAAATAAATGCAACCTCCGCCCTCCGTAAACACATGAGATTTCTTTCAAAACATTTTTATTTAAAAAATTTCAATGGAAATACATTTTTTACATTTTGAAAGTTTTAAATTGAGAATTTTTAAATTATATTTTATCCGAAGCAACTCATAAAAGAGAACAAAGAAGCACGTCAAATCACCAGATAGCAGAAATATATAGATTCCATGACTAGTACAATTTAGTTTAGCATTTTTTGGTATTTATACATCCAAACATACAACCCCAAATCAGAAAAAATTGGGACACTATGGAAAACGCGAATAAAAAAAGAATGTAGTGATTACTAAATTTACTTTGACTTGCAGACAATACAACAAACATCATTTAATGTGTTCCTCATGAGTTTTATATTTTATTTTTTGTTCAAAATAAGCACATTTCTAGTTTGGTTCTGGCAACACTTTAAAAAAAAAAAGCTGTAAGTAAAAGCTGCAACTTCATTGCAGTGTTGCCATTCCTTTTCACAACATTTAAAAGACTTAAGGACTGAAGTAAAAACACCATTTGATGAAGTGCTTTAAGTGTAATTTTGTCCCTTGCAAACATGTCTTAAGGTTGGTACGCCATCTTTGTTGTTCCGTTTTGTGATTTTAAAATGCATCGCATCAAATTCTCTATTGGAGACAGGTCTGGACTGCAGACAGGCCAGTCAAGTACCTGCATCTTCTTCTTTTGTAATCAGCACTGTATAATGTGTGCAGAATGTGGTTTTGCATTGTTTTGTTGAAATATATTTTCCAAGGCCGTCCCAGGGAAAGAAGGCAGCATATTGTACTCTAAAATCTTCAAAATGCACTTTCCAGCATTAATGGTGTCATCACAGAAGAGCAAGGTATCTTTACCAAGGGAACTGACACAACCCAATGCTGGGTTTTGAACTTGTTGCTGGTAACAGTCTGGATGATTGTTTATTCTATGGCCCAGAGGACAAAGTGTCCATTTCTCCCAAAAAAAAAATACTTGAAATACTGATTCATCTGAACACAGTACACGTTTCCACTGTGTGATGGTCCATTCCAGATGCCTTCGAGCCCAGAAAAGTTAACAGTGCTTCTGGACACTTTTAACATAGGGTTTTCTTTTGGCACAGTACAGTTTTCACTGGTATTTATGGATGTAAACTTGTATTGTAGTACTTGACAGGTTTTTTAAAGTAGTCTTGAGCCCATGTGTTCATATCGCTTGAAGATGAATGACAAATCAAGCGTCACCAGATATCACATTTGTTCAGCTTAGGTTTGAACCCTTGTCCTTAACACACTGAAATTCCTCCAGATTCCTTGAATTTTTTAATTATGATATGCAATGTTGACGGTGAAATATCCAAATGTCTTCCTATCTTTCTTTGGGAAACATTGTTTTCAAACATTTCAATACTTTTCTCACGTATTTGTTGGCAAGCTGGCAATCCACTGCCCATCTTTGCTTCTAAAGGACTAGACGTTTCTTGGATGCTGCTTTTGTACCAAATCATAATTATAATCATCTGTTGAAATCACCTGTTTCAAACTACATCATTATTTAACCAATTCACCTCATTACAATCCCTAGTCCTAGCTTTTTCTGATTTGGTATTGTACATAAACATACACACAAACACATACACACATTCATATGCACACAGAGAGGAAAGAGTGTGTCTACAACAGGTGGTCTATCAAGCTCACTCACCTGCATGAAGCACACAAAGAATTCAGAAAATCATCAGAAAGTGTTGATAAGAAAGTGTCTGGTGCACATGGAGAGGAAAGAGCGTGTCTCCTACTTTATTAGCTACATTTTAAATTAAATGAACTAAAGACGTTCATCGTTCATGTCCATTAAAATGGTGCATGATGAAGGTTAACAAATGTAAGCAGTCATTAAATGGTATGTGCGAGTCGGCTGTACTGTTCTCAGAAATACTTCTGTGTTTTCTCTAGGATTTGGCCATGGGATCAGATGCCCAGGGCGAACCGCTTAAAGATGCTATGAAGAGTATCGTCCCTGTTCTTCTCAACACAGAGATCAAAGACTATGATAAAATCCGCATCATACTGCTGTACATCTTCCACAAGAAGAAGGGTATAAACATCCGCATCTGTGTTTGACAGTAAAATGTAAGCATAAATGTGCAGTTAACTTTAATGGGATTGATTCTTACACACAGGCATCGGTGAAGAGAACCTCACAAAGCTCATCCAGCATGCAAACGTTCAGCAGGACAAGAACATCATCACCAACCTGCAGCATCTAGGCTGCCCTATCATCACTGGGGTAAGATAAGAAGCTCTAATGTATGATGATGTGCTCACAGCTGTTTTCTCACCTAGTATTTTATTATATTAGCTTTAGAAAGTCATCGTTACGCCTGTTAAAATATCATATTTACAACTAATACTGAAGCTGTCTATCTGTCTGTAAATATCTGTAATCTGTCTTATTGTCTATATGTCGATCAGTCTGTCCGTGGGACAGTCTCGGTTTATTTGTCATCTGTCTGTCTGTCTCTCTGTACATGTCTGTTGGTCGCTCGCATGTGGGTCTGTCTGTCTCTGTCTGTCTGTCTGTTGGTCGTTTGGTCCATGTGGGGGTTGTCTGTCAATCAGTTGGTCTGTCTGTCTGTTAGTCGTTCGGTCCATGTGGGGGTTGTCTGTCTGTCTGTTGGTCGGTCGGTCCATGTGGGGGTTTTCTGTCGATCAATTGGTCTGTCTGTCTGTTGTCGGCAGGCTCATGTGGGGGTTGTCTGTTGATCAGTTGGTCGGTCGGTCTGTCTGTCTGTCGGTCGGTCGGTCTATGTGGTGTTTGTCTGTTGATCAGTTTGTCGGTCTGTCTGTTGGTCAGTCGGTCCATGTGGTGTTTGTCTGTTGATCAGTTGGTCGGTCTGTCTGTTGGTCGATCAGTCCATGTGGTGTTTGTCTGTTGATCAGTTGGTCCGTCTGTCTGTTGGTCAGTTGGTCAATGTGGTGTCTGTTGATCAGTTGGTCCGTCTGTCTGTTGGTCAGTTGGTCAATGTGGTGTTTGTTGATCAGTTGGTCTTTCAGTCTGTTGGTCGGTCGGTCCATGTGGTGTTTGTCTGTCAATCAGTTAGTCTTGTCTGTCTGTTGGTCGGTCGGTCCATGTGGTGTTTGTTTGTTGATCAGCTGGTCTGTCTGTCTGTCTGTCTGTCTGTCTGTCTGTCTGTCTGTCTGTCTGTCTCTTGGTCGGTCGCTCCATGTGGGGGTTGTCTATCGATCAGTTAGTCTTGTCTGTCTGTTGGTCGGTCGGCCCATGTGGTGTTTGTCTGTCCGTCAGTTAGTCTTGTCTGTCTGTTGGTCGTCGGTCCATGTGGTGTTTGTCTGTTTATTAGTTGGTCGGTCTGTCTGTTAGTCGGTCAGTCCATGTGGTGTTTGTCTTTTGATCAGTTGGTCTGTCTGTCTGTTGGTCGGTTGGGCCATGTGGGGGTTGTCTGTTGATCAGTTGGACTGTCTGTTTTTTGGTCGGTCGGTCCATGTGGTGTTTTCTGTCTGTCCGTGGGATCAGTTGGTCTGTTTTTCTGTTGGTCGGTCAGTCCATGTGGTGTTTGTCTGTTGATCAGTTGGTCTGTCTGTTGGTCAGTTGGTCCATGTGGTGTTTGTCTGTTGATCAGTTGGTCTGTCTGTCTGTTGGTCGGTCTGTCCATGTGGAGGTTGTCTGTTGATCAGTTGGATATGTCTGTCTGTTGGTCGGTCGGTCCATGTGGGGGTTGTCTGTCGATCAGTTAGTCTTGTCTGTCTGTTGGTCGGTCGATCCATGTGGTGTTTGTTTGTTGATCAGTTGGTCTGTCTGTCTGTTGGTCGGTCTGTCCATGTGGAGGTTGTCTGTTGATCAGTTGGATATGTCTGTCTGTTGGTCGGTCGGTCCATGTGGGGGTTGTCTGTCGATCAGTTAGTCTTGTCTGTCTGTTGGTCGGTCGATCCATGTGGTGTTTGTTTGTTGATCAGCTGGTCTGTCTGTCTGTTGGTCGGTCTGTCCATGTGGAGGTTGTCTGTCGATCAGTTGGATATGTCTGTCTGTTGGTCGGTCGGTCCATGTGGGGGTTGTCTGTCGATCAGTTAGTTTTGTCTGTCTGTTGGTCGGTCGCTCCATGTGGGGGTTGTCTGTCGATCAGTTAGTCTTGTCTGTCTGTTGGTCGGTCGGTCCATGTGGTGTTTGTTTGTTGATCAGCTGGTCTGTCTGTCTGTTGGTCGGTCGGTCCATGTGGGTGGTTGTCTGTCGATCAGTTAGTCTTGTCTATCTGTTGGTCGGTCGGTCCATGTGGGTGGTTGTCTGTTGATCAGTTAGTCTTGTCTGCCTGTTGGTCGGTCGCTCCATGCGGTGTTTATCTGTTGATCAGTTGGTCTGTCTGTCTGTTGGTCGGTCGGGCCATGTGGGGTTTGTCTGTCGATCAGTTGGACTGTCTGTTTTTTGGTCGGTCGGTCAATGTGGTGTTTTCTGTCTGTCCGTGGGATCAGTTGGTCTGTTTTTCTGTTGGTCGGTCAGTCCATGTGGTGTTTGTCTGTTGATCAGTTGGTCTGTTTGTTGGTCAGTTGGTCCATGTGGTGTTTGTCTGTTGATCAGTTAGTCTTGTCTGTCTGTTGGTCGGTCGGTCCATGCGGTGTTTATCTGTTGATCAGTTGGTCGGTCTGTCTGTTGGTCGGTCGGTCAGTTAAATGTTTGTTAGTTTGTCTGTCTGTTTGTTGATTAGTCAATCTGTCTGTCAGTCGGTGTGCTGTTTGTTTGTTTTTGTATGTTGATCTGTCTGTCTGTCAGTCGGTTGGGTCAGTCAGTCCTTCTGTCTGTCAATCTGTCTGTTGGTGGGTCAGTCAGTCAACTGGTCGGTGTGACTGTAGTCTGTCTCTCTGTATCTGTCTGTTGGTTGGTTTATGTGCTGTTTGTCTGTCTTTATGTCTGTTTATTGGTTGATCAGTCGATCTGTGTTGGTCGATCTGTGTGTCTGTGTGCTCTCTGTCTGTCAGTCAGTTGACCGGTCAGTTTTTTGACTGTCTTTCTCACTTTGTTTCTATCTATCTGCCTGTCATTGTTTGTCTGTTTGTGAGTTAGTCAGTCGACCGGTTGGTTTTGTCTGTCGTCTCTCTCTCTCCGTCTGCCTGTCTGTTTTTCTATATGTTGATTGGTTGATCTGTCTGTCTTTCTGTACGTTCATTGGTTAGTCATGTCTTTCCCTAATCAACAATTATCATAATTATGTGGCACAAGTTCATAGTGTGTGGCTGAAGATTAGTGTGCTAACAGGTTTAGAGCAACATGTTCTCTGTCATGTGTTTCAGGGTGCTAATTCTGGAAAGAGTCTGCCTGACAGGAAAGAGCGCACAGAATCTACATATCAGCTCTCCCGCTGGATACCCGTCCTGAAAGATGTGATGGAGGTCAGCAAACTCTATTATTATTATTATTATTATTATTATTATTATTATTATTATTTAAGTATTATTATGCTTATGTAAATTGATGTTTCTCTGCAGAATATCATTGATGACAAATGTGACAGGAAGCAGTGGCCATTCCTGTCTGAGCCTGCACCCATCACCACCACCGCAACTACAGTCAGGTACTTGCTCCTACAACTCCGCCTCACTAAAATGATTCATCACACATGCATTGTCCAATTGTACAATTGAAAAACACTCAAGTAAAAAAAAACGATTGTAATTTTGCATCCATTTTCAAACTCAAATTGTGGATAAATGTAATTCAGTCATAATTGGGATTATCATATTACATTGCTGAGTTTGCTTGTTGTGGAAAAAACAGAAATTCAATTATGAAATAAACAAATGATTGATACATTTGTGGATATAGAGCAAATGTTTATATTTGTACATTTATTTAGTTATTTCAGGGTTTCCTTAAAGTCTTAAATTCACTTAAATATTGTGCTGTAGGTCTTAAATCATTTTAAACAAGTCTTAATTTTCCACGAGAAGCCACCCAATTGGGTCAACACCCATCCAATCACTAACATTCCATCTCAATAAAAGTTTTAACAAGAGATTATTTATTAACTCTTATTTACTAACTCTATTTATATTTCCATTTATAAACATAGGGTTTAATTATCTTCCTTACTATAACATTTGTTTTAAATGTTTTTTAATTTTTTTATTCAGTTTTTACTGAGCCATTAGAAAAAAAATCTCTAGCATTTAACCTTGTGTAAGTCTGAAATTTCATTCCTAATGGTCTTAAAAAGTCTTAAATTTAATTTGATAAAACCTGTAAAAACCCTGTAGTTATATAGTAGTTAATACATTATCTAAATATGTATTCATTTGTAAATATACAGTTATAGTTTTCTGCATTTTATATATTTGTAAACACTTATTTGTAATATTGTTTTTTTTTAATTGACCTCTACGATTTGTTTTTATTCATGTATTCAGATTACTTTCACTAAAAAGCCACTATCTGAACAAAAAGCTGTGAAAATCTGGATCAGATTAAGTGTGACTAAATAAACAGAGGTCAAGTCCATCAACTCTCTCCATATTTCATTATGTAATGTTTATTTTTATGTGCATTCATAAGCTGTTTAATGTTTGATATTTACATTAGTTTACATGTAAATGAGCAACTCTACTACTGGTTGCTTTTTTATCACTCTACAAACATGGTTCACTGGCAAATTGAGTCAGTGGCAGGGAAAGAGTTGAAGATTATTTCACTGTCAGAATTAAAATGTACTAATAATGTACTCATCACCTCAATGGACAGCCAGTGAGCCTTGACCATTACTTTGTTTCTTTCTGTCAAACAGAAATGACATGTTATGAGCAAAACAATCCACCATTATTTTTTCGGTATAGTGGACTTATGGTGCTCAGTGGTTCTACTTCCAAAAAACAAAATTTTTTTCCCTCTTAGTATGACATTTGAACCACATTTGCGAAACTTCATTGCCGATCTCAGCCAGTCATATTAGTCTGTTTTGGATGAATTTCAGATTTCGAGAGAGGCTGGATTGGATCAATACAGGCTAAGTTCTAAAGCCCTGCTCACATTGTGAGATTTTAGCTTTGATTTTGCCATCTGAGACAAATTTGAAAAGATTCCTGAAATCCTATGCTTAAGCTGTGATCTTTAATCTTTGGTTTGACATGTTCATGTTTGCGATCAGTTTTTTCCTCTGATGAAGTTTTTTAATGTCTGAAGATTTCAGACACTTTCATACAGTGTGACTATAGCTGCGATGAGCGTCAACCCAAGCACCAATAGGAGCACCGAATCTGATGACACAATCCATGTGACAATTCAAATGACTGCAGGGAAATGTCAAAATTGCAGCTACAGATTGTTTACCATTGCTGTGAGGAGTCATTTCAGAATGTGGGTTAGTGAAAGTGTCTCGGATAGATGAAGTCAAACTCCGGGGGAGTTTTCTTCAGTCTTTGGCGCATCTTCATTGTCGTTCAGTCTGACATTATGACAGCTGAGATCTTACAGTGTGACATGGAGCAATGTTCATGCAGTCTGACAAGCTGCAATCGTTTAAGATTAAAAAAAATTCGTAGTGTGAGCCGGCCTTTAAACATAGATCTCAAACTGGATTCCTGCTGCTTCTGCACAGTTTTGCTCTCATCCTATCAAACACAGCTGATCCAACTAATCAAGGTGTTCAAGACGACGGCTGTTTCTCAGTTCCAAGAAATCAGAGAACGGACTTGCGTTTTTGTGGAGACCAGTCTTTCCAAGTTTCCTCGAAAAAACAAACTCTGGAGACCACAAGAACAGAGAACGCGTCCTGTGACAAATGAGATTCTGCGTTCTTCCCTGGTTCTTCCTGATGGTCACATGACCGTCACACGTTTTTAATGGAATATTATTTAAACATTACAGCAGGGGTAACCAATCCCGGTCCTGGAGGGCCAGTGTCCCTTCAGGGTTACACTCCAGCTTGCCTTAACATACCTGCCTGGGTGTTTTAAGTATACCTAGTGAGACCTTGATTAGCTTGTTCAGGTGTGTTTGATTAAGGTTGGAGCTAAAATCTGCAGGGCACCGCCCCTCTAGGAACAAGTTTGGTGACCCCTGCATTACAGCATTCATGCAATGAGTTATTGTTTTTCCCCTTTTCACAATATATACTATGCAAAAAAAAACTTACAAATATGTTGCACAATACAAATAAAACTAATTTTAATATGAATTTCAGCAAATAAACGCCCTTAATGCGTGTATGCCTCTATTAAGATTTTTCTGGTAATATTTACTTTTATCATTTCAGTTAGGGAAACTCCTGAGGTAAATAAGTTATACTCCGAACTTAATTAATAAATCTATATGAAATGCTGCACTTCTCACCTCCTTATTCATCTGCAATGACTTCTTGATATCAAGAGCACATCCGGGAACTTTGGCGTACTCCGTTCTTTTTCAGTTTTGGAACTTAACTTTGGCAGTTGATGATAACACATGTTACATGAGGATGCAAGAATGCTGAAGAACGCATATTGAGAAACAGCCTAGAGACTGTTAGGCAGGTGTGAGTTGGAGCTAAACTGTGCAGAACTGTGGCCCTTCAGAAAAAAAAGTTTGAGACCATTGCTCTAATGATCCTAGCTGAGAAATAAGAGTCTTACTGAGCAATGCAATCAGTAAAAATAATCATTTATACACTTTCTGACTATAAAAAATTCGCCACTGAATCTGTCTGTGTCCTTTCAGTAACTGAATATTGATTTTAGTTTATTAACAGCTAAAGTCAAAATTATTAGCTCCTGTGATTTATTTATTTATTTATTTATTTATTCATTTATTTATCCAATTATTCATTTATTTATTCATTTATTTATTTATTCATTTATTTATTTATCCATTTTTTATCAAGTTATGTTTAACAGAGCAAAGACTTTTTCACAATATTTTCTATAATATTTTTTTCTTCTGGGGAAAGTCTTATTTGTTTTATTTTGGCTGAAATTAAAGCTTTCTTAAAATTTTGTTAAAACCATTAAACATCAATATTATTAACCTCTTTAAGCTATATTTTTTCCTATTGTCTACAGAACAAACCATCATTATACAATGACTTGCCTAACTTGCCAAGTTAAGCCTTTTAAATGTCACTTTAAGCTGAACACTAGTATCTTGACAAATATGGTAAAATATTATTTACTGTCATCATGGCAAAGATAAAATAGATCAGTTATTAGAGATTAGCAATTAGAACTCTTGTGTTTAGAAATGTGTTAAAAAAATATCTTCTCTCCATTAAACAGAAATTGGGTAGAAAAATATATACACAGGGGCTAATAATTCTGTCTACAACTGTGTGTATGTGGTGTGACGTGACTCTTGAATCTCATTGCAGCAGCGCACGGTTTGGACACTGGCACAAGAACAAGTCTGCCACAGAGTACCGCAGTGGCCCTCGCCTCATCATCTTCGTGATTGGAGGAGTCACACATTCAGAGATGCGCTGCGCTTATGAAGTGACCCGCGCCACTGAGGGCAAATGGGAGGTTCTGATCGGTAAGAGGAAAACACTTAAGTGAAAACTTAAAGAAATCACTTCAGCTTGTCCTAACTAGTGTTGGAATATCTAATCAAAGCGTGTTCAATAGAAAAGGTCAGGAGAGGGTTTTCTTCAATGTTAAAAATCTTAATAATTTATTAGATACAAATAATTCATTACAGCCACAGAGTTCTGGTGTTCTCAATGCAATGCAAGAATTACATTCAGGAGGTGCGCAACAGTTTTCAATTGCTGACTTCAACTTTTATAGGCAGCTGATATTGACAGGTGGAGTTTAGAGTAATTCATCACTTGTCAATCATTCTGCAATCCTTCATTGGCCGCACCCATACATACATCCTCTTTTTCTACGAATTCCCTGCACAATGTTAAAAGCATCAGACTTCTCAACTGCAAATATTCTGTGTTCACTTTCAACCCGTCTCTGCTCACAGGAAGTTTAGCTGCAGAGCTCAAGTTAATTTTAGACAGTCAGGCCTTTGGATTTTTATCAGCTTCATCTACTTCTGCAAAAATGCTTCATTAGTATGCAAGGCGTATCACACTCAAGAAAAGTTCAGCTAATATATCACCTTTAATCAACACAAATATAATTGTTTAATGAAAAGAAAAAGAGACAAAAATAATTAAAAATTTTTTTTTCCACCATTAGATTCATTCAGTTTCATTGTGAATTCTTCCCAAACAGTTATTTACGTCAAATTGTGAAATTATATTCATATCACAAAATTCACTCATTCATTTTTCTTCGGCTTAGTCCTTTTATTCATTGTTGGTCGCTACAGTGGAATGAACCGCCAACTCATCAAGCATACATTTCACGCAGCGGATACCCTTCCAGCTGCAACCCTGCACTGGGAAACACCCATACACTCTAATTCCCACACATACACTATGGCCAATTTAGTTTACTCAATTCACCTATAGCGCATGTCTTTGGACTGTGGGGGAAACCAGAGCACTTGGAGGAAACTCACGCTAACATGGGGAGCACATGCAAACTCCAGACAGTAAGTTGGCCAGCCCACACAGTGTTGGCCAGCCCAGTAACCAGTTTAAACATTATTGCGCATGTCTGGGGTAAAATGATGGAGGAAGCATGAAGGATTATTCCAAATAATCTTGATGAATTCTGGGAGTCCTGCAAAAACGCTTTCTTTGCCATTCCAGATGACCATTAATAAGTTATTTGAGTAATTGCAGAGATGTATGCAGTCCTTCAAGCTCATGGGAGTCACACACAATATTAATTATTTTTTCCACTGCAGACCTTACTGTCATAATGAAATAATTAAAAATCAAGGCATGCTCATATTTTATTTTGGTAAAATAGGCGTAATCTAGGGGCCTTTGCCTTTTATATAAGCCACTTCTGATATCAAATGATCAACTAGAAGTCAAATTATTATTTGTTGTTCCTAAAACTCAGATAGGCGACAAGACTTTTGTCAGGTATTTTAGGTTTCAATAAGTGTAGCGCTGCTCTATAAAAAAAAAATGTACATTCACAACCTCACAGAAACATTGTAGTTTAAAATGTCAAATGTGTTTTTGTTCTCCAGGATCGTCTCACATTATTACTCCAACCAGCTTTCTGAATGACCTGAAGGAGCTGGACGCGTCTGCAACAAGTGTTGCACAGTAACCCCCTCTCACAGATTCATCCCACATGTGAACATTAAGAGTTTCTCCAATGACCAGTGAAAAAAAGACACATTTTAAATCTGCCTCACTGATTATTTGCTGTCTTTTAAAGTAATGATTTTAATTACGCAAATTAACTGGTGGTATATGTGTGTGTATATATATTCATGACCTATGCTTAATTTAAAAGAACAATTATATGTAAGACCACATATGTGAACGTAATTAGAATTCTGAGGCTGGAAATTGTCCACATAAATGGATTAAATCTCGCTCCGCTCCATTGAAATGCCAGTCCTGTCAAGTTTTGATGTGATTTAAGGACTTCTTTAGACCTGCACACTGGAACGAATGATCACACTGGATTTAGAGATATTATCTATCGCCTTGTGATTTATCATAAAGAATATACATTTTTATCTTACTTTAAAACTGCCAATGTGAAAACTTAAGGTATTTAAGATGAGGCTGTTTGTAGTAGAGCTGTCCAATTTTGATTTCCAGTCAGGTTTGGTTATATCTGCCTCTCTTGGTGAAGGGATGAAATGTGTCATCTCAGTATATATACAGTATGTCTTTTTTGTTTGTTATGCTCTGAACTTGTGCACTTTTTTTCTTATACTGTTACTGTATCACATATAGATGGATGTGGTTCACTGGGTCTATTTGTCTTTTGTTTCTGTTAACATTAATTCTAAATAAAATTTGCTTATACCTCATTCTAGATGGCTTGCAGGATGCATCATCATGCAGTCAGTTTACTGTTTAGTTTAACATATTGGGTTTTTAAGGGTTTATTCTGAGTTGAGACTATGATTTTAAGTGAGAATATTCATCTTTTTTAGAAATAGGCACATTTCACAAGTCAACTGGGGTTAAAAAGTTTAGTTTACCATTATTAAATTGATTCAGCTGTTCTTTGAGTCTAGCGGGAGCACTTTTAGCATTAGACGATTAGCATCACGCTAACACATTCAAAGCTGTTTTGATAGTTTTTCTATTTAGCGCTTGAATCTTCTGTAGTTACTATTTATATTAAGGACAAAGGATAATGCTAAATTTAATACTTTATAAGTTCATATGTCTAGGAAATATGCCATTGTAAAAACAATTAAGGAACTTTGTTGCTGTACCATGCTAGGAAATTGGGCAACAGCACTGTTATACACTCACTTTATCGGGTACGCCTATCCAACTGCTTGTTAACGCAAATGTCTGATCAGCCAATCACATTTCAGCAACTCAGTGCATTTAGGCATGTAGACATGGTCAAGACGATCTGTTGCGTTTCAAATCGAGCATCAGAAAGAGGAAGAAAGGTGATTTAAGTGACTTTGAATGTGACATGGTTGTTGGAGCCAGACGGGCTGGTCTGAGTATTTAAGAAACTGCTGATCTACTGGGATTTTCACGCACAACCTTCTCTAGGGTTTACAGAGTTCTTTGGGTGCAAATGCCTTGTTGATGCCAGAGGTCAGAGCAAAATGGCAGACTGTTTCGAGCTGATAGAAAGTCAACAGTCCAACCTTTAGGCAGATGGGCTACAGCAGCAGAAGACCACACTGGATGCCACTCCTAAGAACAGGAAACTGAGGCTACAAATGGCACAGGCTCACTAAAATTGGACAATAGAGATTGGAAAAATGTTGCCTGGAGTGCTGAGTCTTGATTTTTGCTGTGGTAGGGATGGTAGGGTCAGAATTTGGTGTCAACAACATGAAACATGGATCCATCCTGCCTTGTATCAATGGTTCAGGCTGCTGGTGGTGGTGGTGATTCAATTAAATTAAACTCAGCTTTATTTGTATAGTGGTTTTACAATGTAGATTATGTCAAAGCAGCTTCACATAAATGGTCATAGTAACTGGATCAGGGTAGTTTAGTTTTTAGTGTTTAAGTTCAGTTCAGTTTAGCTCAGTTCAGTGTGGTTTGAAATCATGAGTCCAAACAATGAAGAGCAAATTTATCAATGTGTAGCTCTACAGATCCTGAACCATGCAAGCCAGTGGCGACAGCGGAGAGGGAAAAAAAACTTCACCAATAGGAGAGTGAAGAAAAAAAACCTTGAGAGAACCAGACTCAATTCAGCACGACCATTTTAATTTCTCTGCTGATGATGGTGGTGTAATGGTGCGTGGGATTTTTTCTTGACTCACTTTGGACGCATTAGTACATTGTGTCAATACCACAGCCTACCTGAGTATTCTTGTTGGCCATGTCCATCCCTTTGTGACCACACAGTGTACCCATCTTCTGAACACGCCATGTCAAAGCTTGAATCATCTCAGACTGGTTTCTTGAACACGACAATGAGTTTACTGTACTCAAATGGCCTCTGCAGTTACCAGAGATCAATCAAATAGAGCACCTTTGGGATGTGGTTGAACGGGAGATTTGCATCATGGACAAATCTGCAACAATTGCACGATGCTATCATGTCAATATAGACCCAAATCTCTGAGGAATACTTCCAGTGCCTTGTTTAATCTATGCCACAAAGGATTAAGCCAGTTCTGAAGGCAAAAGTGGGTTCAACTCAGAATTAGTAAGGTGTACCTAATAAAGTGGCTGGTGAGTGTATATAATTGCAATGGCAACAATGTTTCATAAATTATTGTTCTGGAATGATAGTATTGTTACTAGCTTTATCGACCTAGAAAATAGCAACTTTTCATTTTTTATCTGTCATACGATATAATTACAGAAGAGTGTGGCTTTTAATAGGAAACTTATCTGATCATTTTTTTTTTACTTTTTTTTTTTTTTTTTTTTTTTTTTTTTTTAGAGGATTATGTTTATGGTCTAATCTGATTCAATAATTTATGCTAAGCTAAGCTAAAAGTGCTTTTGCCAGACCCACTTACTGTAAATAGTGGTAAAAACGCAACTGTTTAATTGTAGGTGACTTGTAAAATTGTTTATTTGCAAATACGTAAGTGGAGTGTTCAATGCTTTAATCGATGAAGGATGTGTTAAATTAACCAAAAGAGGCTTCAAACAAATACTTCTTAAAATTTCAAATACTGTGCCCTTTAAATGAGATCTTGGTTGTAAACTTTACTAAACATCTGTCTGAAGCACACACTATTTATTTTGACTTCATGGGGTTCATAATTAGTATTTAAATTTTTTAAATATCACTATAAAAATATATAAAATATAAAAAATATATGATATTAATATTATTAGTAATATTTTTTGTTATTATTATTCTATACTTTGTACAAATGTGTAACTGCAAATCCGTCAGCTGAGTTCTTGGCTGAAATAGAGACAGCGCTTTGTTTAAGCCTATTGTCTGCAGGTTTGCAGAAATCCATTAATCGCTTCCATAGAGTTATGAACCTAAACACAGAATGACGGTGAGTGTCAGGAGGTCCCGCTCAGAGATATTGATGTCACCGCGCAAATGATTGTGGTCCCACATGATAAAAGATGATGATCGCTGCATGATAGAGCGGATTAACGGTTTTTATCTGGGATTAAAGACGGAGCCTGTCTAGGTTTCCTAATGGCTGTGGGTTTATATTGCGGAGCTTAAGACCTTCTGAAAGCTCTCCATCATCACTTCTCAGAGCTTCACTTCAGTCACCACCGCACAACTTTGAACATAAGTACTGAACTGTACGATGACCGGCGTTTTAATGGGTGTTTTGAAGAGCTGTGCTGTGATATTTGTATTTTTAAACGAGGAATATTTTGAAGAAGATTGAGGACTAGGAGAAGATCTGCGGCGGATAATATGGAGGTATTTTATTTGTTATTAATTGATGGAAATGAATAGGTAAGGATGTATTGTACTACAGAGTTAAATGCGTTTGTGTTGACAGGAAGTTACAGCCGAGCAGGATGAGCTGCTTACTATTGTCAGTAACGGTCAGCGAGGAAGAATGGAGGACCAGCGCTGCACTTTGACTCCGATAACAAAAACTCGACAGGTTCACGCCAACAACTCAGGTCAGAAACTTACGCTATCAACACACGACCAAATTATTTAAAAGTTTAACGGTGTCTTTACTTTTAAAGGGGTTGTTCACCCAAAACTGAAAACTCACTGTCATATACTCATCATCTAACTTAATACTTGTTCCAAACCTGTTTCTTTCTTCTGTTGAACACAGTTACACAAATTAAGATAGTTTGAAGAATGATGAAAAAACAACCTTTGACTTTAATAGTATATTTGTTCCAACTATTGATGGCTGTTGATGATTGTTAATGGCTGTCAAAGGGATAGTTCACCCAAAAAAATTTATTTCAAACCTGTTTGAGTTTCATTCTTTTGCTGAACACAAAGCAAGATGTACTGATGTTGGAAAAACAGCCATTCACTTATATTTTGTTCTTACTATGAATGTCAAGTACTGCTTTTTCCAACAATCTACAGAATATCTAGTTGTGTTTAACAGAAGAAATAAACCAATAAATGTTTGTAACCTCTTCACTGGAAGTAATGAACATTTCGCCTTTTGGCTGAACTGTCCACATATTAGCATTTACAGCAAAATAACTGAGGTGACGTTGACTTTTAAAAGGCCAAGGCTAACAATCACAGTGAGATGAGTGTTTTCGAATAGTTTGTTTGCATACACAAATGAGGCAGTCTAACTAAATATGCACTAATTTGCATACATTTTCAAAATAAAAGTAGGTTCAAAACTCTCGGTTAATTTTGTTGACATATTAAAGATCTGTACAGAGTCAATTTCAGCTAATTTATCAGTCATGAATTGGGAATTAACGTCTTTTAGGGAAATATATAATGAGGTGTTTTGTTATTAGATGTTCTACATATAACTCAAATAATGTTTCATTTATTCTGTAAAAGCTTTGATAACAGTATTAATGTCTAGAAATATAATTGCGTTCTGAAAATCCTGGATTGTTACAAGTTCCCCAATGTTGGGTCAAATAGTCAAATCCAATGTTGGTCTAATTTTTTCTATTAAATTAATATTTCACTTACAATTAAACTGAACGATTGGTTTTGTCCATATTTGACCCAATGTTGGATTGTAACAAAAAAATTTTTTTAGTTTAATAGTTTGTAATGGTTATTTTAGTATCATTGAGATAATATTAGGTTTTATTCATTTAATTAGTTTGAGTTTTTTTTATAAGTTTTTTTTTAAAGTAGTTTTACTAATTTAGTACATCAAGCATACTTCTCAAGCTCGATTCCTGGAGGGCCACAGCTCGGCCCAGTTTTGCTTCAACCCTAATCAAACACAGCTGATTCAACTAATCAAGGTGTTGAAGACAGAGACTATTAAGCAGGTGTGAATTGGAGGTGGTTGAAGCTAAACTATGCAGAGCCGCGGCCCTTCAGGAATAGAGTTTGAGACCATCGGTTATTAGTAAAGTCTGTTATAGCCCCGCTATGTAAGGGAGTAGATGGAAATATATGTATGTAAAGTACAGCATGCAATTAAATTTTTTTTTACATTATTTTCCTCTAGTGTGATTGAAGGCATTAAAATCAACATGAGCATTTCCTTCAGAATTATAGTTGATTTATTATTATTATTATTATTATGATTATTGTTGTTTTCATTATTATTAATATTATTATTATTATTATTGGTATGACTGCAATACTATTTTCAAAATCTTCTTTTGCTAATAATTGGTCCTGATTTTAAAGTAATGATTAATAATGTTATATAATTTACTCACTCTCCACTTATTTTAAACCTTTAAACCAGATATTTTGAAGAATGCTGAATAATCAGGCAGCTGATAGTAACCACTGACTTGAATAGTATATCCCCCCTTCTATAGTTGGCAATGGTGTTTTCAGTTACCAACAGTCTTTAGAATATCTTCTTTTGTTTATCTGTTGTGTATATATTAAAGCGGCGACACAGTGGCGCAGTAAGTAGTGCTGTCGCCTCACAGCAAGAAGGTCCCTGGTCTGAGCCTCGGCTGGGTCAGTTGGCATTTCTGTGTGGAGTTTGCAGGTTCTCCCTGTGTTTGCGTAGGTTTCCTCCAGGTGCTCCAGTTTCCCTCACAAGTCCAAAGATATGCGGTACAGGTGAATTGGGTAAGCTAAATTGTCCATAGTGTATGTGTGTAAATAAGTGTGTATAGGTGTTTCCCAGTGATGAGTTGCAGCTAGAAGGGCATCCGCTGCATAAAAAACATGCTGCAAAAGTTGAAGGTTCATTCCGCTGTGGCGACCCCAGATTAATAAAGAGACTAAGCCGAAAAGAAAATGAATGAATATATAAAAGCTATATACTATATTAATATCTATTTTGTTTTCAAGAAAAGAAAGAATTTCATACAAGTACTTTCACTTTAGTCACAACAAGTCATAAAAGCTTTATTTTATTCATGGCCATTTTTTGCCCTTTATCTTGAAAGGGAAACAAAACTGAACAAACATATCATATTTTTCATTCATTCATTCATTCATTTATTTTCTTGTCGGCCAACTTATCCAGCAAGTTTTTACGCAGCGTATGGCCTTCCAGCCGCAACCCATCTCTGGGAAACATCCACACACACATTCACACACTCATACACCACGGACAATGTAGCCTACCCAATTCACCTGTTCCACATGTCTTTGGACTGTGGGGGAAACCGGAGCACCCGGAGGAAACCAACGCGAAGGCAGGGAGAACATGCAAACTCCACACAGAAACGCCAACTGAGCCGAGGTTCGAACCAGCGACCTTCTTGCTGTGAGGCGACAGCACTACCTACTGCGCCACTGCCTCCCCCCATATCATATTTTTATTGTTAAATTTGGTGCCACAAACACACAATACCATGTTTTAAATTTGACCCTGAGGACAAGTTATAGAAGCAAAAAAGCCTAAAATCTAAAAATCGTAGCGCTTTAAAAAAGCGTTAAACCCTGCCTTAACTAGGCATGGGCCGGTATAAGATTCTGACGGAATGATGACCTTGGATAAAAATATTACAGTTTTATGGTTTCGTGGTATTGTTATTACTGCTCTAAAATTATTTTTTTTAACTAAAACTTTTTCCCCTTTGAACACAATATATTTTATTTTAAAAAATATTTAAAATATTTTGTAACAGTAAACATGTCAGACTAAATAATTAAAATTAATTTTTGACTTCTGCTGTCTTAATTTATTTCAAAAACTGGAAGGGAATCCACAGCGTAAAACATATGCTGGATAAGTTGGTGGTTCATTCCGCTGTGGCGACCCCAGATTAATAAAGGGACTAAGCTGAAAAGAAAATGAATGAATACCTTAGGAATGGTATTGCTGAAAATATTGACGGTTTTAAAACCTTGACTTTTCCAAACCTCTTTGCAAAGTAAACCTTGAACACTGTTATCGTCCAATGACTTAACACTTTATTAGGTGAGGAACCATAAATCATAACTTTATCGACATTAATTATGTCACAAATGTTCAAAAGTCTTGTAATAACCCCCAATAACATGTTGGCTTTTCAAGTGAGTACCTTAATAAGTGCCATATTAAATTGTACATGTTTATGCCTCTGCACCAGATCCCGATGAGCTTTTTCAGCTCCTGGTGAAAAGCCAGTGTCAGCGATTAGATGAGCAGCGTGTGGCGCACAGTTCAATGCCAGGAATGGAGGCGTTCACCATCAGAGATCAGAAAGATGGAAATATGCTGAAGACTAACTTTGATCAGATTTGCAACATCGTCAGCAAAGCTCAGGTGAGATTTACATTCACTCATATACAGGATGTGTATATACAGAAAGCTTTTAATGTTTGATTGTACATGATAGTAAAGTTTCTTTTCTGCCATGTTAATGTCAAATAAATCAGTTCTCATGCCAGCTTGCTACTGTAAACAGAGGCTTGCAGCAGCTTGTTGCCACAATGAGTTCTTGTGATTGGTCCACTGCTTTGGAACTGACATCGATGAGTGGCGCTGTTTGTACATTTAGAAATTTTTTTTTAATGTGACATTACGTTTTAAAATTGTGGTGCTCATGTGCGAGGTTCTGCAAAATAAGCAAGAGTAATGGTTATGGATGTCCGTCTAAAGCATGTTTTTCTAGAAAAACAATGGAAAAGTAACGCATTGGTACAGGTTTCCTCCGGGTGCTCCAGTTTCGCCTACTGTCCAAAGACATGCGCTGTAGGTGAATTGAGTAAGCTAAATTGGCCGTATTGTATGTGTGTGAAAGAGTGTGTTTGAGTATTTCCCAGTGTTGGGTTGCAGCTAAAAGGGCATCCACTGCGAAATATATATGCTGGATACGTTGGCGGTTCATTCCCCTGTAGTGACCCCTGATTAATAAATTACGTTACCTACACGCGTCAGTTGCATTGCTTCACTCCCATTTTTGAATTCGCTCATGGTGCATCATGGGACAGTTTAGCGTCCATCATATGTGCACTTCAAATGAGAATCTCATTAGAAGTAGTAGGTCATGCTGTACTTGCGTTCGGCACACTGTTTTTCGAATTCTATGAATTCAAACATACTACATGGCTCGCATACTATATAGTATTTCTGTATATCGATTTCAGATGCAGAATATGGCAGGCTACAATTGTAGGTATGCAGATGTATTTTTTTTATTGACTGCCATCTACTGGCCTGGCATGCTTACTGCAACATTTCGAGAAATTTTTAGGTAGTGTGATTGAATTTTTCAAAAATTGTTTTCTAAACAATTTGATGATTTGAAAAACTTTTTAAAAATCCTTCAGTGTTGTGTCAATGTGCCCCTAAACATCTAGACAATCAGGATTTTTAGAGTATGTTTCACAATAATAAAAAAAAAAACCTGTTTCAAAATGTCATGTTGAGTTCAATCTTAATTTTTATTGCTCTTTGTGACATTTCTGAGGTAAAACTGTTTCTTAGATTACCAATTATTCATTGTTCAAGATCTGGAGAACAGACAGTTCTTAAAATGTATGAATCTGCCATGTAGAGTTTCAGGAAAAACTCAAAAGGAAGCCTGAACCCAGAGGCCTCAGGCTCTATCAGAAGAGCGAGCTTCAGTCCTCAAGCTTTAGCTGATGCAGAAGTTTACAGCACCCTGCCAGCCAGATCAGCATCATTCAACCCCATTTCAGACAAGAACAACATGGACTATGAAAATGTTCAAGTGAGTACAAATGTTTTACTTATCCTGGCCTCATGTACTTAAGCCACTGTTTTTAACTAAGTATAAAAGGCTGCTTTTCTTGTTGTTAATCCATCAGCGTGAGCAGGACCAGCTGTTGTGTCTAGTTAGTCAAGCTCAGCGTGGACGCATTGAGGAGCAGCGCTGCTCCATTAACCCCTTCGCACCTGGACATTCGGATAACACTCAGTCAGGTTAGTCTGGAATAATAAAGCTGTTGTAATTCAGTAAATTCATTAAGGTGCTTCTTTTATGCATTTCAAATATTTGCTATGTTTTGTGATGTGTATAGTATATAAAGCTGGCAGGAAATCAATTCTGCATGCATTCAGAGATTTTCAAAATGCATCACTATTTTCTGAGCTTAGTTTTTAACAGCAGATGGCACAAACTAGTCTAGTTTTTAACAGTAGATGCGCTCTAGGCTAGTTTTTAACAGCAGATGGCACACACTAGTCTAGTTTTTAACAGTAGATGCGCTCTAGGCTAGTTTTTAACAGCAGATGACACACAGTAGACTAGTTTTTTACAGGACATGATGCTGTAGGCTTGTTTTTAACAGTAGATGGCCCAAACTAGGCTAGTTTTTAACAGTAGACGTGCTTTAGGCTACTTTTTAACAGCCGATGGCACACGCTAGGCTGTTTTTTTTTTTTATAGTAGATGTGTTCTAGGCTAGTTTTTAACAGCAGATGGCACACAGTAGACTAATTTTTAACAGAAGATGATGCTCTAGGCTAGTTTTTAACAGCAGACGGCACACAGTAGACTAATTTTTAACAGAAAATGATGCTCTAGGCTAGTTTTTAACAGTAGACGTGCTCTAGGCTACTTTTTAACAGCAGATGGCACACACTAGGCTAGTTCTTTTTACAGTAGATGCGCTCTAGGCTAGTTTTTAACAGCTGATGACACACAGAAGATTTTTAACAGAAGATGATGTTCTGGGCTAGTTTAACAGCAGATGGCCTAAACTAGGCTAGTTTTTAACAGTAGATGTTCTCTAGGCTACGTTTTAACAGCAGATGGCACACACTAGGCTAGTTTTTAACAGAAGATTGTGCTCTAGGCTAGTTTTTAAAAGTAGATGGCCTAAACAAGGCTAATTTTTAACAGTAGATGTGCTCTAGGCTAGTTCTTAACAAAAAATGGCACGCTCTAGGCCAGTTTTTAACAGTAGATGGCAGTCTAGGCTAGTTTTTTCAACAGCAGATTGCACATTTTAGGCTAGTTTTTAACAGCAGATGGCCTAAACTAGGCTAGTTTTTAACAGTAGATGTTCTCTAGGCTACTTTTTAACAGCAGATGGCACACACTAGGCTTGTTCTTTTTACAGTAGACGTGCTCTAGGCTAGTTTTTAACAGCAGATGACACACAGTAGTCTAGTTTTTTTTTTTTACAGAAGATGATGCTGCAGGCTTGTTTTTAACAGTAGATGGCCCAAACTAGGCTAGTTTTTAACAGTAGACGTGCTCTAGGCTACTTTTTAACAGCAGATGGCACACACTAGGCTAGTTCTTTTTACAGTAGATGCGCTCTAGGCTAGTTTTTAACAGCAGATGACACACAGTAGACTAGTTTTTAACAGAAGATGATGCTCTGGGCTAGTTTTTAACAGCAGATGGCCTAAACTAGGCTAGTTTTTAACAGCAGATGGCCTAAACTAGGCTAGTTTTTAACAGCAGATGATCTCTAGGCTACGTTTTAAAAGCAGATGGCACACACTAGGCTAGTTTTTAACAGAAGGTTGTGCTCTAGTCTAGATTTTTAACAGTAGATGGCCTAAACAAGGCTGGTTTTAACAGTAGATGTGCTCTAGGCTAGTTCTTAACAAAAGATGGCACGCTCTAGGCCAGTTTTTAACAATAGATGGCAGTCCAGGCTAGTTTTTTCAACAGCAGATCGCACATTCTAGGCTAGTTTTTTTAACCGCAGATCGCACATTGTAGGCTAGTTTTTTTTTTCTTTTTTTTTTTCTTTCTTTTTTTTTTACAACCAATGGCACACTCTAGGCTAGTTTTTAACAGCACATGGTGCTCAAGGGCAGTGTTTCCCAACCTTTTTTTTGCCTGAGACCCCCTTTTCCCCTGGAGAATATTAAAAGGCCCCCCTCCACATTTAATGACAATATCGCTAGTATAAGTTTGCAATAGGATGTCAAAAAATTTTGTTTTTAAACAAATGATATGTTTATTACTATATCTAGATATGTTTATGCACAAATAATAACCTTATGTAAAATATGAAAGCAAAAACATCAGTAGGCCATTTGTAACTTAACAACATAAGCCTTTGGTGCCTTGCGATCAAAAACTGCTCTGGGCTTGTCTTATTAATTTGGACGGCATTATGCATTCCTTAGCAAGAACTTTGAAGCAGATAATGCACTGTGACTGGGTCAGGGACTCAGTAACGATCTTGGTTTTTCCTGCATTTCGTGTTTCCAGTGTTGCTAGCCCTGCGACCTGAAATGTTTGGAGCTTCCTCACCTGGGTCCTGTATGCTTGGGTCATTACAATTAGCTACTGAAGGCGAATCGTTTTGTTTGTAGAGGACAAATTACAAATCTGTCTGTTTTTTGCCAGCCAGGGGATGAAATGAATTAAGGCAGCATGATTGTTCTCCTAATTTTATTTAATTATTTTTTATTTAACCTTCAAATAACAAACAGGCATTTTTAACTTCCATTGTTAAACATTTATAACATTATAGCTAAGCAGCATATAATAAACAAAACAGTTCAAAATGATGATAATAATAATAATAATAATAATAAAAATAATAATTACACAAATAAACCTTAAATAATACAAAAGAAAATACATTATATTCAGGGGGGTCAGTCCATATAAGTTGACAAAAGCCTAGAGAGCAATTGTTCTCCTAATTGTCCACTGCTAAAAAAAATTTAAATATGATGTGACCCCCCACAGAGCTCGCTGAGGCCCCCTTGTGGGCCAGGACCCCACTGCTGGGAATCACTGTTCTAGGATAGTTTTAACAGCAAATGCTGCTCTCTACTCAGTTTTTAACAATAGATGGTGCCCTAGGATAGTTTTTAACTAAAAGATGGCAGGTTTCAGGCCAGTTTTTAACAGTATATGGCTTTCTAGGCTAGTTTTTAAACAGCAGATCGCACTTTCTAGGCTAGATTTTAACAGTAGAGGACACTCTAGGCTAGTTTTTAACAGCAGACGGTGCTTTGAGCTATTTTTAACAGCAGATGGCCCAAACTTGGCTAGTTTTTAACAGTAGATGTGATCTAGGCTAGTTTTTAACAAAAGATTGCACATTTTAGGCCAGTTTTAACAGTAGATGGCACTCTAGGCTAGTGTTTTTAAACTGATCGCTAATTCTAGGCTAATTTTTAACAGTAGAGGGCACTCTAGGCTAGTTTTTAACAGAAGATGGTGCTTTAGGCTATTTTTTAACAGCAGATGGCCCAAACTAGGCTAGTTTTAAACAGTAAATGTGCTCTAGGCTAGTTTTTACCAGTAGATGGCACTCTAGGCTAGTTTTTATCAGTAGAAGGCACTCTAGGCTAGTTATTAACCATAGATGTGCTCTAGGCTGGTTTTTAACAGTAGAAGGCGCTCTAGGCTAGTTTTTTAACAGTAGATGGGCTGTAGGCTAGTTTTTAACAGAGGATAATGCTCTAGGCTAGTTTTTAACAGTAGATGGCACTCTATGCTAGTTTTTAACAGAGGATGATGCTCTAGGCTAGTTTTTAACAGTAGATGGTGCTCTAGGCTAGTTTTTAACAGTAGATGGCGCTCTAGGCTAGTTTTTAACGGTGGATGGTCCTCTAGGCTAGTTTTAACAGTAGATGTGCTCTAGGCTAGTTTTTAACAGAGGATAATGCTCTAGACTAGTTTTTAACAGTAGATGTGCTCTAGGCTAGTTTTTAACAGAGGATAATGCTCTAGGCTAGTTTTTAACAGTAGATGTGCTCTAGGCTAGTTTTTAACAGAGGATAATGCTCTAGGCTAGTTTTTAACAGATGTGCTCTAGGCTAGTTTTTAACAGATGTGCTCTAGGCTAGTTTTTAACAGAGGATGATACTCTAGGCTAGTTTTTAACAGTAGATGTGCTCTAGGCTAGTTTTTTTTACAGTAGATGGCGCTCTAGGCTAGTTTTTAGCAGTAGATGTGCTCTAGGCTAGTTTTTAACAGTAGATGGCGCTCTAGGCTAGTTTTTAACGGTGGATGGTCCTCTAGGCTAGTTTTAACAGTAGATGTGCTCTAGGCTAGTTTTTAACAGAGGATAATGCTCTAGACTAGTTTTTAACAGTAGATGTGCTCTAGGCTAGTTTTTAACAGAGGATAATGCTCTAGGCTAGTTTTTAACAGTAGATGTGCTCTAGGCTAGTTTTTAACAGAGGATAATGCTCTAGGCTAGTTTTTAACAGATGTGCTCTAGGCTAGTTTTTAACAGATGTGCTCTAGGCTAGTTTTTAACAGAGGATGATACTCTAGGCTAGTTTTTAACAGTAGATGTGCTCTAGGCTAGTTTTTTTTACAGTAGATGGCGCTCTAGGCTAGTTTTTAGCAGTAGATGTGCTCTAGGCTAGTTTTTTTTTTACAGTAGATGGTGCTCTAGGCTAGTTTTTAACAGTAGATGTGCTCTAGGCTAGTTTTTACAGTAGATGTGCTCTAGGCTGGTTTTTTATAGAGGATGATGCTCTAGGCTAGTTTTTACCAGTAGATGTGCTCTAGGCTAGTTTTTAACAGAGGATGATGCTCTAGGCTAGTTTTTAACAGTAGATGTGCTCTAGTCTAGTTTTTAACAGAGGATGATGCTCTAGGCTAGTTTTTAACAGTAGATGTGCTTTAGGCTAGTTTTTAACAGTAGATGTGCTCTAGGCTGGTTTTTAACAGCAGACAGTATGTCTAGGCTTGTTTTTAATGGAAGATGGCACGCTCTATGCTAGTTTTTAATAGTAGATGGCATTCTAGGCTAGTTTTTAACAGCCATTTTCCCCACGATTCTCTCGTGTTTTACAGTACTATCCTGCTATAATCCCGTAAAGCTATTTTCCCGTGTTTCTCCCGAATTTTCAGTCTTTCTCTGGAGGAGGGCAAATTAACATTAAAAAGCAGATTATCCCTATTGACCTTATTCTAAAATGCGGAAGTGCGCCTGTTTTCTTAGAACTTCCGATTCAGTCGCCTATGGGAGAAATGACTAGGAATAATAAACGGCAGAAAATGGCCAAACTACTTGCTCAACAAACAAATGTTTGCATGACTACACAGACCAAGTAGCATATTTTAATAAGAAAATATTAAATTGCAACATCAAGCAGCGTAACGAGCAGTTGTTAACGTCAAAAAATGAATGGAAGTGAATGTGACCGGAAGTCGGGAGACAAAAAGATTCAAATGGCAGCGCCCGCTCGACAGCTGAGAATAAGGTGAATACATAAACAATAGCGCCGAACCACCAGGGGCCGCCCCTCGTTCTTAAATGTGAGTCTGTTCTGTGCTTTCGCTTTGTTAAGGCATGAAACACTTTAAGATTAATATAAAAATGGCAGGATTCCCTTCTTTATTACAGCTGCCGTCTCCCCTTCATATGCAATCCTCAAAACGGTGCAAGACTGTCAGCTGACGTGCTCCATAGTGATAAATAGACACTGTTTCTCAAACAATCTGTACAAGTTTCTGTGCAAGCGATTTGAAGCGGGTCGAAAGCCTGGGTTTTCTGTCCATGTTTAAACAGACATATACACAGAATTAATAATAATAATAATATCTAAAGATGTCGATCTTGGTGCGGTTTTTTTCAAACAACTAATTTTGTCCTAAATGAGCATAACAAGTTAGGAAAGCAATTGAATGCTTTCATTACAACGTTAGATGTGTGCATTTTTTTAAGTGACACCTCTGTTAATGTAATCAAATGAAAAAAATCTAAATAAATGAGATTCATTCGTTGCTCTTTAATCAGAATGTGTAAGTTATACAGCGAAGAAAAGGTTAATGAGATTTGATAACTTGATTCTATTTCTTTATAATAGCTATTAATTTTAATAAGCTAAATAAACATTTTGAAATTTTGGGATTTGGGGGGGGGGGGTGTGTGGTCTGGGCTTATGGTGGGCATATCCCATGATTTTCACATCGCAATGTTGACAGGTATGTACGAGGCTAGTTTTTTAAAAAACAGATGGCACACTGTATATGGGCTAGTTTTTAACAACACATGGTATGCTGTAGACTAGTTTGTAACAGGAGATGGCGTTTTAGGCTAGTTTTTAACAGTAGATGGTGCTCTAGGCCAGTTTTTAACAACAAATGGCATGCTTTAGGCCATTTCGTAACAGTAGATGGCGTTCTATGCTAGTTTTTAACAGTAGATGCATTCTAGACTAGTTTTTAAGAGCAGATGGCACGCTATAGGCTATGTTTTTAACAGCAGATGGTGTTGTAGGCTGGTTTGGGAGATAGTGCTGTAGACTAGTGTTTAATAGAAGATAACGTGTTGTTGGCTAGTTTTTAACAGCAGAAGCTTTGCTCTAGGTTAGTTTCTAACAGCACATGGTGATCTCAGCTAGTTTTTAAAAGAACATGGCCCTCTGGGCTAGTTTTTTTAACAGCAGACCATGCGCTAGGCTAGTTTTAAGCAGCAGATTTCAATAAAAATAAATTTAGAAAATTGCTGAATTGATTTCCAGAACAATACTTTGGCACAGCTCTAATAATGTACATTAATTTTTCCAGTCTTACTTCTTACACAAACCTATGTCGGTTTGTAACAAATTTGCATAATGCCAATGAATTGTGAACAACGTTTATTTAAAATCAGATATGTAATGTGTGGTATAAGAGGTGAATCAATCACAACAGTCTGAGCAAGATCTGACCAGTCAGAGCAGAATAGTGTCTTGGAAAAGAGGTTTAGAATGATTCTTAAATGAGAGGAAAAAAGCTGACGCTGAATGTTTTTTTATGAATAAATCAAGTGTCATTTGAGCTTGGATAGACAAACGATAGCATTATAGGAGCTTTTTAAAACAGAAAAGCTGTGAGTGAAATTTTCTTACAGTATTTTTTAACATCTTCTACACAGATCAAGAGGTGGAGAAGTTTTTTAAACTCATTGCTAACACCCAAAATCGACGGTTAGATGACCAGAGAGCAACGCTCAACCTATTGCCTGTGGTACAAACGCCTACTGGTATGACGACTCAGGAGTCAGATCAGCTCTTCAACATGGTCTCCAGATTACAGGTGAGCGATGCTTTAAGAGGTGCTATCATAGTTTATTTAACTCATTTATTCATTACTGCTCAAAGGTCAGGATGATTTAAAAGAAATGACTGCATTTATTCATCAAGTAGACATTAAAGGGGTAGTTCCCTAAAAATGCAAACCCCAAAACTGTTTTCCAGCAGCACCAGGCAATTTGTTTGTCTGATCAAATGCAACATGACACAGAATAATGCACTGCACTCCAACCAAATAGACAGGTTTGTAATCTAATTAACAAATATGAAACCTTTTAATTAAATGAATAAGAGCAGATGTTGAGAGTCACAGTTCTAACCATCATGTTTAAATATATGTTTGCTAGTTATCTTAATTTCTAGATCTGAGGTAAACTATCAAGTATCAGTATGGCAATAAATGTCACATAAAAAGGTATTCAGAAACAAATAACATTTAACCTTATTTAAAAGTTACAAATCTCAAAAATAACAGACCTAAGGCTGATTTATACTTCTGCGTTAAACGGCGGCGTATGCTATGGCGCTGACGCATAGCCCTTCGGCGTGGCCGTCGGCGTCGCTACGTGCACCTCTCAAAAATTGTAACTACACCTCGCAACAACGCGTATCGCAAGCTCTGTGATTGGTCGGCTTGGTATCGCTGACGAGTCTGGGCGCTGGACGCGAGCCCAATGGAGCGATTGTTTACAAGTGTGGAGTCCCGTGAAGGAGCTCCGGATGGAAAGTTTTGTTTTGTGTTTACCTCATCGTTAAAGTTGTTGCATGTCCGCCGGTTCCTGCCTCAAAATGAGCAAGTTTGAGCCACTTGTACATCCAGGAAGTATTCAGACAGCGTGCAGAAGTATAAATGCACAGCTACGTGCGTTGCATGCGCCGTGGGTCACGCCGGTCACTTGACGCAGAAGTATAAACCAGGCTTTAAAGGGCACCTATGATAAAAATCAATTTTTGTAAGCTGTTTGGACAGAACTGTGTGTTTGTATAGTGTGTCTACAGCAGCGGTCCCGTTAACCGAATAGTTTCCATCATTGACAGATTTTTTCCAGCAGTGATGGAAAAATCCGAAGGTGATCCGTCATTTTGACAGATTATTCTGAGGGTAATCTATTGTAAATTGTAGCTAACTGTAATTCCTTATCCTGTCCAGCTGATGGCGGTTGCCCTTCTTTTGTCTCTGCGTGTGCAGTTGCGAAAATGTCACAACAGCTGAGTGTGAGAAGTTTCTTTAAATGGCCAAATAGTTGTGATAATATTAATAATAAAGGTGAAAAAAGAGGAAGTGATTCAGTGGATGATGAAGAACAAACTCCTCAGTCGCCGACAGCTGTACGGGTCAACCAATCGGCAGCAAGTCAGGTGCTTTGGAGTGTGTTGTGAGCACTACCGAACGCAGAGGGGTGCAGCCACGCCCCTGGTGAAAAAGGAGCGCGTGCTGCAGTATTTATTCCATGTGAAACGAGTGCTTGAGGATCAGGAAATCACAAATTCAGAGAATCGAGCAAACTTCTAAACACTTCCTTAGGAGAAATGTTTCCTAACTACAAAGCGCTAGCTAAAGTGGCGCTAGTAATTTCGGTCCCCAGTGTGGCAGCAGAACGTGGCTTCAGCCTCCAGAACAAAATTAAATATCACGAGAAGTCGACTTTCCGAGGCAAAGACACATAATTTAATGACAATTGCCTCTGCATCAGTCTCCCTTGATGCGTTTGATTATGCACAGGCAAGCACCCAGTTCAGGTGAACGCAGGAGGAAGATGTGAGTTAAGGCAGATATTTTTGTTCAAATGTCAAATAGCCTAAATAAATAAATAATTTAGCCCATATGCTCGTCGTGCAAGTTCATTATTAAAATATGAATGAAAAAAGCGATTAAATAAAATGCAAATTAAATGACGATCAATAATAGGTTATGACGGAATTTTTACAACACTTTCCATCAAAATGACGGACAATGAGAAAATCTAACGCGACCTCTGGTACTCAGTCATATTGGAGTGATATAAATCCAACTAGTCTCTTTTTTTTAAATTTCCTGATGTCAAAATAGGACCCAAATCCCATTGATTTTGAGGTTCACCGCAACGTGAGTGTGGTTCCCCGCTCACTGAATGGGTGTCAATCAGACAGGCGCCATGTTTCTATAATAACACGTAATAATACACACATCTACAGAACATTTCTTTGCAAATAAACTAGAATTAAAATATTTGTTACAGAAGTTTTATAAGCTTAAAACATTTTTAAAACAGAGTATGTTTGAAACAAAGACAGTAAAATCACTACGTAAATCTTAACTGCTATAATCACTACGGCTGCATGGTGTCAGTAAACACACATATATATGTGTGTGTATGTGTACTGCAATTGGCATTTGAGTGAGACTTATCATTACAGAAAGTCTTGAATAAGCTCCACCGCAAATAAACTTACTTGGTATTTTTGACTAATGAGCTGTATTTCAGCTTCATCCAAGTCTGTTTCTATCCCTGACTGCTGTTTATCTGACGTTTTTATTTAAAGCCACAGGCTACAAAATAAGTTACAATGCATTCAGACACCAAAATGGTCAGATTCTGGAGACTATAATAAATAATCTGATGGAAGTTTTGAACAAAACTTTACAGACACTTTCTGCAGACACCAAAGGTTTATCTTACATCTTGTACAAGGGGTAAAATAGGTGCCCTTTAAAAATAATTAATCGCAAAACTTTTCATGATGTTGTAAGAATTTGAATCATTTCGCATTGGGGTGATTCTAGAATTGTGGGTACATTTTTCTTTTTCAGAAATAAAAACTTTGATGAAACGCTTTTGATTATATCAAGTTATCTCTTAGAATAATGTTTGTATGTGTATTTATGGACATTTTGACTTGAAAATAACTTCAAACAAATCCCACTATATCTAGTTTTGACAATCTCAGCCTCCTGAATTACACATTCAGCTATCAACATTAGGAAATAATTCGTTTAATTTTCATCTAATTTGTGTGTTTGCTCTGTTATAGTAAGATACGGTAAATAAACATTTGCATAAAGCATTTATTTTCTGTATTATTTGTAATTTCAGTTATAAAAAAAAAAAAAATTGTGTCTGTCCCTATGCATTCTGGTCAGCTCGGTTACATTGGTCATATAAAAAAGCATAAGAATCTTTAAAGCAGTGTTTCTCAACTGGTGGGTTGCGACCCAAAAGTGGGTCGCGGGAACATTTTCAGTGGGTCCCGGAGTGTGTGGTCAAAAAAACAACAAAAGTTTAATTTTTAACTTATTTTGAATTATTTAATTAACAGTTCAGTTTAGTTCATGGTAACTGGACCTTTCCTTACCCTGACAACTGTTTATAGTATTTGTCGTTTTTACTTTGTAATATTTCTATAATTTGATACATTTTGTTAAATGACAGCAATAAAATACAGTTTATTTATAAGTCTTGGTAATTTTCTCATGATTTATCTGTCACCACTTGTGAATGTTAACAAATAAATACAATATTTATAATTCCTAAATTTATATTATAGTTCCTAAAAATGTGGGTCACGGCTTGATGACCATGTAAAAATGTGGGTCCCATGGCCAAACAAGTTGAGAACCCCTGCTTTAAAGCACTGATTGAAAGAGCATGTGACTTGGTTCATGCTATGTCACTTCCTTTGGTGGGAAACTCTGGAAGGCAATGAGATGTGTCATTACTATTTTTTCATAAATTTACACCAAATTTTTAGTTAATACAATAGTAGATTCATTATTAGTTATTGTGAATTTCCAATTTACTTTTTACAAACAATAATATGATGGAAATGCATACAATTCTGTTTTCTCTTCTAGTTTTGAGGTAAGCATCAATTGAGCTAAAGCACAAAATGGCAGAAAATAGCAACCCTGTTATGGTCTAAGTCAGGGGACTCAAACTCAATTTGGCAGGGGGCCATTTCAGTGACTGACAATTTATAGAAGGGCCATTTTAACATTCAAGCACAATAAAAAGATATGTAATTGGTGCATCCTAGGACAACAGACAATACGTTTATAATTCAAGCAATACCCGTCACACAAATCAACAAATCAGCATGTTTTTTGCCTCACACAACTGCTGAAATATATCTGTGGCTGTTTAAATTAGTGTTTTGACATTTAAATAGTAATAATAATGATAATATATTTATTATCATTCTGTCCTAACCAATTGTTGCTTTACCAAAAGTTTAACAGATCAGCAGAATCAGTTTAGGTAACTTTTGTGACTTTACTGGAAATTGTTCTTCTTAGTACAACAAAGAAGGGAAAAGTAAGTATATATTCACATTTGTTCATTTTCTTTTCGGCTTAGTCCCTTTATTAATTTGGGGTATCCAGCATATGTCTTACACAGCGGATGCCCTTCCAGCTGCAACCCATCACTGGGAAAATATATATACAGTTGAAGTCAGAATTATTAGCCCCCCTTTGATTTTTTTTTCTTTTTTAAATATTTTCCAAATGATATTTAGCAGAGCAAGGAAATTTTCACAGTATGTCTCTTAATATTTTTTCTTCTGAAGAAAGTCATATTTGTTTTATTTCAGCTAAAATAAAAGCAGCTTTTATTTTTTAAAGAACCATTTTAAGGTCAAATTTTTAGCCCCTTTAAGCAATTTTTTTCAACTGTCTACAGTACAAACCATCGTTACACAGTAACTTGCCTAATTACCCTAACCTGCCTAGTTAACCTTATTAACCTAGTTAAGCCTTTAAAAGTTACTTTAAGCTGTATAAAAGTGTCTTGAAAAATAAAATGTCAAGTAAAATATGATGTACTGTCATCATGGCAAAGATAAAATAAATCAATAATTAAAAATGACTTATTGAAACTATTATGTTCAGAAATTTGTTGACAATCTTCTCTCCTTTAAACAGAAATTGGGGAAAAAATAAATAAACAGGGTGCTAATAATTCTGACTTCAACTGTGTATGTATTCACATTAACATGTTCAATTCAACCAGCAGTAAAATGTACATTAGTCTTCATAGAATCGCAAATGCCCTGCTGGCCGGGAGTTTGAGACCCCTGGTCTAGGATTTAAAGTCTACATAAGCTGAAAGCTACGACCATTTATTTATTTTTTGTATTTTGATGCAGTTCCTAGACAAATGGAATATTAAATAAGTAAACAGTGGGCATGGCTTGTTTTTTCTAGTGCGAGCTGATTGGATGTAGTAGCCATTTCATTTAGAAAGATCAGGGAAGGGTTTTGGAAGAGTTCTTACAATCTTACAGACACCTCGTCCTCACCATTTCTGTTTGTTGACAATTGGAGGGGTGTGGTTAAGTATGTTAGCCACGCCTAATACCTTACACAGACCTAATCAGATAATGTAACTGAAAACAAACACAAAGTTCATGATCAGATTTCAGTTTTAGATTACAGGGGCAAACTATTTTTTTGTCTTAATGAAATGCACAGATGAATTGTTCACCACAAAACTGGCAATGTAAGCTAACTAAACCAATATTGGCTGTCTTTGATTTCATGTGTACTTTAAACAGTTAGAATCAAACGTTCTCTATCACATTTACAAAGGATCACATTTAAATTATACATTAGTAGTATATTATATTACTTAAAATAAATGGAAATTCCAGAAATGTACCCACAATTCATGTACATAAACATTCATAATAGTCATAGACTACTCATATATATATATATATTTTTTCTGGTGTGTAATTTACAGTAGGTTTAAGTACTGTGCCATTATCTATTGAATTCTGTATTTGTTTTTAATTCTAAAGATATGTGACGATTAAATGTCTTTAAGATTGATTTGTGAGACTCTGCTCAGCTCTAACAAGGACAAGAACCCATATATAGGACAGAAAATGGCATATTTTAGTATCTTAATCGACATTCACTAGCACTTTCCTGTTTCCATAATTGGAACATTTCCAGGAATAGAAAACTGGGCAGACTATCATTAATTAAAAAGCACTCTGTGATAACAATGCTCTCTTGTATTATGTTCTCTTTGCCAGGGCTCTCGGATAGATGATCAGCGATGCGCTGCCCCCAATATCCAGCTGGGGTCTCCCGCCCCTCCAAAAAAGTCTCTTTCTCAACCCATATCCCCTAATAAGCGCTCGTCTGGATCCGGATCACCCAGTAAATCATCCAGGAGATCAGGATCATTCAGTCCTGCCTCTGAGGTGAGACAAACACACTGCAACAATAATAGAATAATGATAGAACATTACTAAAAACATAACAGAAATGTAAAACTCCAATTCATCTGACAAAAGGACAAATAAAACATGAAAAAGTTAATTTTTAAAACACCAAATAACAGTTTATAGATTTAGATTATACTTTTATAGGTCATCAAAATATTTGGAAGCTCTAAAGGATTTGGTTTGAGGTTTTATGTAGATTTAAATATTTTATATTGCTCTAAATAGAGTATATTTGCTATGCCTCTGAACAAATCTTTATTGTAATGGCTAATAAATACTGTGAACAAAGGTGTAGCACCCCATAAACTCATCATAGTTGCTTTAACAAGTGCATCATTTTATAGAATATACACATTTAAAGACATTTTATGGTTTCAAAGCAAGTCAGAGCCTCCTTGAAATAAAAAAAACAGTGATTTCTTAAGTCTTATGGAATATTGCAGAATATATTATAGATGAATAATCTGTGCATTTTCTAATTTACACCACACAAATTATCAAAATAACTTACCTTCTCTTCTCTGACTGGAGTTTATTGATATGTGGGCGGGATTAATATGTCACTCAAAATATCCACCAATACCATCCAATCAGTTCTCCATGGACAAAATCAAGTCTCCCCCTTCTTTTTTTTCTTATTTTATCTTGTCTTGATGGAGAAGAAATGTGGATATATCTTATGTGTCACAATAAAGAAAGAAAGAAAGACTGTCAACTTCTTGTATTGAGATGGCTTGCCATGTGTCTGGAAAGTCAGATATCAATACATTTCACAGTAATTGACAGACTGTTTGTTTCTCAATCAGGTTCAGAACGCTATTGATCAGGACCACTTCTTTTCCCTGGTGCATCACGCACAGCAGAACCGACTGGATGACCAGCGCTGCTCATTTGTGCCCTATATAAAGCCTTCCTCCTCTCCCAGTAACCCAGTGGCTAATCCCAGAGGTACAGTGACCCAACTCTGCTTACATAATCACAATCATCATCATCAAATACCTGTATAATCTGACCGTTTCATGCTGTGCTGGCTTTCTGCATGCAGTGGATGATCGTGAGCAGTTTTTCAATCTCCTGGCCAACTTTCAAAGCAAAGGATTGGATGACCAACGCGTGGCTCTTAGCGCACTGCCCGGAATCCAGGCGTCCCACGTTGGAAGCAGGACAGAAAGAAATAGATCACCAACTCCTCAAATCGTCCTCACCCCTGCGTCACCTGCTGCACCAAAAAAAGTTAGCCCTAGTCCTTCGTCTCCATCTCTGAGCGTCTGTGAGGCGGACAGACCTCCTCCCAGATCAGCTACATTCTGTCCGGTGGCAGACTCAGACAGACTGCTCTATGATGACCCGAACGCACAGGTGAGGCTTTGAGTTTACTATATCCTGCGTCTACTTTTGCCTTAAAGGTTTGAGGTTATTGTACACTGAATCCGAAATTTTCATCTGTATTTTTCGCCCGTTAGAAAAAAATCAACCTCACGTCGTGTCAGTCATATTGACACACTGCCTCCCAAACTTTCATCCATCATACATTTTTTTAATCAGGTTAAATTTTTTCTGTTGCATTTGGAAAAGCATTTTGAGAGGTGTTTTGACAGTTCAGAGCCACCATACAAGGGAAAGGGAAAATACAGAATGGTGTCATTCAAGCCTTCAGCACAGATAACTATGACAAACAAAGTGCATAATATAAGACAGAATGTCTTAGGGTGCTTTCACACCTACACTTTTGTTTCGGAACGTGTCTCGTTTGCCCAGTTAGCGCGGTTCGTTTGGCATATGTGAACAGGGCAATCGCACTCTGTTCCGTGCCAAAGTAATCGCTCCAAGATCGCTTGAATGAGGTGGTCTCGGCTCGATTGAAACAAACCCTGGAGCGGTTCGATTGCAGTGAGAAAGCGATCCGATCCGAGCGCGGTTATATCACAGTGTTTTATGGATATGTAATAGGCATACGGCTATATGAAGAGAGAATTATGAGTAAGGCGGGAAGTTTTGCGAGTCTCCGGATGCCCGCAAACTAGTGATGATCTCCCGGTAATCTCGCGTCTCCCTCCCGGTCCTCAAATAGGCATCGTCGCGCACCCTTCTCACCCCTCTCCACCGCGTCTCTCCTCAGACACGTAGCGCGCGCACCCTGTCAATCACCACCAAACCACCACCTCTCCTGACAGCTTAGCGGGACGCTGCAAAATAAACCCTGACACTCTGACCAATGTAAGGAGAGTTTACTCGCACGTGACTTGTTTTAGCTCTTTTGGTCCGATTAGAAACTTTGCAGTTTGAAAGCCAACCGCTCCAAGAGCAAAGAGCAACAATGTAACAATTGTAATCTCTGTTTCGCAACAACTGAATCGATTCACATGTGTGAAAGCACCCTTAAATGGATTCAGTGACTGGCGCACCTCTCCCCTACTTCTGTTTGGTGTGTGTGTGTATGTGGGTTGGGTTCATACCTTTAATGTACTGCCAGTCTCTGTTCAGGATTTCTTTACATAAAGAAATGTGTGAAAAACCACAAGCAATGTATCAAAATTCCACTGACTTCTTGAAATATACAGTTGAAGTCAGAACATTAGCCCCCCTTTGATTTTTTTTCTTTTTTAAATATTCAGCATAGGAAAGATAACAAGTAATAATAATAATAATAATAATAATAATTTTTATTTATATAGCGCCTTTCCAGAGCTCAAGGACACTTTACAATGAATGCAACAAAAAGATAAACAAACATACATGAGGTCAAATATAACAAACATGAATAACACAAACGAAACCTAAGAGACATATGAACAGGATAGTGGTGGATCAGATTAAGTGGTCAGTTTGGTAGATCAGATGCAAAGCATTCAGAAAATAAGTGAGTCTTAAGTAAGGATTTGAAATCAGAGATATTATTAGCAGAGCGAAGTGAGTGTGGTAGAGAGTTCCAGAGTTTTGGTGCAATAGCACTAAATGATCTGCCCCCCATAGAAGAGAGGCGGTAGCGAGGGACAGCAAGAAGGCCAGAGTCAGCAGACCGTAAAGAGCGAGTTGGGGTGTAGGGGACAAGCATGTTGCAGAGATAGGAAGGTGCAAGGTTATTTAAGGATCTAAATGCAAGGAGGAGAATTTTGAATTTAATCCGGTATGCAACCGGGAGCCAATGAAGATCATACAAGATTGGGGTTATGTGAGCCGACCGTTTGGTATGAGTAAGTATTCTAGCTGCAGAGTTTTGAATATACTGTAATCTGGAGATGAGGCTGGCAGGCAGGCCAATGAAAAGAGCATTACAGTAGTCGATGCGTGAGGAGACAAATGCATGGATGACAGTCTCAGCATCCTTGCTACTGATGAAGGGACGCAGTTGTGAAATGCGACGTAAGTGAAAGAATGCAGATTTAGTGACAGATTTAATGTGTGACTGAAAAGAGAGTGTGGAGTCAAAGATTACACCTAAATTTTTTACAGAAGTAGATGTTTTAATGTGCAAGCCAGCAATCTGACAGGAATAACTGGTGGGAATATTGCTGGTGAGTGCTGGGGTGCCAATAAAAATTATTTCAGTTTTGTCCATATTAAGTTTTAGTGAATTTGAGGTGAGCCAATCATTAATATCATTCACACAAGCAGAGATGTTTTCAATTTGGGCGGATGCAGTTGGAGTACATACAGAGTAAAGTTGAATATCATCAGCATAAAGATGATAGTTAAGACCGTGATGTTGTAGAATCAGACCAAGTGGAATTAGGTATACTGAGAACAATAGTGGGCCAAGAACAGAACCCTGGGGAACACCTCGCTTCAGGGGGACAGTAGGTGACTGAAAATCCTTAATAGAGATGAATAATTGTCTATCTGAGAGATATGACGAGAACCAAGAAAGAGCAGTACCAGAAACACCCAGATTAGAGAGACGTGAGATAAGTAAATCATGGGAGACTGTATCAAAGGCAGAACTGAGGTCGAGTAAAAGTAATATAGACAAGGAGCCAGAATCCCCAGACAGCAATAGATCATTCACTACCTTTACAAGTGCAGTTTCAGTACTATGGAGTGGGCGAAAACCAGATTGAAAAGGGTCCAGGAGATTATTATCAACTAGAAAAGACTGGAGTTGAGTAGCAACAGTACTTTCCAGTAATTTAGAAATGAAAGGTAGATTGGAAATAGGACGATAATTAGATAGAATCGAGGGGTCGAGGTTGGGTTTCTTAAGCACAGGTGTGACGGCAGCAGTTTTGAGTGGCAGAGGAAAATGATGCCTGAGTGAGAGATGAATTGATAAAGTGAGATATGACAGGGGAGATAACAGAGTGGCAGAGTTTCAGGAGGGAGGTAGGAGCAGGATCAAGGTGACATGATGATGAGCTGGATTTCAATATTAGCTTAGAGACAGAATCAGGGGTCGTCAGTGAAAAGCAGGACAGAGACTGACTGGAGAGACATGATGGATGGCTGAGCTCAGTATCAGTAGGAACGCACTGGGGGACCGCATTAGTCTTATCGAGCAGATAATCCAAATAGGAACAGCAAAACTCAGTTGAAGCTAAGGCCCTCTGAGGTGGGGGGCTAGTAAGCTTATTTATTGTATTAAATAGTGATTTTGGCCTATTGCTTGATTTATTAATTGTAGTAGAGATGAATTTAGAGCGAGCTAAGGTGAGAGTAGATTTATATGATTTAAGATGATCTTGAAAGGCCAAATAATGAACAGTAAGACCGGTTCTCCTATAGAGACGTTCAAGCTGTCTACCAGTAGTAGTTATTAGAAGTTATTAGAAATTAGTGAAACTATTTTGTGTTTAAAATTATGTGTTATGAGTTAAAAATCATGTGTTGAAGACTCGCGCTTTGTCACGACTGAAAACAAACATGAATGAAGGCAAAACAAAATGAATTGAATATTACATTTACATGAGCGTGACTAAAAACTACATTTGGTCAATGTGTTACATCTGTTATGCGGTATTTGCCGACTGCATTTCCGAACATAAATCTATGTACACTTAATTTCTGATTGAAAATAGCTTATGCTATGCATAGCCGAGGACTTCCTGGGCTATATTAAAAGTTTTAAAATCGAAAAAATCTAATATAATCAACATTGGACATTTTGATAATTTTACACAACATGTGTAAATGGCATTTTAGTTGTGACACCAAAATATGTGTACCATATTTGTGTGGGGCCAAGCTTGTTGACTCTGGGGCAGTTTCTTCTATTCAGTGTCAGTATAGGGTGTGCATACAATTATAAAACTTCTTTTTTACAATGAGACCAAGCTTGTAATAGTTTCGTTTCATGACATTTTCACATGTGTGGAAAAAGTGCAATAGACAGTAAAGGGATTAAAATTCACCTGAAGAGATTCACTGATTAATTAATGTGCAGTATATTTGTTTGTTTTTTTTTCCTTACAGATATCATTTCAGATTTCCATGCGCTTCCCTCCACATCAGGTATGAACAATGAATGATGTTTTAAAGCATAACCTAGGGTCATCCACAATGACATAATATACTATCTTAAATGATTAATTCTTGCAATAAAATAATGTTCTATTTAAAGTTAAAGGCAGAATTATCATTAATTGCCATTTGTTTTTGAGTATTTCCTAAGTGATTTTTTATTCTGGAAAAAATATTTATAGTTTGGCTGAAAAATGCTAAGGTTAATGTTATAAAAACATTACCCCGTTGATCGGATAAGACATTAAACCGAGGTCTTGACTCTCTGTGGTCATTTAAAATCCCATGGCACTTCTCGTAAAGAGCAGGGGTGTAACCCCAGTGTCCTGGCCAAAGTCCCACAATCGGCCCTTAAAATCATGGCCTCCCAATCATCCCTATCCACCGAATTGGCTGTATCACTGTCTCTCCACTCCTCCAATAGCTAGTGTGTGGTGTGTCGTTGTCCTGTGGCTGCAGTCACATCATCCAAGTGGATGCTGCACACTGGTGGTGGTGTGGAGAGACCCCCCCCATTACTGTAAAAGTGCTTTGGTGTATGGCCATACACAATACATGCGCTATATAAATACACACATGACTGACTGCAGAACAAAGCACTGTTCTCCAATAACTTGCCTACACTCTCAGAAATAAAGGTACGTGAGCTGTCACTGGGGTAGTACCTTTGTACACGAAGGGATATTGGTACCTCAAAAGTATATATAGGTACCTAAAAAATTTTAAGAGGAACATTTTTGTACTTTCAAGGTATTAATATGTACCGTTGAGGTATTAATATGGACCTTTTAGGTACAAATTTGTACCTTTTGAAAAGGTACCACCCCAGTGACAGCACGTGTACCTTTATTTCTGAGAGTGTTGGTAACCTAATTAACCTGCAAGCAAATTGTGAGATATGTAAACTTGGGGTTGACTGCGGGTATTTTAAGCTGAGGTGCTATTTGTTTTTGTTTTCGATTTTATTTTTTTATATTTACTGTTGCACAAGTTCAAAAGCATGAGCATATTACTTGATTGTTCAAGCTACCTCACAGATAAGATTAATTAATAAAAAAAGGAACATCCTGGATCTGTTTTTTTGCTCTTCTTTATTCTTTTTTTTTAATGTAATATAGAAGTATCACATTGGGTTTCGGCATCGGTAGATACTTCAAATCAAATGACAGACTTGAGGGCAAAAAAAAACTGATTTGGACATCCCTAGTTAAAATAAGATTAAATCAAAAATCAAAGCAAATTTGAGGCACACTTTAACGTGCTGTAGGAGCGTGGCTTTCCCCAACCACTGAACTGATTGACAGAAATGTATTAACATGTCTTAACCCTAATAAACATGTTGCAGAACAGGATTTGCAAAGAAACTGGGATTAAAAGATCTGCTCCAACTCTGTGATCAGCTGCACCTCAAGAATGAGATTTACAAGTTTAAAACTGTTTTAAATAAGTGCATGTTTGTAATAAAGAAAAGACAGTAAAATCACTATGTAATTCATAACTGCTGGAATCAGCACAGCTGCATCAGAGGATGCTTTAAACACACAACATGAGTCCCGGTTTGTGGACGTTAAATCTGGTTTATTTTGTACAGCAGCACAATTGATATAGTAAGATATAGCGGTGTATATTTACTTGTATCCTGTCATATTTGCCTCAAATAGATGTGCAAAAACGTGTGTGTGTCTGTGTACAAAAAAAGATGTAGGCCAGGTCTAATTGTGGCCATGGGGAGCTGATTGGGTGGATGGACAGGTGTGGTTTGCTATTGGTGGATCTCATGTGATTGACAGGTTGATCACATTCTTATGCTAGTAAACATCATCAGTGGAGAGAAAGTTATAATGATTGAACAGTTAGTTCACCCCAAAATGAAAGGTCTGTTTTTAATTACTCACACTCATGTTGTTCCAATGCTCTGAAATGGTGCAAGAGCTCACTCATCTTCTATAGACAGACAGCAATGGTACTGAGACATTGAAATTCCAGAAAATAAAGCAAAAATACAGTCAAAACATTCAGTGTGACTTCAATTGTAATCACATGAAGCTCTATGAACACATTTGTTCAGCAGAACCCCAATGTGTTTGATGCACCGGATGCCCTTCCAGCTGCAACCCAGCACTAGGAAACACCCATACACTCTCACATTTACACACTAGGGCAAATTGTTTTGGTCTGTGAGGGAAACCGTAGCACCCGGAGGAAATCCATGCCAACACGAGGAGAACAGGCAAACTCCACACAAAAATGACAGATGCCTCCCGTATTACTATTACTATTATTATTATTATGACCATTACCTAGTTTTTTTTTCAAATATTTATCTGTTATAGGTCTGAGCGATAAGACGATATTCTCATATATTGATGCTGTATAGCACAGGTGTCAAACTCAGTTCCAAAAGGGTCGCAGCTCTGTACAGTTTAGTTCCAACCCCAGTTAAACACACCTGATCAAACTAATTGAGTACTTCAGGCTTGTTTGAAACCTACAGGTAAGTGTGTTGGAGCAGGGTTTGAATTATCTGTCGATAATCGACATTACTGGGGAAAAATAAGTATGATAAAGTTAATGTAGACTATCTAGATGACATTTAATTATAATTTACATCACTAGCAATAACACTACACTTACCTTTAGATAAATGCATATGGTAAATTATGATGGCTGTATACATTTTAAAGAAGTACATTATTTCATAAATGCACTGTTACCTAAATATTAACTTAGCCCTATAAATACAAAAAGTAGAAAAGGAAAAGAAAATATATTGTTTATATTAAAGATGATAAAAATCATATTTTTTTTTAGCTGTTTGGAGACTGTGTGTAGGTATAGTGTGTCCAGATTGGGGTGACATAAAGACAATAAACCTCTTTTTTTTCTTTTTCTTTTTTCTGATGTTAAAATAGGATCCAAATCCTCCAATTTTGAGGCTGACCGCAACTTGACATAGGAGTGTGGTTTCTACGCCCGTCAATTGATTTACAGCTGCGTATTAACATGTCTCCGTTAGTAACGTGTATAATCATATCCACAAGACAGAACAAGTGCAAAGCAAATGGGATTAAAAGATCTGTTCAGCTCTCTGTGATCATCAATCATCATCAAATGTGATTGAGTTTCACAAGTTTAAAACGTTTTTAAAACAGTGCATGTGCACTTTATCACCACAGCTTCGTATACATTAATATAAGGGATATTCATACAGCAGTGGATATTAACATGTATCCTGTCACATTAGCAGTGCAAAAACTGTGCAAAGTTAAACGTGTGTGTGTGCGCACTCACGCAAGCTTTATATTGACATTGTGTGTGACTCGTTGCAGAAAGGCTTGAATAAACAAATGCATCAAATAATCATTGGGAAAGTTCTGACTGTAGTAAGAAAGAGCTGCTTCATTCTTGTCTCTCACCAGACTGTTTAGCTACGTCAAGACCACAAGCATCAGAGCCTTAGCAAGCAGGGCCGGATTAAGAACACATTGGGCCCTGGGGCTATAGCAAATCCAAGAGCCCCCCTTTTAATTTTTTACCTCACAAAAGTGTATGCATTTATATATATTGTTGTTGATGTTGTTATTATTAATGATAATTTACTAATTACTATTATTATCAAATTTTCCACCATTTGATTCATATTTAATTATTTAATTTTTTCTATTTCTTTAAAATAGTCCTGCAAGTATACAAAACTAAGTAATGACATAATATGAAATTTTAAGTTCAAACAGGCTGCAAAAATCAACAAAACAAAAAAACATTTGCAATACTTTCTAAATTGCTGCTTTAGAATAAGTACTTTCAAAAGGGGTTTACCTTGAAAAAGGTTCTTTAGAACCACAGCTGACCATAAATCCCTAATGATATGATATCTTTAATATAAATGCTTCAAATATCCAAAATAGCTTATTGCCATCTTCTGAGTTACAGAAGGCTGGCATCCTTATTTTATTTGTTTATTACATCAGATATATTGTCTAATGAAAGCCTGCACCAATATTTTGTTGCTTCATATTATTACTGTCGTTAGGGTTACACATTCATATAAAGTTTGCTTTCTAACTGGTTCAGTTACAGTACTGTAAATCATAACTGAGTGTATTCACTTGAGATAGATACTCCGCAACAATGGATATTTTGATAACTGCTTGTGTAGGCTATTTGATTTGTTTGCACACTGTCCTGGTTATATTGTGTGATGAAAAGATTGTACGCGCACGCGCCAGTTTGAGTTTCTCAAGTTTCAAGTTTCTGGAGGGCCTATACATCTGCAGAAGTGAGAGCAGATAAGAAGGGGCGCAGCCAGAATTCACTTTGTAAGCAAACATCAGTGCTTTGAATTTGATGCGAGCAGCAACTGGCAGCCAGTGCAAACGAATGTGTAGCGGAGTGACATGTGCTCTTTTAGGTTCATTAAAGACCACTCGTGCTGCTGCATTCTGAAGCATCTGAAGAGGATTGATAGAGCTAGCAGGGAGTATCAATATGAAGACTGTTTGAATCCTTATATTTTGTTCTATGACGAGCTTAGTTAGCCTACCTTTTTTGTGGTCTTGTGGTAGTACCAAAATAAGTGACTGTGCTGGGAAAATTGGGACATTTTAACACTTATGGGTAGGCCCACCCGGAATCTGCACGCTCAGAATTCCACAGATTTTCCACAGATTTCCGCAGATTTTTATACCATCAATAATTCTGTTTATTTACTTAAGTAAATGTGTGTAAATTTATATTTATCCAGTTTTTTAATTAATTACAGTAATATTATTGACTAATGTGAAAATGTTTATCTGATTTATGTACAATGCAGTTCGTACAGTATTATTTTCTGTCTTTTACTAGATATATTATTTGACAAACTTGCTTTATTTACCATATAAAGTCAATTTAATTGGGTTTGCATTTTAAACATTAAATAAAAGTTAAAAATATAAAAATGTATATTATATATTAAGGTTTTAGTTATGATACTCCCAAAATATTTCCGCAGAAATCCGCAGACTTTTACCAAAATTCTCTGCAGAAATAGCATTCCGTCTGGTCCTACTTATGGGTGACTAAATCAGGGCTATTCAATATTCTAATTAGGCTACAGCCATTCTGAGCCTCAGTTTAGCACCGAGGTCACTGTTTTTGAATAGCAGCAAACCGAAGGAATACTTCCCTTTATCGATGAGATGCGTTTCCCATGTCATATCGCAAATTAATTCTTCAGCCAATCAAGGGCCCCCTTCTATATTGTTCACTGGGGCTTTAGCCCTATCTAGCTCTTACGTTAATCCGGCCCTGTTAGCGAGAGATCTCTATAGCTCTAACACGCACGTGTGAACGGTGGGCAGGAAGAATCAGCTCATTTGCACAGGCAACAAAAACAGCTACACTGTCATAACAGCTCAGATTTACAATATTCTGAAAGGTATAATAAATAATCTGATTGGTGTTTTGAGCTGAAATTTTAAAGACACATTCCAGAGACAGCAAAGACTTATCTGAAATCTGGAAAAAAGGGGTAAAGTAGGTGCTCTTTAAGAAATGAAATGACAAAGGGAAAGAAGAGATAACATGCCAAAAGAAACCCTTAGAAACCCTTTATACAAAAAAAAACTTACTTGATTTGATTTTAACAGTGACCTTTCATGTCTCCTTCAGACACATGATGCAAATAATCAGCCGTACGTATACCCCGAAGTCTTCCTCACTATCGGTCAGGCAGGAGAGACTATGGTGCTTCCTCTGAGCCCTCGACCCGGCAGACCGATGTCTCTCAGCGTGAACCCACCCAGAAACCACCGCTCCAGGTCATCATCTCCAAACAGGTCTCCAGGCAGACAAGGGCGCTCCAGACCCTCTTCTCCACACCCGGGAGACACAGTGAATCTTATCGGCCCATATGAGGACTACTTCTCTCTGATCCAAAGAGTGCACGGCGCTCAGCTGCAGCAAGCCGACGGACGGGACAGAGCGACAGAGGCGAAAGAAAGCAAAGAGACCCGCAAGGGGAAAGGAAAGAGCAGCGCAAAGAAGGAGAAAAAAGAGGGAAGCAAAGACAAGAAAAAATAGCACTCTTCATACACACATTTTCAGGGAATACGAAAGTCAGTATTGGGGAAATTTTGGATGATTAATGAGCATTTTTTTTATTTATTTGCAAGCTGATAAAGATAAATCTGAGCCTGAAACAAAAAAAACATTTCTTGCAGAAAACAAGGAAACGTACAAATCCTTTACTCCCAAAATCATTTTCAAATCACAGTTCTGATTTAAACTTTTTATCACTATGACGACTCTCTTATATCTGATATTTGTCTTGAAATTAGCATAAACTAATCAAAACAATTCAATCAATACACATGTCCAGCACCACACATCTGAAGTCGATCAACTACTGAAAATAATCCAGAAATGTTTAGCCGATTATTTATTTACGTTCATTTATTTGTTCACTTTCCTTCGGCTCAGTCTCTATTTCAGAGGTTGCCACAGTGGAATGAACCGTCAACTATTCCAGCATATGCTTTTACACAGTGGATGCCCTTCCAGCTGCGACCCAGTATTGGAAAACACCCATAAACTCTCAGATTCTCACACACACACACACACTGCGGACAATTTAGCTTACCCAATTCACCTACAGAGCATGTGTTTGAACTGTGGGGGAAACCGGAGCGTGTCAAACCCACACTAACATGGGCAAAATGCACAAACTCCACACAGAAATGCCAACTGACCCAGCCGGGACTCAAACCAGCGACCTTCTTGCTGTGAAGCGACAGTGCTAACCACTGAGCCACTGTGCCACCACCCTATTTCGAGAGTAACTATTCATTTAGATACTATGTAATATTAATTAACTACATGTACTTACTTCATGGTTAGGATTAGAGTTAGCTGCATGTAATCATGCATAATTAATTGTCATTACTATAGTAAGTACATGGAATGTGTAACAGGGACACCTTAAAATAAAGTGTCAGCTTATTTTCTTTTCAATTTCAGTTTTGAATTTCAGTTTTCACTTTATTTTTTGAAACACAATTAATTTTGAGCAGAGTGCATTACAAAGTAGGGATGCTCCAATCAGGATTTGAGTACTGGTTTCTTGTCATGGTGATCGGCCGATACAGATTCTGATGCTTTAAATTTATAATGCATTAAGCACATTTTCCTTCTAAGTATGATACTTAAGTGGAGATCTCGCCTTACCTAAGAGAATAAATTAAGGATGCTCCATATAACCCCTTAAACATGTCTCATATAACCATTTGGTTGTTAACAGGTCATGGTCAGAAGCAGCTTTACAGAAAAGAATAGATAGCACAGATTAAAAAATACAATGCAATTTGGAAACACTGCAAATGATGGAAAAAGATTTCAACACATCTCAATCAAGAGGTTGAAAAAAAAATTATAGCGCACATTTGATAGATAATGCACACCTATTAATCCATTACTTCTTTACTAAAAGTAAATCGGCCTAAAAATTACTGTTTATTGCCATAAGTAAATTACAAGAAGTTATTTTATCAAATTAATTCATTAATTACCTCCAGCTTAGTCCCTTTATTAATCTGGGGTCGCCACAGCAGACTGAACCGCCAACTTGTCCAGCATATGTTTTACACAGTGGATGCCCTTCCAGCTGCAACCCAGTACTGAGAAATACCCATACACACTCATTTACACTCATACACTACGGCCAATTTAGTTCATCCAATTCACCTATAGCGCATGTCTTTGGACTGGGGGAAACTGGAGCACCCACAGGAAACCCACATCAACAAGGGGAGAACATGCAAACTCTACACAGAAATGCCAACTGATCCACTATCAATCAATATTTAAATATATATCAAAAATCAAATATTTTGTTCATCTACAACTAATGTAAACAGTTGCAATAGATTCGGACAGATCGACGAGTACCGATTGAGTCATTAAATGTGATTATCAGCCGATACTGATCTCCGGCCGATCGATCAGAGCATCCCTAGTACAAAGTATTGCAAATAACCTTTTATAGAATCAAGACAAGACAATGGGCTCTATTTTAATGGTCTAGGCGCAAAGTCTGAAGCGCAGGGCGCAAAAGCATTAAGGGCGTGTCTGTATCCATCTTTGCTACTTTAATTACGGGAAAATACACTTTACGTCGCAGCGCATGGTCTAACAGGGTTGAGCTTATTCTCTTAATGAGTTATAGGTGTGTTTTGAGAATAAGCCAATCAGAATCTCCTCTCCCATTCCGCTTAAGAGTCGGTTGCGCTGCTCCATGGTGCATTTGATGGTGAACTTTGTAAGTGGAAAAACTGAAAAACAGTTAAACAGAGCATCTACAGCACAAGGATAAAGAATGAGCCTCCTCCAATCGGCCTTTACCATCTCTTTCTCTCTTTCGTGGATAATGAAGCAGTGGAAACTCACTCCACTGAAGACATCCATTAGCCAACATAATTGATTTAGTTTGTAAAGCGCAGAGATTTGTTTCAGAAATATTTCTAAATTCAGTTCTAATTTTCAGCAAACTAATAAATGAACAATAATAACAAAATGTGGTAAAAAAAAAAAAGTTATATCTAGGGCCAGACGGAATCTGCGGACATTTTTTGCTATTTCTGCAGAGAATTTTGTTAAAAATCTGCGGATTTCTGCAGAATTATTTCGAGTGTCAGAACTAAAACATTAATATGTGAAATACTTTTAAACTTTTATTTAATGTTTAAAATGCAAATCCAATTAGATTCACTTAACTAGAAACAAAGCAAGTCTCTCATACAATATATCTGCTAAAAGACAGAAAATACTGCAAACTGCATTTTCATATTAGTCAATAATATTACTGTAATTCATTTAAAAACTGAATAAACTTAGATTTACTCAAGTAGATAAACAGAATTAATGATGGGCTAAAAATCTGCAGAATTCTGCGCGCACAGATTCCGTGTGGGCCTAGTTATATCCAAATACACATGCTGTGCCCCATATGGTCCAAAACCTGAAAGGTGGACAAATCTAAGCTTGTTTTTAATAAAACAAATATAAATATGCATATAATAAATAATACTGCTAATAATAATAACATTATACAAAAGCAAATTGGCGTGAATAAACTGAAAAAAAAAACACTGAGATGAAGAAGGCATGAAGGCAGTGGTTTTTATATTTATGTAGAAAGTAATCATTTTAAAATATTTTATTCTGTTAATTCTTTTCCCTTTGTAAAGATATTTCTGTATTGCTGTACATCCTGCGTGTCTTAAACAATGTGTAAGCTAGGCACACAACTGACGCACTCTGCGCTGGACTTTAGACCTGCTTTCTGCTGGTCTATTGAGCAGTCTATTTTAGTACCTCAAAATAGCAACGCGCCAACAATGAGCCTTAACACACGTCTTTTCCAGACCAGAACACACATAAGTTCACATAGTGGCGTAAATGGATTTGCTATTTAAACAACGTGGCGGAAAACAGGAAAATTAGGGTTGCATTGGTCTGAAACTAGCAACACATGGTGGAAACCCATCTCACGCCCTATTGCGCCGAGTGTATGATAGGGCCCAAAAAATTTCAAGACATAAAAAAAAGATACAAAAGACATTCTCATTACATTGTAGAAAATGCTGGGTTCCACACAATACCTTCATGTTGCCCCAACACAAATCAATTAAGTTAACACATTTAAACAGTGTTGTTTCCAGAGGGGTCTGACTGCAGACCTGGATTTTGAGTGTAGGCTGATACTAAGCCATTATTGGTTGATACTGATAGAGCCACCAGTGTATTATACATCTTTTGTCAGTAATGCAAATAATAAGCATTGTTAATAAATAACCATGTTGGCTTTAGATCAAATATCTTTGCATTTGATTTACTTTTTCAAAATGTGTTGTACTTAGTATGTTAAATTAAGCTATGTTTACACAGAATGACATGGTGTGTAGTATTTTCTTCAGTAGCTGGTTTGAGTGGACTGATTGACTGATTGACTGATTACTGTGGATAATTAACCAGTGAAGGAGAATAGCATTTAGAAGCACTTGCTGTGATGATCATTGTGATGGACGGCCTGTGGTGTTTCTGTTGTGTTGACAGTCTATTGTGATTTTCAAATAAATATGTATTTGTGTGAAAATGTCTATCTGTTTTTATTTTAATTACTTGGGATTACATGAAAAGAGTGATCACTTAAATTAGCAGAGTTCTTTCTGACATTTAAGAGGGCGTGAAGCAGGGGTCACCAATCTCATTTCTGGCAGTCCAGTGCCCTGCAGGGTTTAGCTCCAGCTGGGTGCCTGGGTGTTTAAAGTATACCTAGTAAGACCTTGATTAGCTTGTTCAGGTTTGTTCGATTGGGATTGGAGCTAAAATCTACAGGACACCGGCCCTACAGGAACAAGTTTGGTGATCCCTGGTGTAAAGGGGTAGTTCACCCAAAACTGAAAATTCTGTCATCAATTACTCGCCGTTTACCTGTTCCACACCTGTTTGTGTTTGTTTATTATGCTAAACACAAAAGAAGATACTTTGAAGAATGTTGGAAAACAGCCACCATTGACTTCCATGCTATTGAACGAAAGAAAAAAACTGTTTCTAACATTCTTCAAAGTATCTTCTTTTGTGTCCAACAGAGAAAAACAAACACTTGAGGGTGTAAAGAGAAGCCACTTGAGTAAGAAAATAGTGAGTACATTTTTCACTCATGAACACTCCCTTTAATTACAATTTTATATCTTATTTAGGTCACACTTTACAATAAGGTTCATTAGTTGATGTTAATTAATGCATTTCCTAACATAAACAAACAATAAACAAAACATTTACTACTGTATTTGTTCATGTTAGTTAATGTTAGTTAATGAAAATACAGGTTAGTTCATGTTAACTCATGGTGCATTAACCAATGTTAACAAGCATGGACTTGGATGTTAATAATGCATTAGTAAATGTTCAATTATGATTAATAAATGCTGTACATGTGCTCTTCATGATTAGTTCATGTTAGTAAATGCATTAACTAATGAACCTTATTGTAAAGTGTTGCCCTTATTTATTTATTACATATTTGAAATATGAAATATTATTATTACGGTGTTAGTTATTTTTAAAAAATATTGTAATTATCACAAATGTGTCAATTGAGTGCATTATAAATGTTGCTCAATTTCTCTATATGTTCTCCAGTTTGTTAGTCGGTACATCAAAATGTTGAAATTGGCCTTGAATTTAATATTATATTACTTAATATCGATATGTAATGCAGACATAACTTTAAAGGGATAGTTCACCAAAAAATAGAAATTGTCATCATTTACTTACCCTTCACTTGTTCCAAACCTGTTTAACCTTTTTTTTTTTCTACTGAACACTAAAGAAGATATTTTGAAGAAAGCTGCAAATCTGTAACCATCATTGTTGGGTAAGTTAATTTACAAAAGTAGTAGATTACAAATGACTGACTACTACTGCACAATTGTAATCTGATTACATTACTAACTACTTATGTAATGTACTTAACTAATGTAAATAGTAATCCGATTACTAATTCATTTGCTTTAAAGTTACTTTTAAAAAATACCTATAAAATACAAAAATAAACTGCAGCTCTTACAGTATATTAATATGCACTGAGAAACATTACAGTGGGTTGATCACAGCCGCCTAACATATTCAAAAGACTTAAAAAGTTTGCCCAAAATTCTCTCATCATTCACTTGTTCCAACCTGTTTGTCCTTTTTATCATTATTATTTTTTTTTTACATAAAACATGACATTCAGAAGAAAACTGGATACCTGTAACCACTGACATCCATGGTATGCAAAAGCACTACAGTGTTTGGGTGTTCTGCATTTGTCTGAGGTAATTAGTCTGCCAAAATGTGTATATTCCATACAAAGTATGAAGCTGACCAGTCAGCTCTTGTCACGTGACTTGTGGTTTTTACCTGGGTGTGCCTGGAAAATATGTGCTTCCAATATGCGCGCACAAGACATATGCCTCGATTGTAAAAAACGAACTTTTAGGTGCAAAAGATGCGATATGAGCCGCCCTATAAGCAGCTACGCTTCTCTACACGTTCAGAAGATACTTTTCACTCCCAATTCTGCACAAAAATCTAATTTAGCCTGTTTAGACTGGGTTGGACCATCAAGTTTTTAGGAGCTGGTGTCCTCTTTTGGTGACTTGAACAAGTTTCTGGTCAAGTTAAAAGCAGTCGAAAGTTCTTTTAAGACAGGACATAGACTGCATTTCACAGCCATATTTTTGTTTTTACACTCAGTGAAATGAAAGTAACGTCTGTATTTCCACTTGAAGAAGCAGCCACTCTCGACAGCAGCAGCGCGTTCTCCAGCAATGTAAAAGCTCATGCTTATTAACTGACATTGCTGCGGAAAACAAGATTTAAAAGGGGTGGTCCAGAGTGCATTTTTAAGGCTCGGTTGTGTTTATAAGATGCAAAGCAATATGTGCTTATGCTTTATTTGTAGAAAATCATGTTGTTTTTTTCATATATCTTACTTTGATTATATACAGCTACTGAAAGGCCTTCTACCGAAAGGCCCACCCTCAAGAGGCTCGGATTGGTCAGCAAACATAATGTGGTGTGATTCGCGGATCTGCTCCACGCCATCAGAAAGAGTTTCTGCTGTAACATTACAGCACATCTGGCTACGCCCCTTTGCTATACGGTGTATGTGTGTAACCTGAAGGGTTTATGATCTCACTAACCCGGATAGTCCACAAACTACGTTCACTGTAGGCTTTGTTTAGCTAACTCTGTAAAAGCCAATGTCTCTCTTTACGTTGTACTTTGAGCGTATTACATTCAGAGATGTTGTTTATGTTCACACAGCTGCATTACACATGAACTAAAGTTTCAAATCTAATATCGTAGTGGAGCAGTCCTTTAAAAGAAGCATTCTTCCCTCTAAAACTATATTTGTAACGTAAATAACGCAATTTCATTGACTTTAGTAACTGTAAACAAATTGCACAAATTTAAATGTAATTCGTTACTGCTTTTCCCAAAATTGTTATTAGAATACAGTAACGCGTTACAGAGGAATGTGTTATACCCAACACTGGTAATCGTTGACTTCGATAGTATTTGTTTTACCTACTATGGGAGGTTAAAGGTTTTCAGCGTTCTTCAAAATATCTTCTTTTGTGTTCAACAGAAGAAAGAAATTCATAAAAGTTTGAAACCACACAAGGGTGAAGACATGGGCTGTTTCTCAATATGCGTTCTTGTCTGCACTTGCGTTCTTGTTCTTATCCCAGAGGATTGTAGCGTAACCAGCAAAAGCTACTGGCAAACCCCCACGGTTTTAAAAATACTGCTTTGCTGTATCTCAAAATAAAGCTTTAAGAATTTTTCAGGCGAGAATGTGGTTGTTTTAAACGTGAATCTGCAGTTTATTCACAAAGATAGCATGTCTTTGATGATGTGCCTCAGCTTATTCGGATTCTGACTTCCAGTCTGCCAGCGGGTGCTTCGTCATCATATCCCCCACCAAGAGCAGCTTTACTTCGGCCAGTCCATGTCGGATGTACCGCTGGATCTCATCACTTTATTGTAGTTAAAACATGATATTTAATACATCTTGTGTATATTTAACAGACAGTTTTTGGTCTTTTAAATCTATTATTTGTTCTTAGGTGTATTATTTTGGCAGTATTTATTTGTTACGTTTTATAGTTGTCTTTAAAGGTTCACAAAACCCTTGAGTACTTTTTTTTTTTGAGATTTTGTGTGTGTTGGGCATCTGTTAAGACAGTGTTAGCACCTGTTAGCTTTAATTGTGGGAAAAACTGGATAATTTGAGCTTTTGTCAGCTAATTTCAGCTTCCGGGTTTAAAATGATTTTTAGCGCAGGATCAAAATCGGCGATGTAGCCCAAAACTGCAAGTGGAGTGATGATCCGTCGGTTTCTCATTATTATTTATACTGAAGTTTTTTTATCCAATGACAAGAGCCTGCTTCTTAATTATTCATGACTGCACATGCTTTCCGAAGGCAAGACAGATCTGCCAGTGCCAAGCTGTGAGATCCTACCTTGATGACTGGGTTAAACAGCTTCCACTGACCCACGGCACACAGTATTTAGCTGTTCATGAAGGGCCGTATGTGTTTGTTTCGATGATCCATGGGGTTTGTTGCATGTTTTTCCCCGTGATGCTGTCAGGGCCGATACAGCAAAGTTGTTTGTGTGCAGTAAGCATTTTTGTCAGGAGAGCAGTACGAGAACTGGAGAATGGCGGATGTCGTCTTTTATCAGAAGTTTGTTCACATTTAGACACATCGCCGTGCTACTGTTTTTGCCTAAATCCATCCAGATTACCAGCAGGGCTAATGATTGAAATAGGCAGGGCAAGAGACCTGCTGCACTGAGTCTGCATTCAGACCTGGGGATTTATGGAAAAGTCCTCACCTCAAAGTGTTTATATAACACGATTATCTTTACAATAATATAAATTGTGGTTGTGTATTTTAAATTACAAATGACAAATGTAGCAGGGTATTAAATTACTGTTTATTTGTTTGCATTTTAACTTTGTAAACTATAAAATCATTAGTCTTCTCAAGGTTTGTGTCTCATTTTGTGAGCCAACTGACAACAGTTGTTCGCTCCCCTCTTTCTCCCCTGCTCTGCTGGCCACGCCCATTCCTGCCTCTGATCGCGGAGCTCCACGCCCATTATGATGCATTTTTGGAAAAATTCTGAGGCAGACCTGAACCGAAAGGAGTCATGACCCTTTAATCGTTACTGTGTTGTACACTGTTTGTCTTTGTTTACCAAATTGCTTAGCGTTATATTTATTTCTTATTGTGTACGTCTTGTACTTTATACTTGTATAATGTCCATTAAATATGATAATCAAAGACACGTGTCTAAGTATAAAACCACATTTTACTTCACATTTATATAATGTATGTTTACATTTTCTTAAATCAAAAATGTAGATTTATAATATTAATATATTATTAATTACTGGGCCGTGCTTCATGTAATTTAGTCATTTTATTTTTGATGTACAGTGAAACCGATGAATCCATGGTTAGGTAAGTGATGTTATAGAGTACACTGCTGTTATATTTGAAGAAGTACCCGACTTGCGTCCTCGGGTGTTCGTTCTTCCAAGTCTGAACTTCTAAGGACGCAAGTGAGTTACTTTGGATTTTTAGGTGAACTACCCCTTTAGTATTTGATGTATGCACGATTTTACATTCAATACAATTACGAGTACTTATATTTCACAACTGCTTTCATAAAAGATGCTTCAACAAAAACTATCTCAGTGGACTAATTCTTTAGATTAACAAACGATTCTTGCCTCCCAAAATCGTTTATTCAGGGTTTCTTCCATTAAAACGCCTTCAGACCGAGAAACACCTCTTTAACAGAAAAGCCTCCTGAGCCACCGTAGTGCAATGGGAGAAGTCAGCCAATAGGAATCGAGTACACTCAGAAAAGGCGGGGCTATTGTGCTCTACGATCCCCACACGTTGGGAAAGTGTTTGTATTTTTTGACAATAACACAAGTTTCTAGTTTTATAACGAGGATATATTCAGGCAAGGGAAAATGCCATCGCTAAGCGGAAAGGCGGACGTTTTATTCGTATGTATCTGAGCTATTTTTAAAGTCAGTTTTGTTAGTGTTCTCAATCTTTTCGTAGCTAGCTGTGATTAGCTCGCTAACTACAGCTGAATAAGATACACACAAGTATTTTTAATAATACTAATAAATTCCACATATGATTATTACCTGTCAAAATGAATTGTTGTGTCCTGTGCATTAATTCACCTCTCACATATAATAATAATTTATTTAAAGTGAATAACAGTAGTTAGCATAGGTTTACTTTAATTTTAAGTTATTATCATTGTTTAGTCAGTTACTAAGTGTCAGAAAATAACATTTAAAATTAACATTTTAAAAACCTGTACTAAATATTTCTGTTTCTTTCACCTAAATGTTACATTGAGGTAAAGTTTTTGTTTTCAATGAGGCGACATCATTGGCCCATGAACATTTCCTGTTGTCAAACTATTTCATAGCTGTAACAGGAGGCAATTCAATCATAACTTAATGTTAAAACAGCTATCATAACATTATTTATTAATATGTAAACCTTCTTGAAAGCTATGAAAATTAGAACCAACTGTTATCGTTTACGTCACTCAAAATTGTCTATATTCGCACATTCTGACTTTCTCCTTACAGTTTTTCCTCAGTAGCTTTGGTGCATTTCTCACAACACTATTTACATTTGAACACCAGTTAATACACATCTCAAAACAATTAGTACAAACTGCAAAACCTAAGATAACCTGCAAAAGCGTGTCACTTGCTCAAAATGGATAGTTCATTCCTCAAAAGCAAGTATTCACGTCAATGAAAGTGTCAGTATCATCAAAATGAGAAGTCTTGACACCATTGTTTATGAACAATATAGTCAAATGGCTTTGTCTTGTTTTCATTATGAATTATTAATTTTTTTCAATGCTAAATAGGCAGAATTTGGTGACACTTTCTGTAAATGCTCAAGACAGCAGTATATACTATTTGCACAGCCATTTGAAAACCAGTAAAGTTAGACAACACTGCATTTAGTGAGCTATCTGAGTACAAGACACTGAATATGTATGTTTCACATTTTTACTGCATTTGCTCTTTGCCATTCTAATTTATTCAAAGCATTGTGCAAAAGAATAAATACACCCTTATTTACAACAAACATAAACTTCCTTTGGATAGAGCTGTGCACAACTGTAAACAATATTGCACAACATATTTACCTGCAACATACACAGGTCTGTAAATCAGTCATGAAATTGTTCAATTTATAAGACATTTTCAGGAAAAAAAAAGATTTTACATTTTTTACAAAATTTGCTCGACAGATTTTGACAGCTAGTTCAACATTTGTGTATGTAATGACTCAAGTGATGAAATGAGGACTATTAGTTTAATATGGAATGACTATTCAGAATTCACAAGTTTAGTTAATTTTGACTGACATAAACAAATAATAATGTTATAAACAGCAGAGCATTGTATGAAAGCAATTGATGCATGTTCAAAAGCATTTGCAATTTGTTGGAGGGAATGAGAAACTGCTACTAGGATGTGCACAAATGACTAATTGTTTTGAGAAATGCATTACTTGTTGTGCAAATGTAAATAGTGTTGTGAGAAATGCACCAAAGCCACTGAGAAAAGCTGTAATAAAATATAAATAATATAACTTTAAAAAGTATAATGTGCAGATTATAAAGCAAAATCATATTAGCAACCCATGACTGTCAAATTACAACACTGTTCACAGTGAAAGAAATAGCTCTAATGTTGTTTTCAAGTCTTACTTGCAGGTGATCTCAGACCTAATATTTAAAGTAGCAGGGTAAGGGAGCATGTCACTTTCACTGTACGAATGTGCTATTAAAAAACAACTTTACCTCTATAAATGTTACTCACTAACTCAATAATCTAACGTTGGAGCTAGCTTTCATCAGTGTTCGTGAATCTTAATCACAGAGGCATGTTTGTTTTGCAGGAAGATGATGATTTGCCTTATGAGGAAGAAATCATCAGGAATCCATATTCAGTCAAGTGCTGGATGCGTTACATTGAGCACAAGCAAAGTGCACAGAAATCTGTGCTCAACATGATCTATGAAAGAGCTTTAAAGGAGTTGCCTGGCAGGTGCGTACATGTCATCATGTCATTTCCTTTTACACTGAAACCTGTGTGCTTTAAATCCTAAATATCTACATGGTTTCTTGCAGTTACAAATTGTGGTACAACTACCTGAGAGAGAGGAGAAAACAGGTGAAAGGAAAGTGCATCACGGATCCTGGATACGAGGAGGTGAACAACTGTCACGAGAGAGCGCTTGTGTTTATGCATAAGGTAAAGTTGATCTCTTAATTCTTACACAGGGTTTCTGTTAGTTGTAAAATGTGCTATATTTACATATTTTTGAATAAAGAGTGATGCACATGTTTTATGGCATAAGACTAGATCTGTGGCTGAAATCGCTTACTTACCTACTATATAGTTCGCTAAAAACAGTATGTGAGCCGAGTAATATGTCCAAATTCATAGTATTAAAAAAAAGTAGGTGAAAAGTAGGGCTGCTCGATTTTCGGAAAAATCATAATTACGATTATTTTGGTCATAATTGTGATCACGATTATTTAAAACGATTACTGTTGAAGTCAAAATTATTAGCGCTCCTGGGAATATGTTTTTTTTTTTTTTTAATAAATATTTCTCAAATGATGTTTAACAGAGCAAGGAAGTTTAACAGTATTTCCTATAATATTTTTTCTTCTAGGCTTATTTATTTTATTTTAGCTAGAATAAAAGCAGGTTTAAATATTTTGAAACCCATTTTAAGGTCAATATTATTAGCCCCCTTGAGCAATATATTTTTTGATTGTCTGCAGAAGAAACTATTGTTATACAATGACCTGCTTAATTACCTTTATTAAGCCTTTGAATTGCACTTTAATCTGAATGCTTGTATTTAGAAAAATATCTAGAAAAGTATTATGTACTGTCAATCATAGCAAAGATAAAAGAAATCAGTAATCAGAAATGATATATCAAAACTATTATGTTCAGAAATAAGTAAAAAAAAACGTATTTCCATTAAACAGAAATTGGGCAGGAAAAGGATTGCAAATATTCAGGAGGGCTAATAATTCTGACTTCAATGTATACATACAGTTATTTGCCTCCCTGCAAAGGAAAAAAAATAAATACAATAGAATAAAAATATGAAACAAACTGTGCTTTAAGCATTTTCACTGTAAGAATAAAACTTTAGCTACAAAAATCCTTCAGTCAAGAGCAGAGGGATTTTCTCGTTTTGTTTGATTAATGATAAAAACAACATCGTGTGCTGTCACTTTAATGGTTTCTCTTTCACTTGTCTTTTGATCCTCAACTCGTAACTCGTTTGTTTATTACACAAATGAGGGTTATTATGAATAATCACTAAAAACTGCGTTTTGACACCTATTTGACCATTAAAGCGCTCGCACTAAGATGACTTTAGATGTCTGCGCCTCGTTTGTTTCGCGAGGTGTGCGATGCGGCGCCAGGCGCAAGTATAATTCCAGCTTCAGTATGCGAATGAGACCGAATGCTGACCGGCCGCATTGTTCTGGCTGTGTACGCGTGGTGCACACACATAAGCACGCAGTCTTTCGCGCTTTTAGGAGCAACAGCTGGAAAGGGGGCGGTTATGATGCAATAATCGTTTATCTCGATTAATGCTTTTTCATAATCGTTTAAAGCCAAAATCGATTAATTGCACAGCCCTAGTGAAAAGTACCCAGATGGCCTACTACTTCCTGCAAGATTCTGTAGTACACATGCAATGGATGCTACACTATCCTATGGTGCCATGCAAGAGAATCCATGAATGGGAGTGCGGCGACATAACTAATGCGGGTAGGTCATATGAAAATGACTATTGGTGGATGTAGTACATCCAACATTCATTCATAGTACTCCAATACAGTGGTTCCCAACCTTTTTCCTAGGGGCCCCCCCTATGAACGTATACAAACATTGGAGCCCCCCCACCATTTAAATACACACGCACGCACACACATATGTACTATATATATATATATATATATATATATATATATATATATATATATATATATATATATATATATATATATATATATATATATATATGTATATATATAATATACTGTATGTGTGTGTTTGTGTAATATTAATATATAATATGTATAGAAAATATAAATTAATCACTTTTAACTTGTCTTGGCCTTCATTAAAACCAAAATTTAGGTAGGCTTTGTCATACAGTTTAATCTTTTTCTTCGCCTCTGAAGAATCACTGCATTTCCATTTCCCTGCCGATTTTGTTTTTATTTGCCTTTACGACACATTGACAAGCACATTTCGTGAGTGAGCAAAATTTTAATAATTATTTAAAGTTATTTATTTTATTTATTTTACTATTATGTTGGAATTTACATATATAATAGCAGGGCTGCTCGATTTTGGGAAAAATCATAATCACGATTATTTTGGTCATAATTGTAATCACGATTATTCAAAACGATTATCAGTTAAAGTCAAAATTATTAGCGCTCCTGAGATTTTTTTAATATAAATATTTCCCAAATTATGTTTAACAGAACAAGGAATTTTAACAGTATTTCCTATAATATGTTTTCTTCTAGGCTTATTTGTTTTATTTTAGCTAGAATAAAAGCAGATTTAAATATTTTGAAACCAATTTAAGGTCAATATTATTAGCCCCCTTAAGCAATAAATATTTTGATTGTCTGCAGAAGAAACTACTGTTATACAATGACTTGCCTTATTACCCTAATTAAGCCTTTGAACTGCGCTTTAATCTGAATGCTTGTATTTAAAAAAAAATATCTAGTAAAATATTATGTACTGTCATCATAGCAAAGATAAAAGAAATCAGTAATTAGAAATGAGATATTAAAACTATTATGTTCAGAAATAATAATAAAAAAAAAACTTCTTTCCATGAAACAGAAATTGGGAGGAAAAGGGTTGCTAATATTCAGGAGGGCTAATAATTCTGACTTCAAGTGTATACATACAGTTATTTTCCACCCTGCAAAGGAAAGAGAAATAAATACAATATATTAAAAATATAAAACAAACTGTGCTTTAAGCATCATCACTGTAAGAAAAACACTTTAGCTACAAAAGTCCTTTAGTCAAGACTAGTGAGGTATTTTCTCGTTGTTTGATCAATAATCATAAAAACAGGCGGCAGTAGGAATATTTCTCACTGTCTCTTTGGTTTCTCTTTCACGTGTCTTTTGATCCTCAACTCGTTTGTTTATTACACAAATGAGGGTTAAAATAAATAATCACTAAACACCGCGTTTTGACACCTATTTGACCATTAAAGCGCTCACGCTAATGACTTTAGATGTCTGCGCTCCTCTGCTCGTCTCAGTGTGCGAATGAGCGAATGCTGACTGGCCGCGTGCTTCTGACTGAGTGTGCGTGCTGCACGAGGTCTTTCGCGCTTTTAGGAGCAACACGTTGACAACTGGAAAGGTGGCGGTATATGATGCAATAATCATTTATCTCGATTAATGCTTTTTATAATCGTTTGAAATCGAATTAATAATCGATTAATTGCACAGCCCTATATAATAGTGGAGCATTTTTATGCCTTTTTCTACCTCAATACTTATACTCTCCCGCGCCCCCCTTGTGAACTCTGGCGCCCCCCTTAGGGGGGCGCGGACCCCAGGTTGGGAACCACTGCTCCAATACATACTATATAGAACATACTTTTCTAACGGTCATGATGTAAATTCAAATGTAGTATCTAGTCGAGTTGTAGGTGATTTCGGATGCAGCCAAAGCCATGTCATTGTGACCTGAAGATCTGAGTTGTGGTTTTAAGATCCTTTGAGTAAAAACAGCAGATCAACATTTATTTATTTTTTATTTTTTTTTACAAATACCAGGTTTTGGAAAGAACAACTAGTACAAAATTTTGCGGAGACCCGGAAGGGACATGATGGTAGGGAAAAAATGGGTGAAATAAAAAAAAACTGAGTGGGAGAAAAAAAAATGCGTTTTTGTGTTCCTTCGCAAAACTGTTTTTCCACAAACTCTTTCTGTTCACTTCGTACATGTCAACCCTCCCGTTTTTGCCGGGATTCTCCTGTATTTTACCATTTTTTTCCCACTATAATGTCATATTTTAAAGTATTTTCCCATATTTCTCGTGTATTTTTAATCTTGAAAGCACGCTGAAATGGATATAAAAATGTCTGCATTCACTTTCTTTCCAATTAAGCTGTGCGTCGATCATCACCCTTCATATGCCTCTGAATTAGTGAATGCATGTATACGGACCCGCTCTGTATGATAAACTGATTTTTCTTGGCTGCTGCATGGAGGGCGCCATAGCGGTCAGCGTCTTCCGGTATAATGTTTAGAACGTCCATTTACAGTGTTTACAATAGGTAATTTGCGCTCTGAAAATGGGTTTCAATAGTGTTTTGAGTGGATTACGAAGTGTTTTGTGACACACAACTTTGAAAGGTGTGTGTTAAAGCTGTTGTAATCTGTCAGATGTAGTTCAAGCGCGCAAGATAAATGTTCTTCTAGTTCAGGTGTCTGCCGTCAGAAATACCATGTGTGAGTGTGACACACACAGACACACACAGGCAATACTTTACTGCATTATAGAGCAAACCAGATTACTGGCATGAACGTAACGGGTATGCAAGTCATGCAATTTACAAAAATGACCAATAAAAGTCTGTTACTGTTCCTCTGCTGGCTGATTTGCAAGTTCATTCTTATCGCGAGCCGTTTATGTTTCATTTAGCTTGTTGTATTTACCAAAATTTGCGTTCTGTCATTTTAAAATGTCGCTTTATTTTCACTTTGTCACAGTTATTAAATCAGTGTGTTAGTGGGACAGTACAGTAGACTGTGTGTGTGTCAAACATTTTGGAGAACTACATTTGTTTGTGCTGGTTATATATTTGAAAGAAAGAGAAACTATTGACTTTAGCGATGACGAGGCTTCATTTAAACAGCACAAGATGCTGTCTGACAACAAGGGAAAACACACTACGTGATCCTGTTTGAAAGTGAAAATGAAAGCCAAGACCTTTGCATGTTCTAGTTACTTAACTACATATTTATAGGCTGTATTACCAAAAAAGGTTAGATTTTTAGGGTAATGGTGTCATTAAATATGATGCCAGACATTCAAAGCTTAACTTTAATATCTCAATAATAGCTTTGAATGTAAATATGTTATGACAATATGGTGTTTTATATGAGAATGGTCAGAATGACCAGTATGGTAATTCTAATAGTTACAGAATTCTAGCTCCACTGTTGATATAGCTTACTCTCATGTCTGTGTTTACACAAAATGAAGCGACCAATAATAGATGTTTCTATTGAGCTCCTGAGCACACAGGCATTCAGCTCATGCTGATATGCTCTCTCATTGGCTGCAACTCGTCACTACATCAGACCACACGTGGGGTTGAGTCGGCCGACTGCTCTGGAATATTTATCATGCTAAATGTTGGATTTCCGTCTGCGAGGTGTCGGCGGCGCGTCAGCGAACCTCGTTGATGCGTTGTTCAGTAGTTCACACATAAAGAGCGGTGAGCGCCGTGCACCCGCAGATTTCTTCCCGATCACAGCCCGATCTGTCGGTGAGCTCGTTAACTTCCAAATCGGGCTCAAATCAGGCTTAAAATCCTCTAGTGTGAACTAGGCTTTATTAGATCGCATTTTTAACTAATCAGTCCAGGAGGTGGTGCTGATCGACAACAGTATTAGTTCTAAGATAATAAAAGCTGGTAAAATAGATTAAAACTGTTGTTTTAAAGCTGTCCAAATGTGACTGTTTACATGCACCAGCTGCCGACCAGATGTACTTAGCATTCTCCTTGCAGGTACACGTAAAGCATAATGGGTAATTTAGCGTTCTAAGAAAATGGTCTATACTATCCTCATACTCAGCCTTGTAAAATTACTTTCTCCTCTCAAATGAAAAAGTTTGTTTTCCCATTTGCATTTGAAGTATACTACAGGTCTGTTTTTTTCTTATTCTCTAGCCTCTTTCAGCAATAAGGAATTTAACACATAGAACTGCCACTAACCAGATATTTTTTAACAGATTATTGTCTGTAAACCCAATTTAGTTTCGGAATTACTCAAATCAGCCATCTGGCTCAAACAAACAATCCACATTCACTCGCCAACATCATGTCACTAAAATCATCTTACTTTCTCATTCCGATACCTGCTTTGAACTTCAGCAGATCATCTTGACCTCATCTATGTGCCTAAATGCAGTTTCTCATTTGATCGACTCGTATTTGCGCTGTCAAGCAGTTGAACAGTGTAGTTTATGTGATTTGATGTTGGCCCATTTAAAGCAGTGTGAATACTTTTCTCCTCAGATGCCGAGGATATGGATTGATTATTGTCAGTTCATGGTGTCTCAGTGCAAAATTACACGGAGCAGACGGACATTCGATAGAGCATTAAGAGCTCTGCCCATCACCCAGCATCCTCGCATCTGGCCTTTGTATCTTCGCTTTGCCCGGAACCTGCCTCTACCAGAGACCGCTATCCGTGTTTACCGCCGCTACTTGAAGGTAAGAGTTGGGTATGAATCTTAAAAAAATATATAGCTTAAATGAGTACATCACTCATTGATCTCGCTTTTAAATTATTATTTTTTATAGGATGCTTTACAATAATGTATTTGTGCATATGCATTAAGCCACCTGTCAACAGCACACGACAAGCAACGAAGTCATTCACTTCCAATGCAAAGTAGTCTGGAACTCTGATCCAGAAATTTCGGATCTGATTTGACCTGTGGATACGTTAAAATATTTGAACTTCAGCTACTAGACAGTATATGACTGGCCGACCGGATGTGATGTATTCCAGTGTTGTCCTAGCAGGTCCATGCGCGTGAGATGAGAAATAGAAAATTTTCATTATACTTTTTTTTTCAGAAATAAGTCTATATTTAAAAACTAAATATATTCATAAATGAGTAATGAATGTTTTTCATTTTAATCTTGTCTCCACACTCCCTACAAAATTTTTGCAGTCTATGATGAGTTTCTAGTATTCATTCAATCATTCATTCATGAAACCATAGTGAATGGATGGCGAATAAATGCTCTTGCTTTTGCACTCCTTTATGGACACCACCACGAGAATCAGCTTCCCATGGTGCGCGACAAAACTAAATATTCTGTGAGCCAGCCACAAGGGGGCGTATTCCGAGTATCCTAATGTCGTGTGCAGTGGAAAGGTTGCTTCAGATTAGAGTACCAAGGCCAAAATAGAACTTGTCTCACAAAAAAGTTAAGATAAGTCCAAAAATTAGCAAAACCAAATTAATATGTTGAGTGAAAATATTAAAATGAATATAAAAAATATTAATCATATAAAAAATATTAAAATAAAAGTTTATTAAACTTAAAAAATCAAGAGACAAAAATGATGTTTGTATTTTTTATTTGCAATAATTTTGCATTGAATTTAAATCTATTATCTTTCTGTTTATAAGGATCTTAGCTGACCAAACTTCTATTTTAAAGAATAAAATTGGTTAATATAACTCTTGTGTTTAAATGCACCAAAAATTGCTGGCTATGTTCACTGAGAAATAGATACAAATTTTAATTGCCTAAATAGTTTATTTAAAATATTAAATAATTTAAACTATTTAAATAAGGTGTACTTTTTTTATGCTAAGTACTTTTTACATACTTGATTTGAAGGTTAGTTAATATTTCAAGCATTATTTTATAAGCTGTAAATTAATGAAACACTCTGGATGTTTTCCTGCCTTGTGTGCAGTTGTCTCCTGAGAATGCAGAGGAATACATTGATTACTTGCGCTCGGTTGGACGCCTGGATGAAGCCGCATTACGTCTGGCTGCTGTGGTCAATGATGAAAACTTTGTTTCTAAAGAAGGAAAGTCCAATTATCAGGTCAGCAAATGACAGATTGTTACTTAAAAAAATGTATGTGTCCTGTAAATCTTGTATGTTAAAACATTACTATAGTTCAGGGTTGTTTTAGTTTTTTAACATATTTCACATCACATGATTCTTCAGAAATCATTCGATATTTGGGTTATTATTCAATTGATAGTCATATTATGTTTAGCATCATGAGTTTAGCTTTTCTCTGGAAACTTACATTTTTATTTAAAAAAAGGGTTGGGTGGTATTTGTTGTCTAAAATGATAATTGTTGTAATGTTGTGCAAGCAGACAATAGTGTCTCACTGGCAGTTTTAGTGTCATATTTAGTTATCGATCGCACCGGCACAAAAACACACTATTAAAGAGATAGTTTACCCAAAAATGAAAATTTCCACATCATCTACTCACACTACTCACACTTTTTTTCCTCTGTTGAACACAAAACAAGATCTTCTGAAAAATGTTGGAAACACACATCCCTTGACATCCACAGGGAGATTACAATATACTATGTTAATCAGTGACTGTTTTCTCCAACATTTTCAGTTTATTTTCATTTGTGTTTTTACAGAAAAAAAAACACGAACAAGTAGAGGATGAGTGTTTGAGTAAACAATCTCTTTAACTTATATAGATATTTAACTTTAAAAGATATATTTTTGCTCTATCACACAACCCTAATTACTAGGGATGTAACAGATCATGGTTGATTTGTGATTCGTACGTATCACAACCCATGGTTTGGAACACCTGTGACCAGCGGTTTTAATACTTTTTTGCTTGTAGATTTACCCGTAATTTGTAACGATCACAGAGAGATCGTCTCTCACGTCATGCAAATCACATGTATGAAAGCATTTAGGCTTTCCTGTAAAATATAATGATGACTGAAGAAGTTGTGTTAGGTTATTTGGGATGTGGTGGGTTTCTTAGGTTATTAAAGGTGTTTTCTGTCACTACTTGTTTAGCCTGCATTAATGGATTCAGTGTAAGCTGCATGATTAATTATTAAAAGATCGGGATCTTAACACCCACACAATATAAATATAAATAATGGTGATTTGCATGTTTATTAATCCTTCAAATCGCTGCATTCAAATCTGAAAACGCAAAAATCAAGAAAGAGATTGAGTGTTTAGTCTTAAGTTAGTTATGAAGTTACAAACAGTAAAAAAACAAAGAAGTACTGAGATAACAGTTTATAGTTTAGATAAAACCACTGATGATTATTAAATTCTTTACAATAAATTAATGGTAAAGATTTGCTCAAAAATTAACAGCAGCTATTACATTATTTAACCAATAGGTGGCAACAATCAGCCATCAAAAATATGCCACTGAATAATTCTTCAAAAATTACACATTTAGCAATGAAACATGACGTTTTATGAGTAAATAACTGAATCATTGAAAATAAAAAAAAAGAGAAAATCGAAAATGAGACAAAATAAAAATGGGTTGTACAAATTATAATGTTAGATTTCTATATTTAGCGTTATCAGTAACAGTAGTGGTAGGTATGTATTTTTTTTTTTAAAGTACTGAATATTTTACAGTTTATTTTTCTTCAGCTGATTATTTCTTCATTTTTATTGTAATAAAGTTACAGGTTCTAAGTTCTGTTTGTTTGAACCAACATTTCCTACAGACTGTTTTTGTAATAACGAAAAGCAAATTACAATTGTCTCTTTTCCTTATTGGCTGATCTAAAAAAATGGTCTGATCCTTGACTAAAAACCATAATGTGATCCGAATCGTGAGATTTGTGATCCGCTACACCACTAATAAATACATTTGTGAATTATGTGCAACATATTTTTCAAATTTTTGTTTTGTAAATGTAAATTTTGAATTCCAGTTGTGGCACGAGCTCTGTGATCTCATCTCACAAAACCCGGACAAGGTGACCTCGCTGAACGTGGGAGCGATTATCAGAGGAGGCCTCACTCGCTTCACTGACCAGCTGGGCAAACTCTGGTGCTCAATGGCCGATTACTACATCCGCAGTGGCCACTTCGAGAAGGTAAACCACGCGTTTAATAAAACACAAAGGACTCTATTCTAACAATCTAAGTGCAATGTCTAAAGAGGATGTCTAAAAACTCTGCGTCATTGACTTAGACCAGCTTTTTGATGGTCAATGATGTGGTTTATTTCAGTCGTCTCAAAATAGCAGGGTGCCAACAATGTGCCTTAACCTTCTTTTCAGACCAACACACCCATAAGTGCACAAAGTGGCGCAAATACTTTAGTTATTTAAACAACTTGGCACGAAACGTGAAAATGACACGTGCGCCGTTCTAAAAATAGCAAAAAAACAAAACAAAGACTCACCAATTACTTATACTCAAATTGATGACATTTTCTGTCTTGCTTCCTCAAGGCTCGAGATGTTTACGAAGAAGCCATCCTAACAGTTGTGACCGTGCGAGACTTCACCCAAGTTTTCGACAGCTACGCGCAGTTTGAGGAGAGCATGATCGCTGCCAAAATGGAGACCACATCTGAACTAGGCCAGGATGAAGACGGTGAGAGATTTTTCACAGAAGACCTTACAGGAATTGAGCCTTGACCTTGGTCTTACAGAAGTGCTTATTTCTCTACTCTAGATGACATTGACTTGGAGTTGCGGTTGGCTCGATTTGAGTCTCTTATAACTCGCCGGCCGCTTTTGTTAAACAGCGTGCTGCTGCGTCAAAACCCTCACAACGTTCACGAGTGGCACAAGAGAGTCAAACTCTATGAGGGCCAGCCTCGACAGGTCAGAACCATTACTTACATTTGAATATCTATTCATATTTGTTTTAACATTACTACTATGTTGGTGTTTTTGACGCGTCTTGTGGTGTTGTTTTTCTTGTAGATCATCAACACGTACACGGAAGCTGTGCAAACAATAGATCCTATGAAAGCCACTGGAAAGCCTCACAGTCTCTGGGTGTCCTTCGCCAAATTCTACGAGGATAATGAACAGATAGACGATGTATGTAGTTCTTGACATTGATCATTGTAGTTGATTATGGTAAATGTGAGGTTCGGTCCTTAAACTCTATTAGGCCTATCCAATCTGCTTTCAACTACATGGCGCGGATGATTGGCTGCCGTCACTTCAGCAACCAATGAGCCCACTCCTCATTGTTTAAATACCCCAGAGTTGTTTCTACTTTCAATTTACAGTGTATTAATTTACAACAGTTTTTTTTCTTTAACAAATGAAACGTTTATAGTCCACAACTACTGTATTTTAATATAACAGTTAAATCATAAAAAATTAAGTGATTGACAGTGACGTGTTATGACAAGCTATAATTTGACTTGCTTGAAATATGCAGACTTGACTTGACTTGAGTCACACAGATATTGATTTGACTTGCTTGAGACTTAAAGGTTATGACTCTAGACTTGTGACTTGCACATGTGTGATCCACCTCTACCCTCCTTCACCCCTGCTCCACCTGTTTACAGGTCTACTACAAAGGTTACATATGTTATGTTTGCAGTGGCAGTGTAACCAAAGCAGCAGCAGCATAGCTGATATATTCCACCAAAGCCAAACACATATTCATAATCATTTTAAATTTCTCAGAGATTTAAAATGACAGAAAAAAGTACAACAGGCTAATTTGGGGCTTGTCACTAGTGTTCATTTTGTCAATGAAAATGGCTTAAAAGAAACCAAAACTTGACAGGTCCCTTGAACTAGTAATGTGACTGAACTTGCATATTCTGATCTCTCATTTAATAAATAAACAGTGCAAAGCAACAGATTATAAACAAAATAGTTTAGATTTTCTCTTAACAACATTTTAGTCTTGTCTTTTGTTTTCGTCAACCATAATGAGCTGTTTGTTGATTAGAGTTTCAGAGTTTTCCATCACATTATTAGCGCAGAGAACCTGTTAAGATCCTGTTTGTGTCACGCATTAGACAACAAACCTCAGCAGCCAATGGGATTGCTCCTCAATGTTCAAATACATTGGTGTTGTTTCTGCTAGCAATTTACAGTGCAATTTCGGATACTCTCCTCCACCCCAGCTCCACCTGTTTATAGATCTGGTACAGTGGTTACATGCATGTTATGTTTGCAGCAGCAGCGTGTTTTATTCTCAGGCTTCATGTCTGTGGATATACTAGCAAGCCTTGGTGATTGATATGCACCAATAACCAAAGCAGCAGCAGCAGCAGCATTGCTGATATATTCCACTAAGACCAAACACATAAACATTGCCATTAACAGAATCATTACCTTAATAAATCTCAGAGAGTTATCATGACAGAAAAAAAAGTACAAAACGCTAATCTAACTGAAGCTTGTCACCAGTGTTAATTTTGTCAATGAAATAGCTTGAAAGAAAACTTGACAGGTTCTCTGCGCTAGTAACGTGGCTGAACTTGCTGACTCTGATCTCTCCACTAATAAATAAACAGTGCAATGCTCAGATTATAACCAAAGTTGTTTAGTTTTTCTCTTTTTAACTACATTTTAGTCTTGTCTTTTGTTTTTGTCAAAAATAATGAGCTGTTTGTAGAATTAGATTAGCGTATTAGAGTTTTGCACAATGTTATTAGCACAGAGAACCTGTTAAGAATCTGTGTCAAGCTATAGGCAACAAACATTTTTCCCCAATGGTTACCTTGATGGGATTAACACTGCTTGTAATAGCATTTAAATATAGTTGCTTTTCTGGTAATTTGTCTTCGGATAATAGCATCTGCTGTATGAATAAATGTGAATGCTGTGAACTGACGGTCAACTGTTCCATTTGAACTTCAAGGCTCGCACTATCTTCGAGAAGGCCACAAAGGTGAACTACAAGCAGGTGGATGATCTCGCTGCAGTGTGGTGTGAATATGGAGAGATGGAGCTGAGACACGAGAACTACGACCAGGCTTTGAGAATACTAAGGGTAGGAGAGACAGATCTATTAACTCTGTTGTCATTCCCTCAATTTTTACACTCATACCTGTCTTTTGTTCTGTTGAATACAAAAGAAGATGCATTTATAAATGTTGGAAACCTTGTAACCTTTCATTTCCACAATATTTGTTTTTCATTCTAGGGATATCAATGCCTTTTGCGTTCAACAGAAAAAATTAAATTTAGAAAAGCTTGAAACCACTTAAGGGGGATTTAATGGGGATTAAATAAATGTTTATTTATATAAACTATCATTTTAAGGCTACTCTATTATTCAAGTGAAGTCATACTGTAAAGATAATCTTGCTGCCTGAATTTTTCTTTAGTCAACTGAGTTTTTTTAGTCATCTCAACTGTCTCAATCTCAATAGTGAAAAATATTAAGTTAAAGGCTCAATGAAATTAAAATAAAGTTAGTATCAGTATTGTTAGTTTTTAGCATATCTATAAACCAGTGTGCTTCAAAACAGTGGCAAAATTCCCATTTAGGAGATGTAAATGCACAGATATTTATGAACATGTAAAGCTTGTAGTTTGTCACTTTTACCTAAATGGATCAACGTTTTATTCACGTTAACTCATACTTTAGTTGCTCATCAAATCGTGTCCAATCAAATGCTCTCCAATATCTGGGTATTGTTTGTGGTTTTTCAGATGCTGATGCTAAATCAATACTTTTAAAATGGTACCTGTGCCTAAACTGATAATTTTGAACAACAAAATTATGGTGGATGACTCTAGAAAATCATTTTTTTGACAAAAAAGATTTGAATCATTTTAATTAAACAATTTATTTAAAGTTTAAAGTAAACATCAGTTCATATGTTATATATTTGAATTGCATGAATATATTTCTTTTGATAATTTATTTGTTAGCCTGAATGTATGATTGGCATTATGCAATTTACATTACATTGGCTTACGACTAATCTGTGAATAGACTATCATCAAAACCAAGGAACACCTTTTTTTTGTAGGGTTTGGGCTTGTGACTACGTTTACATGGACATCAGTTATCTAATGATTTTCCTTTATCTAAATAAGACAATAATATGATTAAGGTTCTTTAAGGTAATGAAAAATCACTGTTCACATGGTAGACTCTTGATCAGAGTGTTGTCTAAATTATGTTAAATTCTCAGTATTGGTGTCCATGTAAACGTACTTACTGAAAGTGCTAGATGATGTCACAAGCTGTCGAAGACAGTGCATACCTTTGCCTTTAAGTTAATTCCATGCGCCCTCAAATGTTTCATGTAGTTTGACGTGTTCCCCCTCCTAAAATTATTCTTTCTAAAGCATCTGCTTCACGTTGCTGTGTCAGAATTCTTGCTTGTAAAATATATCCATACTTTAGAAAGCTTAGTTTAAGCAAATTTGATTAATGCGTGTTGATGAATCTGAAGTCACTCAACAGATGTGCTGTACTGTGCGAGTCACCTATGTGTGTGCATTCCCTATGCAACAAGAATAAATGCCTAACATCACAGACGGTGTCCGTATCCCTCAAAGTTGTTTAGAATTATGTTTACAGATGGTGTGACACAACGCGTGCCTATCTGTGCCTAACATCCTTGTTGGAGCACCAGTGACTCTGGGTTTTGGTACCCAACCCTGTTCCCCGCCCCCTTTAAGACGCTTCTCATTTGAGATGCTTATGATCAACCACTCTCACTGGCAGAGCAGTGAAAAAACAAAACGCTATTGGCTGTTTTGTTTTAAAGCGAATCTCCCATCCTCTCTTTATGTCTCAGTTCAGATTAAACATCGCCAAACATGGATTAAAAATGCACATTTCAAAGCATTTCAAACTTTTACTAATCCAGAAAACCGATTAAACCTGATAAAAATGAGGGTTACGTGGTGGCGTAGTAGGTAGTGCTGTCTCCTTCACAGCAAGAAGGTCATTTTTAGTCATTTTTATAACCCTCGTGTCCATGTCAGAGCCTCAATGCACCAATGTTTTCGTCGGTCTTTTAGAGATTTAGTCATTGGTGATGACGTTATAGCGGGTTAGTGTCTGCTTTTATATTTGGTGTCTGATTAATGTTTGCCGGTAGGCAAAATCTATTTGTTCACTTCTGCTATTTATACTTTGATTAGCATTTTAATTTATTTGTTTATTTCTTCCATTTAACTGCAAATTAGAATAGAAACTGGATGAAAAGCACACAAACATACTGACAGTATTAGGTAGGGCCTACAGTACATTGTTATGGGTCAATGAAGCTTATATTCGGCACAAATCCATCGATTTTGCCCTTCTGGCTGCTCTTTCTATGAATGAATTATGTAGAAGCAGTGTCCATACGTGTTTCCTTGTCAGTTAGTAAAGCTATATTTCATTGCACAACAATTAATCTATCACGCTTTTTGGCTAAAAAAAGAGAAATCACAGTTAATTAGTTAATATTAGATTATTTTTCAATGTCACCTCTCCTGCTGTGCATTACCTAAGCTGCTGAATGGTCAGCTTGTGAGGCGGCTAGACTAACCAAGCTTTAATTTTGATACAATTATTTTCTAATCGGTTGCCTATTAGGTTGTGAATATACCCCCCGTTATGCATACTGCAGTTTTTTTTGTCTGGCTTTCTTGGATATTTCACCTGTTCGCCACAAATGACTATTTATATCCCTGGCAATGTCTGACATCGGCGCATACATATTGTAATAGATGTGCCAAGTGCGAAAGCTTGACAGGTGTGGCAACAGTAACCAAGGAAACCGGGGCTTAGCGAAGGGTCAATTTGTTAAGCTAAAAAATTGTCTGTGGTGTATGTGTGTGAATGAGAGTGTAAGGGTGTTTCCCAGTGATAGGTTGAACCTGGAAGGACATCCGTTGGGTAAAACATGTGCTGGATAAGTTGGTGGTTCATTCCGCTGTGGTGACCCTTGATTAATAAAGGGATTAAGCGAAAAGAAAATAATTGAATGATTAAAATAAGTTGATACTAAGATTTGTTGATTTCTATTATATCATGCAGAGATTGAACTAGTTTAATGTCAGTTCGTTGGTGTTCCACCTTATCGGATTTTCAATATAAACTTGAAATGGGAATGTATTATTCGGCTGGTAAACACTATCATTGGCTGTTCGCAGAGACTTTTCTTTTTTTGATTTCTCTAACAAGTTGTGCTCTCTGCTTACAACATCTGCTTGACAGCTGGCATAAATAAGGGATCAAGCTTTAACAGCGGATTGCACTCAGCAGAAAATGTCATATTGCAGTACAGATGTTTGAGATTGGCTCTAGCCATTCTTACTTTTTCATGTTTCGTTCTGTAAAGTAACTTGTTTTGATTAAATGTATTTTGTATAAGAGCTGTTGTGTTGTGACTGAACTGCAGAGCTTGTGCAAACATTACAGTCGCTACTATCAGATGCTTTATTTAAATTTTCTTTGTGTGTTTGTTAGTGTAACGGGTCACAAATCTCACGGTTTCGATCGATTAATTTTTTTTAGTCAAGGATCGGACCATTTTTTGGATTAGCCAAAAAGAGGAGACAAAAGTGATTTGCTTTCCATTAATACAAAAACAGTACTGCAAGACAATTTTGTAGGGTTCATAAGGTCATGGAAACCCCGGAATTCCATGAAAAGTCATGGAATTTTGACATGGAAATTAGTTTAACAAATATCTTTATTCTTGAATTAGGGCTGTGCGATATTGGAAAAATCTGACATTAACATATTTTGTATTTCTGTGATGTGAATACAGTTTCACCAGATGATTTAACAGGTTTATTTGGATTGATTGGGTGGATTCAGTAGGGGAGTGAATCTCGAATTCATTCATTCATTTTCTTTTCGGCTTATTCCCTTTATTAATCTGGGGTCACCACAGTGGAATGAACCGCCAACTTATCCAGCACATGTTTTACGAAGCGGATGCACTTACAGCTGCAACCCATCACTGGGAAATACTCGTACACTCTCGTTCACACACATACACTACGGACAATTTTTTAGCCTACCCAATTCACCTGTATTGCAAGTCTTTGGACTGTGGGGGAAACCGGAGAACCCTGAGGAACCCCACGCGAACACGCAAAGAACATGTAAACTTGAACAAGAAAAGGCTTGAAGAAGTGACTTCTTGCTGTGAGGCGACATCACTACCTACTTTGCCACCGCGTCCCCCTGAATATCGAATAATATATAACATAAATTAAAAGCTTAGATAAAAACAATATAAGATTTTAAGTTAAAGAATTTAAGTTTTCAGGTATTCACTTTTCAGGTACAGATATTAGCCCCTTTCACACAGTGATACCGGAAAATGTCCAGAACATCTTTACCAGTAAATTCAAAAAAGCGCTGTTCACACAGACAAAGACGTTACAGAATTTTTCCAGAAAAGAGCATTCACACATCCATTCCAAAATAGAGTTAAATTCTGACATCTTTAACCAGAGATGACCTCTAAACGGCTGCACGTGTGTTTGTTTCCATTTGACTACATTACAAACTTTGTGGATGGATCAGTATTGTGAACAACTTTGATTAAAACATATAGAGGAACACTTTCGCATGTCGAGATGTACATAATATGTGTGTGTGCTGTCGCGCACTCCTTCACGGGCACACGCAAAGCGTCAAGCAACTGAAGGAAGCAGAGCTTGAAGGTAAACAAACAACGGCTTATCATAAGCATCTTATCGATAATCGTTTACAAAGTTGGCATTAGGAAGAAACATATAAACGTTGTCTGACTTACATCTAACAGCTAAATGTGTCTGGAAAATTATTTAAATGCTTTTATTTTCATAAACTGCACGGACTTGAATGCGTCTAACTGTACTGTTTGGCTAAAGTTGACGTCACATGTCAGCACGTTCTAGACGTGCACGCACTCTTTCCAGCAATCTTCCTTCTGCGTTGACACAGCGCAGTATTCCCGCAAATTACCGGTAATGTTACAAATTCTCTTTCCGGAAAATATCCAGAACAAATGTACCGGTATTTTCAAAAAGGGCCTGTTCACAGATACAGACCTTTCAGGAAAATTGCCGGTAATTTTCCGGAAAGGTCTGTATGTGTGAAAGGGGCTATTGAATAATCATCACTGCATAGTCTTTATTGTATATTATTTAAATCTTTATTAAAGTTACAAAAATTTCTTGTGGCCGTATGTATTAAAATGTGAAATATTGAAATGTTCACACAGTCACAGGCCTTAAAGGGACAGTTTAATCAAAGATCAAAATGTACTCACTATTTACTCACACTTCACTTGTTTCAATACTATAGGATTGGTTCAATTATATTCTTTTTGTGTTCATTAAAAAAAGAAAACTCATGTTTGAAACAAGTGAAGGGTGTAATAAAAATGGTAAGTAATTTTTGGGTGAACTATCTCTTTAATAATACATGCAGATGATAAACTTTTACTCCATTATGATTAAACTCTATTTAAAACTATAATCCCAACATTGCATATCCTGCGATGTGACTATTGCGGATGCACACATTGTGATATCAATGCTAAAACAATATATTGTGCAGCCTTAACCTGAATATAGGTTTGTCGCTTTACTTTTCTGTCCTTGTCCAAAAACTTGCTCTCACATTGTTAGTGCTGTGTAAGCGTTATCAAAATCAATTTGACATAGATATAAAAACAAATTTAAACAAATTAAGTTGTTGCGTGTTCTATGATGTTCTGTAATAAAATTTTACATCATTGTTTTTCGTGAGTGCTGTCGCCTCACAGCAAGAAGGTCACTGGGTCGCTGGTTTGAACCTCGGCTCAGTTGGCGTTTCTGTGTGGAGTTTGCATGTTTTCCCTGCCTTTGCGTGGGTTTCCTCCGGGTGCTCCGGTTTCCCCCACAGTCCAAAGAGGTGGTACAGGTGAATTGAAAAGGTTAAATTGTCTGTTAATAGTGTATGAGTGTGTGTGTGAATGTGTGTGTGGATGTTTTCCCAGAGATGGGTTGCAGCTAGAAGGGCATCCGCTGCATAAAAAACTTGCTGGATAAGTTGGAGGTTCGTTCTGCTGTGGCGATCCCGGATTAATAAAGGGACTAAGCCGACAAGAAAATGAATGAATCATTGTTTTTCGTATTATTTACCATTTATATGTAGACATTACATAAATCAACAGGTCATGAAAATGTACTTGAAAGATCTGGAAAAGTCTTGGCAAAGTCATGGAATTTTTGCAGTAAAAATGATTCCAGTACTGGGTTGCAGCTGGAAGGGCATCTGCTGTGTAAAACATATGCTGGATAATTTGGCGGTTCATTCCGCTGTGTTGACCCCTGATGAATAACGGAACTAAGCAGAAGGGGAATAAAAGAATGAATTAAGCAAAAGTCAGTTAATTGTTTGCAAATAGCAAGAATTGAACCTTAAAATAAAATGTGACCATAAATTCTTTCCAAATAGTGCTTTTCAATCATTTGATGATATTGTATGGATGCAGTATGTTGAAATATATATATCACAGAAAAACAAAATATGCAATGTTGGATTTTTCATATCAAGCAGCCCTAGTCTTCGTGCTGTTGAGAGGGCAGTATCAATATACTCTTTTATATTTAATATTTATTGATTTCATCTAACATCGCTCTCAGGAGTGTGGATGGTGTTGAAATGTTCACAAACTTATATCCCTGCTTGTATAACATACCAAAGGAAAATAACCTTAAGTATATTGTGGATTTTAGTGTGTGATTTCCTCTGGTGCTTCTGGTTTATTAATTGAAATAAATTTTTAAAGGGATAATTCACATCAAACCTAAAAATGTATTCTATAAGTGTAGTTTTTCCAAACTTCCATGGGTTTCTTTGCTTTATTAAACACAAACAAAGATATTTTGAACATACCGAAAACCATTGACTTTCATAGTAGTAAAAAATATACTATGGAGGTCAATGGGTACTGGTTTCCATCATTCTTGAAAATATTGGATTTTTTGTTCAACAGAAGAAGGAAACTCGCACAAAGCAATGATCTGGATCCAGAATGACTGCCTTTGTATAATTAATACTTGATACTGTATTCTGTTTTTGTTTTTATGATAACTTCTATTCATTGGATACCCCAGTTTCAAGAGACAGTAGGGGAGGGGGGTGAGGGTATTTGAAATAATATATTTTTTATTATATAGTTTGTCAGTTTGTACATTTTGTAAACCTTAAAAAAAAAAGAAAAAAGAAAAAGGGGACTCAAACAGACTTGTAAAATGTGAAGGGTGAGTAAATGACAGGTTTTTTTTTTGGGGGGGGGGGGGGGGGGTGATCTGCCTCTTTAAACCTGTTAATAATAGAACTGTCAGGGTCAATAGATGAGTATTATTTCTGATTTAATTTCATTATTACTAGATTTTAGAACAATTCCTCTTATTGTAAAACACTTTCTGCTGAATTGTCCTGCTTTTAATGACTGCATAAGGATTTTTTAAATGAATTTAACTCACTTAAGATATTTAGCAAAGTGCTACAAGGAAGAAAAGTACATCATTTATTAACACTAAAAATCTAATTTATGCATTCATTTGTTTGTGATTTTTAATTGTAAATTTATTAACAAACATTTTTTTTTCCATGGAAATAGCCTTTGTTGCTGACGTGGCATTAAAAACAATAAAAGATATGATGACTAGATTCTGGGCGGCATTTTGGCTCAGTGGTTAGCACTGTTGTCCCAAAGCATGAAGGTCACTGGTTCGAGTCCCATCTGGGTCAGTTGGTATTTCTGTATGGAGTTTGCATGTTCTCCCAGCTGAAAGACCATCCATTGCGTAAAAAACATGCTGGAATATTTGGAAATAGAGACCAAGCTGAAGGAAAATGAATGAATGTATGACTAGATTTTAGAAAACTGTAATGTATGTTTGTTTTTAAGAGGAAATGTTTTTAATCATGTATTAACCTTTAAATTGTATACTTAATTTATGTTTTCATTTGTTTGTGGTTTTTAATTGTATTTTTTTTTAGGCTGCACAATATATGGTTTCAGCATCGATATAGCAATGTGCAATGTGAGTTGGGATTGTCTATTATATTGGAATTATATAGCCACAGTTCAAAATACATGACATTTGTGGAGTTACTGCAGAGTTTAACCTGAATGGAGTAAAAGTTAATTGTTTGGACATGTTTTTAAGAGCTAAGAGCATTCAAACACAATATTTAATCAAAAATCATTTTATTGAACTGTTTAAAGAGTAAAGTCTTTGCTGTGTTATTTTAAGTTTTAAGTTTAAGTTTTTAATTTCTGTACCTGAATGCGATTTGACTATACCCTGAAAACCACGAAGCTTTGTTTGTATTTCACTCTTATATTTGCGTATTACATTTCATGCATGATTTGTTCCCCTACAAACTCATGCCAATCGATAGAAAATGAATACATCGTTTCCAAATAGGGCTATTCAGTTCATCGAGAGAAATTGTATTTATATTGCAATATATATCACAGAAACAGAAAACTTACAGACCTTTTAAGTCGCTTTGGATAAAAGCGTCTGCTAAATGACTAAATGTAAATGTAAACATTAAATGTCGCAATGTCTGATAATAAAAATAACCTTTGTTACTGACATGGCATTAATTAAAAATATACATTATGATGAGTAGATTCTGTAATGTTTATTTATTTATTTATTTATTTGTTTATTCTTTTGTCTTTTAGCATTTTGATGAAGATTAATTTGAAAAAAGGTTTTAAGGTTATGTTTATGTTTATGATAATTGTAGTGCTTTATTTGTTAATATCCAGAGTTGTTTTGCAGCCTAGATTTGATGCTTGCTTAAGCACCATAGTTTATGTCAAGCCATATGGGGCTTAAAAGAGATCAGTGAGAATCTTCATGTCATCTGAACATTTCCAAATGTTAACAGTCAATGTTTTTTTTTTTTTTTTTTTACATATATCTATACAGAAAGCTACAGCAATTCCAGCGAGAAAAGCCGAGTATTTTGATTCATCTGAGCCTGTGCAGAATCGTGTGTATAAATCCCTGAAAGTGTGGTCCATGCTTGCAGACTTGGAGGAAAGTCTTGGCACATTCCAGGTATTTGTTATTATTGTAAAACAAGCTAGATTAAACGATCAGATTGATGCTGTTTTGTGTGTTAATGAAGCTGTTGTTTTTGTCAGTCCACAAAGGCAGTGTATGACCGCATCATTGACCTCCGCATCGCCACACCTCAGATCATCATCAACTATGCCATGTTTCTTGAAGAGCACAACTACTTTGAGGAAAGCTTCAAGGTATAGGACTTTAACCAGATTTGTCACTTTATTTGTTGTTATTATTTATTAACAGTGATTGTTTTAATTACATTTTTTTGTCTAGTTAAATTAGATGTGTTCACCTTTTAATTGATTTACACGTTATAATTTACATGTTATAATAAAAAAAAATCATCTATTCATTTGTCCTTTAATTTGAAACTTACTTAACTTGTATTTTAATTAAATTATTTGTATTTTAGTATTTTTTTACATTACTGAAATACATTTAAATGTAAAATTACACAAATTAATCAGAATAAACTAAAACTGAAATAATTAAAATGAAAGAAAATATTTTTTTACTTTTCATTTAATATTTTTTTATTTGCATTTTTGTATTTTATTTACATTTTAAGGAATTACATTTTAATTAATAAATAAATTGCAATGTAAAAAAGAAAATACATTTTAATTAATTGGAAAAAAAAGAAAAAAGAATGTGTAATAATAATAATAATAATATTAATAATAATAATAATAATTATAAAAATGAAGTGATTAAAATGAAAAGTACATTAACTTCTTATTTAATTATTTTTACTTGCATTTTAGTATTTTATTTACATTTTAAGGAATTACATTTTAATTAATAAATAAATTGCAATGTAAAAAAGAAAATACATTTTAATTAATTGGAAAAAAATGAAAAAAGAATGTGTAATAATAATAATAATATTAATAATAATAATATTAATTATAAAAATAAAGTGATTAAAATGAAAAATACATTAACTTCTTATTTAATTATTTTTACTTGCATTTTAGGATTTTATTTACATTTTAAATAATTACATTTTAATTCATTTTTAAAAATCCCCAAAAATGTATTTAAATGTTAAAAAAATAATAATAATTTAAATGATTAAATGAAAAGTTTGAAGCGTACTTTTCATTTTAATCATTTCAATTAATTTTATTTTTTACATTAGTATTTTTCTTTGCATTTTAGGATTTAAGTTACATTTTAATTAATAAAATAAAAAAATCAATCGCTTCTAACTTTTCATTTGATTATTTTTACTTGGATTTTATGTATATTTTAAGGAATTACATTTTAATTAAAAAAATAAACAAATTATAAAACAAAAATAATGATTAAAATGCTAATTATTTTTGGTTTTATTTTATGTACATTTAAATTTATTTTATTTAAAAATTTATATTTATATATATATATATACATATATAAATGTAATTTAATTATTATAGTTTTTTTTTTTTATAAAATGTAATTTTATTGAGGATAATGTAATTTACTTTTATTTTTCATGTCATTGTTTTTCATTTTGCATTAATTCTGGATCTAACTTATCGATTCTAGGCATATGAGCGTGGCATTGCCCTCTTCAAGTGGCCTAATGTTCATGACATCTGGAACACGTACCTCACTAAGTTCATCGACCGCTATGGAGGCAAGAAGCTGGAAAGAGCCCGAGATCTGTTCGAGCAAGCCCTGGACGGGTGTCCAGCCAAATATGCCAAAAGTAATAAGTGAACTCTATGCATTTTCCAATAGCTAAAATCCTTGATATTTTAAGACCAGACTCTGTTGTCAAAAGCACAGTTTTTTCCCCCCACATTTGTCAAGTGATTTTTGTCCCAGTCTGATGTATAAAAAAACAACAACCCCAAAACACCCACAATGCACTTGTTTTTTGCCACCCTTAATAGATGGATGTCTATATTTATCAATTACTACATATTTATATTTATTTTCATTTTATTTTAAAGTTTACTCAAAGGTTTTTACTCCAGACTTTATTTTTTTGTTCATATCTTTATTCTAAAGGTTTTTTTTTTGAGGAATTTGTTTATATGTTAATATATTCAATTATATACAACATTATAATTAGCAGAAATCCTCAAAATTCTATTGTGTAAAAATCTTTGGCTAATACATCAAAAAGGAAACAAACAATAAATCTGAGCCTGATTTGAGATTTCTTTGATAGAAATGTATGCAAATGACTGCATATTGAAAATGTTTGTCACTGTTAATGTAATAATCAGTCAGCTGAGAAAGTTTGGTGATAGCTATTTTTTTTTCTTACTTTAATAATTTAGGTGTCTTTCCACAGTGCTGCATTAAACCCAGGTTCTGATCTAATCTGTGTTTTCTAACAGCCATCTACCTACTGTACGCCAAGCTGGAGGAGGAGTACGGTCTCGCTCGACACGCCATGGCAGTGTATGAGAGAGCCACTGCGGCAGTAGAGGCAGAGGAACGCCATCAGATGTTCAACATCTACATCAAACGCGCAGCAGAGATCTACGGAGTCACACACACCAGAGCCATCTATCAGAAGGCCATTGAGGTAAACTGTCCGCCAGGGTGCTCATTTGCAATATATTTTAAGTTGGGTCGTGTATTATACATACCTGTAAACTCTCCTGTTTTTCAGTGGATTCTCCCTGGTTTTACTACTCTATCCCGCTTTCATTCTGTTAATGCATTTTTTGGGTATTTCTCTCATATTTTTAAACTTTCTATAAAAGGTGGCAGTAAAGGCCCATACACACAATATAGTTTTCGCTTATGTTTATCATCAGTGTTTTTTTCAAGAAATTTTTCTGCATTCAATCCCAGATTTTCATTGACGTTGAGCATAGTGAACACACAAAATTACCCCGACAGATTAGATGGCACTTAATGAACTTTTCTGAGCATTTCTGAAACGAAACCCGCCATCAAATCCCATTTGCTACTCTCCACTCCTGGGGACCATTTCAATGTGGTGATGTCATTGGCCTATGATCATTTTCTGCTTGCCGTCAAACTATTTTATAACTGTAATAAAAGGCAATTCAATCATAACTTAACGCTAAAACAGCCATCATAACATCATTTATCAATATGTGGCTCTTTTTGAATTTTCTGAAGCTACCGAAATTAAAAATGTAAAACAGGAAATACTTTAGGGTCATTGTTTTGTTTACATGCCTCAAAATGGTCTATTGACATTGATATATACTGATATTGTAGTTGCATTCTCTTCATCGTTGAATAAATAAAATATTGCTAATATTTTTAGGGGGCTAATAATATTAACCTTAAAATTGTTTTAAAACCCAAATAAAACTTTCTCTTGAAGAAAGAATATTATAGGAAATACTGTGAAAATTTTTTTGCTCTGTTAATCATAATTTAGGAAATATTTAAAAAAGAAAAAAGTTCACAGAAGGGCTAATCATTTTGACTTTAACTGTGTATATACAGTATAAATAAACCCACTTTCAAGAATTGATATTGAATAGACCCCCTACAGAAACCAGTGTTTTATGCTCAGCCCCAATAATCAGGCAGTTTGCTTGTTCAGTCAGTTTTGTGCTGTAATGAGTCGATATGGTTCTCTGCAGGTCCTGCCGGATGAACATGCCAGAGACATGTGTCTGCGCTTCGCTGACATGGAGAGCAAACTTGGGGAGATCGACAGAGCCAGAGCCATTTACTCTTACTGCTCCCAGATCTGTGACCCGAGGGTAAATATAAGCATCCATATCTCTTTAGTCGTGTTGTGTGTGTGCTGTTTTTAAATGGCCTCGCCCTCCATCTTTCGATCAGGTGACCGCTCATTTCTGGCAAACGTGGAAGGAGTTTGAGATTCGTCACGGTAATGAGGACACCATCCGAGAGATGCTGAGGATTAAACGCAGCGTTCAGGCCACGTACAACACGCAGGTCAACTTCATGTCCTCTCAGATGCTCAAGGCCACCGGCAACGCTACTGGAACAGGTGTGTTGACTTTATTGAAGCCAGATGAAAATCTATTTCGATTTATTTATATACTATTAAATTAATTTTTATTCACTTTTATTTTTTTTTATTCACTCATTTGAAAGCTTGTCTGATTAATCAAAATACTGTACCCCCCCTTTTTTTGTTGCATTTATTATTTTCTTTATGCTGTAGAGGTAGATCACGGTATCTATTGTCGTTAAATTTATTTTCAGGATTAACAGCTGTGTAAAAACTGAAAATTAAATTACTAAACTAAATCACAAAAATTTAGTAAACAGAATTACTAAAATACAAAAAACTAAAACTGTTGATTCATCCACAATATTTAATAGAGAAGTGTTAATGTTGTTAGCCAAATGTAATAATAATAATAATTTATATAGTGCTTTACACATTTTTCGGGGAATCTCCTCATTTACTCACCAATTGAAGCCAATAATCATATGGGGATGGTTAGGAGGCCAGAGGCCAGTGGGCAAATTTGACCAGGATGTTAGGTTAAACCCCTAATCTATTTCGAAGGACATTCTGGGATTTTTAACGACCACAGAGAGTCAGGACCTCAGTTTAACATCTCATCCAAAGGACGGCGCTCACTGAGCAGTATAGAGTCCCCATCAATATACTTGGCGTTACGACCTACACAAACCACAGGTTGAGCACCCCCTGCTGGTCATACTAACACCACTTCCGGCAACAATCCCCCTTTCCCATGTGGTCTCTCATCCAGGTACTGACCGGGTGCAGCCGTGCTTAGCTTCAGTGGGAAACCATGTGAGAGCTCCAGAGAGCTGGCTGCCGGATCGTAAAATATTTTTTTTTGAATTAAAACATTGAAGTAAAATATGAAATAAATATTAAAACATGAACCTAGACATTTTAATTGGAAACAGTAAAGAATGTTGATGCCCTAAGATCAATAAAACTGAAGAATTTGATCAAGCTGTATACATACACACAAGTTTTTAAAAATTGGGTGAACTTTTATTAAAGGTTTTGATCAACTGTGTATAAAGTAGTCAATATTTAAAGTAAAAGTCTATCACTAATATTTGAAAGGAGCAGAAGTTTCACAGGAGTGCCATCTTTTAATTATTGATTAAACTTAATAAATAAATTATTAAATATTATTAATATTAAATATAAAATAATGACATACAACTATAATAGTAATCAATGTTGGGTGTAATTAATTACAAAGTAACCAGTTGCTGTAATTAAATTACACATTGACTAAAAATGAAATGATTGCTACAATAAGTAATTTAAGTGCAGTATTCTTGCCTTAAATAACGTAATTAAATTCGTTGTTAATACAGTGTGTGTGTGTGTGTATATATATGTATGTATTATATTTGTTTTAAGTAGCATTAAGTCAAGTAATTCAATTCATTTTTGACTGATTAAACAGAAATTAATCAAACATCGTAATTAGAAAAGTCGTTTAATTACAGTGATGTAACAATAATTCATATTTACCTAGCAATGATCATAACTGAAATAATTCTAATGCCTTTAAATGTTTTTTTCCTAGAATGATAATCCAATGTTTGCATGTAAAATGTATTCATTTAGCACAAGTGAACGTGGTAAGCAAATAGACAATTATAGGTGAAATGAAAGCACATTAGTTCCTCCTTGTGTGGCTAAACTGTTTTTAATGGCATGTGTTTCAGTGTCAGATCTTGCTCCGGGGCAGAGTGGCGTGGACGACATGAGGCTGCTGGAGCAGAAGGCCCAACAGCTGGCAGCGGAGGCTGAGCGAGACAAACCCAAACCTAAAGAAAAGATTCTTTTCGTGAGGTATGAGCTGCACCCACATCAGTCAGAGGGCATATTGAGCTTATTGAGAAGCCAGTTTCTATTGTTCTGTTTACACAACTGGAGTTTTGTTTGTCTTGTTATAGGAGCGACACCTCTCGCAGTGAACTCGCTGAACTGGCCAAGCAGGCTAATCCAGATGAGATCGACATTGATGATGATGATGATGAAGATGAGGATGCGGAGGACGCCGAGCCAGAGGGTTAGTTTTTATGAGATTGGTGGTGTGATGGTGGACTAATTCGTATTAAAAAGTTTGGGTTTTTAGTTTAGTGTGCATGTGTTGCAAATAAATACAGCATTATTTTAACTACTTTTTTTTTTTTTAAATACTATATTTGCGTTTTATATCATATGTGACCATGGACCACAAAACCAGCTATAAGTGTATTTTTTTGTAAAATTAAGATTTATAAGGTTTTATTTTATTAAGATTTAGGGTTCAGAAGACCCACCTCTCACTGATAAAGGTCCAGAATTTGTCCCCAAACATGAGCTCATTTATACTATTTTTTTAAATAATTTTTTATTGAACATTTTGATTTCGAACAAAGCCAGAGATCCACCCAACAAAATATGTAAAATAAAATTAAAAACAGTAACTTTGTAATAATAAGTACAAAATCAGGATTGAAACATAAATGATACAGTCTCTCTCATATTTGATCAAATTTGTACAGTTTTTTTTACTGGCTCCATTTATTTTGGCTGTGGTGTATTCCAGACTATTAATGTTCTGTAGATAGAGCCTCCAGGATAGATAATCGTTTATCCTAGTTTGACTACTCTGCCATAAATAAGGAAAATAACCCATCAAAAAAGGGTTTAAGACCAAGCAGAATCATAGTGTAGCTTCATTAAATCAGTTTTGGCCAATGCTAACAATATTTTTTTATTATGAGTCCAACAACCAGCTGTGGAAGAAAACATCTGACATGAGCTAAGTCATCTTTTGCTCTTGGGTTGTTTTTAAATAGAGAAAACAATTAATAAGTAACTACTAATCTAAATCTTGGACCTTATTCTTGAAAGAAAACATGACCAATAAAAAAGTGTGAAGCACTTTTACAAGAAAGGCTAGAAAAATTGTGAAGCTCTAAATCACCAAACTTGTTTCTGGAAGTCCGGTGTCCTGCAGATTTTAGCTCCAACCCTAATTAAACACACCTGAACAAGCTAATCAAGGTCTTACTAGGCATACTTTAAACACCCAGGCAGGTTTGATGAGGCAAGTTGGAGCTAAACCCTGCAGGGCACCAGACCTCCAGGAACAAGATTGGTGACCCCTGGTCTAAATTATAATAATAATAATAATAATTATTATTATTATTATTATATTGTTTTCATGTTTTTATTATTCAAATGGCCAAATTATGACTGAGGAAAGTTGAATATGCTGGCCAGTTTGTTAATTGCCTAATAAATTACAGTAGGCTACAGTTTCTTTTCCTAATGATATATAATGTCATAAATTTGAATTTTGAAAAAATAAACATTTGTCATATTTCTTTATTCTAAATATTTAAAAAAATATTGGTACATAATAAAATGTGTTTATGATGACCATCCGACAAGCTAATTTTGCTAAGAATAGTGCTTTAAATGTCACTGTAATGAACAAGAACCACCCCTTTTCACCAGGCTGGCTACGGGCCTGATATGTCATCTGAAAGCTAAAAAAATGAGTGTTCTGCTGGTGTGATTGCTACGTTATGATAATATTTACAGCTTTTTAAAAATCTGGACCTGAGGGTTAAAACAAATCACATTCGAATGAAGAGCTTAGCAATGCATATTACTAAATCAATTGAGTTTTGATATTTTCACTGGTAATTTTACAAATAAAATCTTCAAGGAAATGATCTTTACTTAATATTCTAATGATTTCTGGCATAAAAATATGGCATTTTGACACACACAATGTATTTTTAACTATTAATAATATATCTGTGCAACATAAGACAGGTTTTGTGGTTTTAAGGGTTTGTTGTATAATGTATACATCTTATTTTCTGTAACTCTTATTTTCTGTAAGGGCTGGGTGATCAAAGAAAAAGAGAGATCATGATATAATTAGTCAACATTGATAATTACCACAATAAGTGTAATTTCTTATGTTTCTTTCAAGTTTTTTATTTTTTTTTTGCTCCTTAGTGAAATCGGTTAATTTCAACTCTCTCAATCTTACAGGGTGTCTGCTGGGTCTTAAAAAGACTTAAAATGTCTCGAAATTTCAAAAACTAATTTTTAGGTCTTAAAAGTCTTTAATTAATAGTCACTGAAATATTGTGTTGGAGGTCTTAAATAATTTTTTTAAAGTCTTAATTTTGCTTTGTCCTAGTAAAGCTACTCAATCGGGCCGACATCCATCCAATCACCAGCAATACATCTCAAAAACCTTATCTTTTATATTTAAGTTTTTTATTGCAAAGATGTACAATTCACAACAACTGTTAGACATTTTTACAGCAAATTCCCCGTAAATTCCCTTATTATTTTATATTTATTAAAACTGAAATTAATTTTATGATTCCTCATGATAATACCGGCCCATCGGAAAAAAAATCCTTTGTATTTAAACCTATACAAGTCTAAAAGTGAATTCTTAATGGTCTTCAAAAGTCTTAAATTTGACTAAAATCCTGATTTTTAACTCGTCGTTTTATTTTCATTGAGTTATTTTGTTTTATTTAAATGCTATTATATGTAAAAACAAACAAACAAACAAGAACTAGTGATTTTATTCAAAATTAACTTGTTTTTTATCCTGAAGAAAACTGTAATCATATTTAAATTTGACAGTTTTCTGTTTATTAGGTACACAACAAATTATTATTGTGTACAACCGTACACCCATAGATGAAAAATAATGTTGCAGACGTATGTGTGCTTAAAACAATCAATCCTGCAGACCATCTGTACTTGCTCTATTTCTATTAAATATAATGTCTGAGTCTCCTGATCTTCATGAGAGATATAAGACGTCTCATCAGATAAGTTTCATAAAGGTCGAGGGAGGAAAACTCTAAATTGAATAAGATTAGTTCAAGTATTGATAGTGTACAACAGGGATGTCCAAACTTGGTCATAGATGGAAAGTGTCCTGCAGATTTTAGATCCAGCTTGCCTCAACACACCTGCAAGGATGTTTCTAGAGAGCCAAGTAAGAGCTTGATTAGCAAGCCCAGGTGTGTCTGATTGGGGTTGAAACTAAACTTTGCAGGACATAGACCCTCCTGGACTAAGTTTGGGCACCCCTGCTCTATGGGACATGATTTTTTTCCCTACACAACTATGGTTTCTTCAGTGTTTAGCTTGACTGATTTGAGTGTCTCACAACATCATGAGCATCATGTTGAGTAGTTTATCTTGCGTTGTGTCTGATCACTTGCATTGTGTGATTGCAGAGGTGCAACTGGAGCAGAAATCTGTCCCTACTGCTGTCTTTGGAGGACTGAAGGACGACTGAATTCACAGATCATCACAAAAAAAAACACCCCGAGTCTGATCTAAATAACTAAAAAGCTGAAAATGAACAGTAATTCATCCAAATGTCATTTTAGCAATACCAACTTGTACCACGTGGTGTCACTCTTTACAACATTTGTAAGCTTTTATTTTTTTTATCATGACTTTGGGTGGATAAAATGTTAAAGTGCTTGTTTTCGCCCTCCTTGTCTACTGTATATTAAATGAACAATCTTCATGCACAGCGCCAGCGCATCATTTGTTATTATCAGATTGCAGTGTTTGAAGGCGCTGCCCATAATTGCACGGACACATGGGTGGAGCGCTTCAGATGTTTGTTTGTGCATCTCAGTGCTGTGGTTTCATGAATACAACAGTTACAAAAAGACCAACAGCACTTTTATTATTTTATTTGAAGGTTCGGGATGTAATTTTGTGGGATGTGGGCTCATTTAAAGGGATAGTTCAAATAAAAAGTGACATTTTACTCACTATTTACTCTCAAGTAGTTTTTCGATGAACACAAAAGAAGATATTTTGAGGAAGGCTGAAACCATACAACCATTGACCTCAATAATAGGAAAACAAATACTATGAAAGTCAATGTTTGCAGCTTTCATCAAAATAAATCTCTTTGTGTTCAAGAGAAGAAAGTCAACGAGCTTTTGAATAAGTGAATGGTGAGTAAATGAGGACAATATTTTTTTTGGCTTGAACTATTCCTTTAAGTTAAGTTTTCAAGGTTTGTTTAGAGAAGCATAAGCACATTTTGAGTTTTTCTCAACAACAAAGGAAAATGGAAAAGCAAAGAATGAGGAAAAAAACAAATGCCCCATCCCTCCGTAATTAGATTAAAATAGTTCTGTGAGTTAATCTTCTTACAAAGTTACAGCAGCGCTCTCTGAAACATCATGTGACCTGGACCTTTGGTGAATTCTGTCCTCTGTTCAGTTTTTTTTTTTACAGCTGAGCTTCTCAACCAGTTTTTCGTTGAAAAGTTTAAGTGCTTACATTGTTATGGTGATTAGTTTTCAGTGCTTATTAATTAGTTTATGACTTAAATACTTGTGTCACAATGTGTAAAAAAACATAAGGTTAGGTTTTTTTGATGCACCTGTCGATTTTGGGCTTTTCATAAAGTTTTTTTTTCAGTCAAATGTGCAGAAAACATCCCAAATACACTTATCAAGTGTTTTTTTGTTGTTGGTGAACATCAGTGTGGGTCTCTAGATTTCAATTATAGTACATTTTAATACACTGTTTTCTCAATGTTTGTTGATCTCCACTTCAACAGCACATGCGTTCAGATCTACATTCTGCAGGTTTTTATTGAATTTTTTTCATAATATTTTCATTATGGAGGAATAAAAAATATATCTGTAGAAACATTTTGGTCTAATATGTCAGAAAAATTTACTTTATCCAGTGTTCAGTTTTTTTGTGCTAGAAATGTATGCATATTTAGTACATATTTCACGAAATAATTAATCATTTGCATATTTATTTAATCAACATTTTTGGAAAACTTCATGAAATCAATTAACTGCAGGAGTATGATGTTTCTATCTATCTATCTATCTATCTATCTATCTATCTATCTATCTATCTATCTATCTATCTATCTATCTATCTATCTATCTATCTATCTATCTATCTATCTATCTATCCATCCATCCATCCCTCTCTCTCCCTCTCCATCCCTCCCTATATATAAATATCATTTTGTATTTATTTTTTATTTACTTCCAGTGTTTTGCTTGAAATATCTACTGTATCATAAAGTGACAAAATAGCTCATAACTTTAAACCAAATCAAATCTTTCTTGTATAAGAGTAAAAAAAAAATCACACAAAAGAAATGAAGAAATTGCTGCAGTTTACTTTGCGCTCATTATAATCCCTTGACGATAATATGTTATTTGGCCGTTCTTAATGACTAATGTTTCCCTCTCGCCCTTCTGGGCAAGTTCTACCTGTCCTGCACCTGTTCCAATGAGTTACAGCGCCTTCCTACCTGCTGCTTAACTTCACATGCTTAAGTCCCACCCTGTTAACTCTGCGCTGCCACCTGATTGGTCGCCCGGCGGGATGATTGACAGGAGTATGGAGTACCTGGAAATCAGTCGCTTGCGGAGCGCGTCAGCCAGAACGATGTGGACTCTGAAGCGGGGTCGAAAACAGTGAAACCATCTCCAGGAATACCGCTAAATCTGTCGCTCCGCTAGACTAAAACAACTCTACACACCCGCCAGCTCCATTGGATGTATATAAAGAAAACCGGGAAAGGATTATATAGTACAAGACTTTATTTTTCGCCGCAACGCTGACCGAGATATCGGCCTCTCGCAGTCCCAATGCTGTGCTCGCGTGAAAGAGAAAGGATGAGTGTTTGATTTCGGCTTCGCATCGGCTTCCTCTCGTTTTCCCGGCCCGTCTGTGTGTTTGGACGTACTATGGTGGACTCCAATGCAATGAGGAAGACTTTTGTGGTCCCGGACATCAAGCCATTGGATCAGTATGACCTGACCAGAGCCAGGATCTGCGCCAGTGTCGGGTGGCTGCTGGCGAAATCCTACAGCAATGCAGGTATTATAGTGTCCGTGTGTCAAATCGTGCTGTGCTATCTACATAGGGAGCATTTAAGTCTCCACTTGAATCATGTGTGGGCAGAAAACTGCGCAAAAACAGCTGCCAGCGATTCCCTTTAATGCACTCTAGCTAGGGCAGTTCGCTTGGTTTGGATGCTCTGCCTATTGAGTCTGCTAGATTTGTATTTCCTTCTCAAATGTTGTGGTGTGTGTCTGTCAAAAACTGTCTGTTTTGAGGCAAGCTTCGGCTCATTGTTCAGTGACTGCGGAGGAAAGCATGTGTGAAGGTGAAGAGTGTGTAAACTCAGCGTTTTTCACAACACAAAGACCACATGATAGGTAGAAAGCTGCTGGGTTTGACTCTAGAATGTATACATTCTGTCTGTTTATATATATATATATATATATATATATATATATATATATATATATATATATATATATATATATATATATAAAAACAAAAAATAGTATGATAAATGATGTAGAAAGCCTTTATTGGGCGCTGCTAGATAGTATATGGATAGTATACTTGAATAATATATGTCCACACAGTATATATATGTAGTACATATAACTATAACACTCGTTCCCTCACTTTGGCTTAATTTACTTTAGCAAATATGAATAAAAATATTTTTATTTAAACTGGCTATGCTTTGAAGGAGACATGATAATATGTCCTTGTTCGCTCGTGATCATTTTCCATGATGGTTTAATCCACGTGTTTAATCCGTGCAGCAGACACGCTGTTGTCTGGGAATTATGATGTGTGATGTGATGAAATGTTTTGACCTGAATGTGTATGTGTGTTAATGTTGGCTCGTGCTATGTGCCCTCCTGACGCGTGCACACACCCACTATCATCCCCCGCCTCCCACTATGTTGGTTGGAGGTCTTGGTTTCTGACTTGAGCAGAGCAGACTGTCGATAGTTATACTGGACTGGTTGGGTATGTTTAATTATTTACTTTAATATGCTGATGCTTTACATGCACGGGTAGTTGACATGACGTCAAGTGACAGCAGTGACCTGCAGCTTGACGTGATATACAGTCCATCTAAAACAAATTTGCTTTTAAAGCTAGGGTTTATGTTGAAAATAATAAATATTTTAACGAACACCGTACTTATTAATTTGCTTGAAGACTTTTATGCTGGTAAAATTTCCTGAAATGTGTTTTAAAATGCACATAAGGAATTGGCTTATTAAATGTGTGCTAATTTGCATGCATGTCCAGAACAGATATCAAGTCAGGTCTACAATATGTGCTCATTCTGATGTTAACTATTAAAGGCATTTGCATCGACTATGTCTTATCACTCCATAAACAAGGAAATACTGCCGGGTACATAATTGTTGTAATCTAAATTAGGCAAGTAATATATATACACACCCCTTAGCAAATGGGTCAGAATTTTTTTAATTGTTATTAAGTATGCATCATATGTCATAATGTTTCAAGTTTACTGCTTTATTTTCTGCACAGAAAATATTGACTGTCATTCATAAATGTCATTCATATTAAAAAAATAGCCTAGATTTAGATTAAAGAGCCCCTATTTCACATTATAAAAGGTCATATTTTGGATTTAGGAGTCTCCAACAACAAGCTAATATGCATGCAAGGTCAAAAATTTACATTTGCATTTATTTTTATCTAATTATCCCAACGACTCCTATATGACTCGTTCATAGATTCATTGGTCCGAAACCCCTCCTTTACGTGAGGCTAATCTGTGGTGATTGGTGCGATGATCCAGTCTATTGTGATTGTTCTACCGGGGGACAGCAAATTAGCACAATGTGAGAGTTCAATGCAGGAAAGCATTAAAGCAATGCAGTTAAACACCAGCATATTACTCTATTCTTAACTGTAACCCCAAGTATTAACAACGACACACATTCAGTAATAATCCACACAGTGGCAAAAATTGACTGCACCACGCATGTGAAGAACAGCTGCTGGTAGCCATATTCAGGGCTTAACATTATCACCCACCAACCCGGTAGGTTTCCCCTGTGGCGGGTTAGACAGCCACCGCCACTAGCTAATTTGGTGATGTACCGTATCGACGTTGACATGTTCAAGCAAAAGATCCGAACACAACACAATTCACTTTTTGACTCTGAATCAACTATTTTGTTAAAGAATCAATCATTTTAAACACGGTGGACTTTCATATTTAAATCTTTGCTGGATGTTTTCATTCACTTAGTGCTGTGTTACACACTGCATAGGAGGTCATTTTCAAAAACCCATAATAGGGGCTCTTTAAGAGTCATTTGATGACATATTTAAAGACTTTTATTGAAGAATCTCAATGCAGCCCCAAAATACTCATTCGTTCGTTCATTTTCTTTTTGGCTTAATCCCTTTATTAATCTGGGGTCACCACAGCGGAATGAAAACCGCTAACTTATCCAGCATATGTTTTACGCAGCAGATGCCCTTCCAGCTGCAACCCACGTCTGGGAAACATCCATACACACTTATTCACACTCGTACACCATGGACAATTTAGCCTACCCAATTCACCTGTACGCATGTCTTTGGACTGTGGGGGAAACCATAGCACCATTAACTGCTATCACAAAGTTGCTTAAAAAAACAACAACAGCTGATTGAAAATATGTGTTAATCTTAAAACGGACAGTGGTTTTGTACGTGATCTTGCCTTAAATTACATTTTGACCTATCCTAGGGTCTAAAATATGCAGTGTTTTTATGTTTGTATCCAGCAAGCTTTTTTTTTTTGGTTTAATTAGACGTCTAGTAGACATCTAAACGCAGCCATCTTGGCCAAAACAAGGCTAAATTTGAGCTGTCAGTGCAAATCTAAGAATAGGCCAAAACTAGACTAGTCCCCAAATAAACAGAAATGAATGACTACACAAATAAAGTCAGTCTAATCTGTCTATTTGACAACTAGTCTAGTTTTGGACTATAAGATGTCTATTAGATTTTCTCTGAAAGTCCAAGTTTAGCTTTGTTTTAGCCAAGCTGTCAACATTTAGATGTCTATTAGATGTCTATTAAACACAAAATTGTTAGCTGGGTATTGATTAGTCCATCTAATTAGTCCATAACTGCAATTTAAAAACTCATATTATTTAAATTTAAAGACCAGCTTGAAAATTATGATGACGCATCACACTTGTTTCTGTATTTTTTTCAGTTAGTGTGTGTCTTGCGTTCACAAGACGTGGCTCTTTAATTCAGTTTTAGAACACAGAACAAGGCAACAACAGTACATTAAATTGACATCAAAATAAATACAGTATGAAAAGAAATATAAAATAATTGCAATTATTCAAAGAGTAAATGTAAGGCTTTAAAATAATTAACAGTTCTTTTTGTGTTGGTATTTCTTGTTTCTTTTGTTGTACACAGACCCGTTTCATTACAGTTAGTAAAATTATTTTTTTTCACTGCTCATTTACATTTATGAATAAAAAAAAAATCCATATAATGACCATATTGACAATATACCACATTTTTAAATCAACAGCATTCTCATAATTAAATCAAACATCTTTTTCATTGAATTCCTATTCAATATTCATTCTCTGCTTAACGAAAAGAAAAGATCACAGCAAAATAATAGTGTATAAATACAGTCATGAAGTGGCTCTTTCTGTCAGTCTCTCTTTCTGTATGTTGTGTGCTTGGCTGGAGCTCAAATGAAATGCACAAGTCAAAGATTGGGATTTCTTTTTTGAGTGCAGCAGACGTGGTAGTGAGAGGGTTTGTGTGCTTCTGGATTGTTTTTAAAAGCCCCATTGTGTTGACCTAATGAGCCTCTGTTAATGCAGATTGTACGTCTGCATTCCTGTACTTTTGCTTTAGTCCTCGTTTTGAGTCGTGAGCGAGTGCACAAAGCGCAGACCTAGATTTAACGGTTCACATTACTCATAACATTTAACTCCAAAATGGGTGGATAATTCGAAGATAATTAAAGATGTTTTGTGTTGGCGTGAGTAATGCTATCTGCAATCTGTAATTTTCAGCAACCAACTAGAGTTTCGATCATGCAGTGGTGTGATCTTTGTATTTTAGTTGGTCTCTTCTATCTAGACAGAAGTATGGATATTATGTCGTCAAGTTAGGGCTGTACAATAAATCAAAATTATAACTAAATGGTTCTACTTTCTGTCAGAGCTGTAATTATAAATGACTGATATTATTTAAATAACTTTTATTGGTGTAATGTAGGTAGATTTTTAGATTTAAAGTGAGTTACTGAGTGTTTGATTTCTTTGGACTGGTCCAAATAATATGTCTAATTTTAACTTAAATATATGAAACACAGTATCATTGAAAATGTGTTCATGTTAATATGGACAGTGAGATAACCCAGTGGTCCCCAACCACCGGGCCATGGACAGGTACCGGTCCGTGGAACAATTGGTACCGGGCCACATAAGAAATCATAAATTATTTCTGTAGAAAATATTCCCCCCGCGACTCGGTTTCTTCCATTCACCCCCGCCATCTCACGTGAAATGGACTTTGCAAAATTTTGTTGTTGATAGTTTAAAGTTATAAAACAGGTATTATAGAGACCAAATCAGCAGAGTATTTAAGGATTGTGCATATATGCGTGCATGCATCGCTAAGTAAGTACCTGAAATCATTGCAATATGCATCTATGTGGAGTTTCACATAACTATACTCATTAGGGCTGTAACATGCCAATGCATACATTTAATTCGGCTATACGGTTGTATTATTGTTAATATGTTCGTCAGTTTAAATGTTTGGCACAGATGTTATGTATTTGCTGTGAAGCTCTAAATTGAGCTCCGGTTGATTCTGTTTCCACTGATCATTCTTGAGATGTTTCAGAAGCTTAATTGGAGTTCACCTGTGGTAAATTCAGTTGATTGGATATGATTTGAAAAGGCATACACATGTCTATATAAGGGCCGGGGGTTGACGGTGCATGTCAAAGCACAAACCAAGCATGAAGACAAAGGAATCGTCTGTAGACCTCT